TCTTTCACCGGGACAGGGTCAGTATTCGCCTGCCGGACTCTTACCGTCCTAAGGTCGCACACGCCTTCCACGTGACGGCTCCTATTGAGCTACCTGCTCTTTCACAGCCTTCCTCGTCGGGGACCACTACAAGACATGCTCATGTATTGGATGTCCGCAGGACCCTTAAGTCCTATATCAGCAGAACTAAGGGTATCCGTAAGGATAATCAACTATTTTGCTGTTATGGCGGTAGGAAGGCTGGCTCACCTGCGAGCAAACAAACTATCTCGCGGTGGATAGTCTCTACTATATGTACGGCGTACACGCTTCAAGGCAGGGACCCCCCTACCAAGTTGAAGGCTCATTCGGTTAGAGCAGTGGCTACGACACAAGCGTATGCTGCGGCTCTGCCCATTGAGGAGATCTGCTCCGCGGCTATTTGGAGCCAGCCGAGCACGTTCATCAAACATTACCAACTCGACAAACACTCAAGCGAGCGTGCTCGGTTTGGTCAGTCAGTTCTCCGAACTGGGCAAAGTACTACATCTCTAGCCGATTGAGCCTTCGAGATTTTAGACCGCCCGGACCGGTTATAACACTGCTCAGTAACGGTCCGGATTTTATCTTCTACGGTCGATACAATACCAGCCATTACTAGTCGATAATCATCGTAATTGCACATGCACTCCTTCGATTACGGGGACCCTCTGGCCTAGCTCTGTGCGGGTTTATAGTCTCTCGTGATCTGTGCCCCCAATATCACTTGTTCAAAAAAGTGGGTGGGGTGGGGGGTGTGTGTGTCTCGAGTTCTCGATATGATGAGCCACAAAGAATGGCTCTTTTCATTGTGTATGGTCGATAACGCCCTGTCTCCAGCCCCCGCCTTTCGACGGTGGTGCCTCACGATAAGGTTGGTTCCATTTATTGAACTCTTGTTTATTCATTGAAATAATCAAAATACGATGTATTTTATGCACGCTTGTTGCTGACGGATGCCACTTCCTAGATTATCTTTAGGAGTCTATCTTGATGCAATAAGTGCCCCAAGGAGGATTTAATCTGAAAGAGAATTTTACAAACCTGTAGAGGTTATGAATTCTCTGATGAAATCCTCCTTGGGGCACGGCCACCCGCCTCCCCACATTCCGTCAGCATTAGACATATGGAAAGTGATTTGGGTGAGAGTTGCTTCCCTTGGCGTGACGCGCCGTGGAGGGTGAGGCACCATAAGGGTGGACGTATATCATACAAAAACAAAGTTTTTTGTGTGGTAACAATTTTTATTAAGGAAAATGGTTACAACTATGTCATGTAGATTTTCTTGAGCCAGGAAAATGCAATAAGTGCCCCAAGGAGGATTTCATCAGAGAATTCATAACCTCTACAGGTTTGTAAAAATTTCCACCCTCTCTAGTTGCACCCGTCCATCTACAGTCAAGGGTTTGAGGTCGTTTATTGGAGCCTACAAAGTGTTAGCCCGGGTAATACCAGGTTGTGCTGGACTATTGGGTCCATTGGACACTCTTCAAGCTGGACGTCCTTCGGCAGAGAGAATAGTTTGGTCAGAGGTACTTATCTGTGCCTTTGGAAATGCTCAATCTGCACTATCCTCACATAAAACCATTGTTCTTCCTCGGAGTGATGACCAGCTATGGATCGTTACAGATGGAGCAGTGAAAAACCATGGCATAGGTGCTACTCTCTACATTACAAGGAACAACAGTACTCTCCTCGCTGGTTTCTTCAGTGCCAAACTGCGCCAGCGTCAAATGACATGGCTACCGTGTGAAATAGAAGCACTATCTATAGCTGTTGCCACCAAGCACTTTAGTCCTTACCTTGTACAGTCAAGCCTACAAGCATGTATCCTGACTGACAGTAAACCATGTGTTCAAGCATATGAAAAGTTGTGTCGTGGAGAGTTTTCAGCAAGCCCCAGAGTGTCTACCTTTTTGTCGACAGTGAGTAGATACCAGGCCTCTGTTCACCATCTCAGTGGTTCTGCAAATATTCCATCTGATTTTGCCAGTAGAAATGCATCCAAGTGTGACAAGCCCCTGTGTCAGATTTGCTCATTCATTCGTCAAACTGAGGACTGTACGGTACGTGGTACTTCTGTTCAGGACATCATGTCAGGGAAATCTAAACTGCCATACACCAACAGGAATGCATGGCTCGCCATCCAGTCAGAGTGTTCTGATCTCAGACGCACACATGGTCATCTCATACAGGGCACTCGCCCTTCCAAGAAACAAACTGATGTTAAAGACGTAAAACGTTATCTACAGTCTGTGACCATCGCGAAAGATGGTGTGTTGGTGATTCAAAGAAATGAGCCCCTTGTTACCATCAGAGAGTGCATCGTCATTCCACGACAAGTCTTGGATGGATTACTGACTGCAATGCACATCCAGTTAAATCATCCTTCTGCCCACCAGTTGAAACTCGTTGTGAACCGCTACTTCTATGCTTTGGACATGGATCAAGCAATAACTAAAGTTTCAAGCGGATGTTATCACTGTACATCTCTTCAACAGGTTCCCCACACAGTTGTGGCTCAGTCATCTACTGATCCCCCAGAGATCATTGGAGCCGCGTTTGCTGCAGATGTAATGAAAAGAGAACGACAACTCATACTTGTGTTGAGAGAATGTGTCACATCTTTCACCTGTACATGTGCCATTGAAAATGAGCAAAAGGGAACCCTACGTGAGGCTTTGATTCGCCTAAGTGTTGTGATGAGACCATTAGATGGACCCCCGGCGGTCATCAGAACTGACCCAGCTCCAGGGTTTAAGGCCTTAGTTCAAGATGACCTTCTCCGAAGTCAACGTCTTTGCATTGAAATTGGTCGAATAAAGAACAAGAACAAGAATCCCGTAGCCGAGCGAGCTATTCAAGAGCTGGAGCTGGAATTGTTAAAAATTGATCCTTTGGGGGGGTCGGTCACACCTATAACCCTAGCTATAGCCACTGCTCAACTAAATTCTCGCATCAGATCCAGAGGGTTATCCACCAGGGAAATGTGGACACAAAGAGATCAATTTAACAACCACCAAATACCCGTTGGAGACAGAAAATTGATCCTTGACCAACATCACCGTCGAACTACCAATCACCTACACAGTGAGATGTCTAAAGCCCATATCCCTAGCCTGCCCACCCCTAACATCAGCATTGGTGACCTGGTATATCTACATGCAGATCGTAATAAATCACGGTCACGAGATCGATACCTTGTGGTTGTTAACGATGGTGAATGGTGCAACATTCAGAAGTTTGTGGGTTCCCAACTTCGAAGCACATCATATAGAGTAAAAAAATCAGAGTGCTTCAGAGTTCCATGTCAACATGAATGGTCAAGTGGACTTCCTCAGCAATATGTGTGCGATGAGTCTTCTGATGGTGAGATAGATACTGTTCCCCAAAGGACTGAACCACCTACCCTTCCCATCGTTCCCCCAGTGCTAAATGAACCATACCATGACCAAGACATTTTAGTCAACCCACCAGAACATCCTCCTCTTGATAATCAGGACTCCTTGCGTGAAAATGTTAGTGACAATGACATTGTGAATACAGATGACACTGATGATACCGTGTATTCAAATCCAGTCAGTGCACAAAGGAGGTCAATCCGTGCACGGCGACCACCTCAACACCTCAATGACTATGTAACCGATTTCTAACATGTTTATGTTGCTATGTCCATCAACTGTGTCTGGATACCTTTTCGCATTTAGGCTATAGTTATGGTGTCGTATCAACTTATATCACGTGATGTCAAGGATATCTACATCAGGTTTTAAGTTTTATTGTGACCAGTTATTTTGGGTATTGTTTATGACAGTATGAGTCTTTAATAGTAACCCATATCAGGTAATGTGTTACAAAGAAAAAAGGAGGTTGCGCCAGTGTGGTTTGCGACCGTTGTTTATGTTTAGCGGCAGACTGCCTAGGTAGTGGGAGAGTTACCTCCCTTGGCTTGTGTCGTTTTCTCCTCACATGTTGTTTGGCCATTACTGAGAAGTAAAGCTACAAGTATATTGGAATACCTGTGTTGGGTTGTGAATTGCGAGGGTCCAAGCTGGCGATGATTGGTGCAGTGACATGTTATAATATACATTGGAACCCCATAATCGAGTTAATTGTTACATGGCCCTATCCTATTTGTTTATTGTTTTTATTCCACACTCAGTAATATTCCAGCTGTATGATGACGTAAATAATCGAGTCTGGCCCAGAAAATCCATCTTTCCAAGGCAAGGGAGTTAACTGACTGTAAAAGTCCAGTTTCCATCCTTGCCAAACTGGCCTGTTATTTCGTGGCTGGACCGTAGCGCCACCAGTGACGTTACGAGTTATGTCCCTCCTATTGACCAATCAGATTCTGACCCCTCATATCATTTGCATTTGCTTTAAACAAAATGGTTGCACCCAGTCAAGACGAAATGATTGATAACCAAAATCTAAATTACAATAGAACGGGTCTTACTTCGCAGGAGTGCATCAAATCATGTGAGCACCTTGATTAAAAACATGAAAAGATTTGGAAAATATCTGTTTGACGCTGAGTTGGGAGGTACAGACACTTTGTAAATCTTGCAATTGACTGAAATCTGCTCCACAATCTACGAACCAGAAGTCAATTTCGTTACAGGATTTTGAATGGACTATGTTGTTAGTCCAGTCAAAATATAACTCCAAAATTCCCGACTCGTTCGGCAAGGGTCGAAACTGGACTTTTATAGTCAGTTAGCTCCCTTGCTCTGGGAAGATGAGACAATCCAGTGATTGATATCATGAGCATTGATCTACGAAAATGGGATATGATAACATGCGTCACCCTTTCTAGGAGTAGAAGGGAGAAAGAATATATACAATGTGCAAGTATGCTTTCAGGATAAACTGATCATCATAGTCACTGTATATCTGAAGCTTTATATATTTAGTCTAGTCCATAACCATGGATACTGTGGTAGTTGTTAAATCTAAATTGGAATGGACAAATGTTGCAGGACCTGCGGAAGCTCGTATGCAAGCTGTGTGAGGAGGATGACCAGAGCACCTACGGCAGCAGTGGAACTACTCCCTGTCCGGTGTGCCTGGGAATACTGGAGGACTTCTGCTGCACTGACTTCCTACAGAAGGTGAGATGTTACCATGGTTACAGCAAGACCCACATGTCTCCCTAGGGGCAGCCGGAGCTAGAGTAGGTACCCACATGTCTCCCTAGGGGCAGCCACAGCTAGAGTAGGTACCCACATGTCTCCCTAGGGGCAGCCCCAGCTAGAGTAGGTACCCACATGTCTCCCTAGGGGCAGCCCCAGCTAGAGTAGGTACCCACATGTCTCCCTAGGAGCAGCCACAGCAAGAGTAGGTACCCATGTGTCTCCCTAGGGGCAACCACAGCTAGAAAAGGTAGCCACATGTCTCCCTAGGGGCAGCCACAGCTAGAGCAGGTACCCATGTGTCTCCCTAGGGGCAGCCACAGCTAGAGCAGGTACCCACATGTCTCCCTAGGGGCAGCCACAGCTAGAGCAGGTACCATCTTGTCTCCCTAGGGGCAGCCACAGCTAGAGCAGGTACTATCTTGTCTCCCTATGGGCAGCCACAGCAAGAGTAGGTACCCATGTGTCTCCCTAGGGGCAGCCACAGCTAGAGTAGGTTCAAACATGTCTCCCTAGGGGCAGCCACAGCTAGAGTAGGTTCAAACATGTCTCCCTAGGGGCAGCCACAGCTAGAGTAGGTTCCCACATGTCTCCCTAGGGGCAGCCACAGCTAGAATAGGTACCCACGTGTCTCCCTAGGGTCAGCCACAGCTAGAGTAGGTTCAAACATGTCTCCCTAGGGGCAGCCACAGCTAGAGTAGGTTCAAACATGTCTCCCTAGGGGCAGCCACAGCAAGAGTAGGTTCCAGCATGTCTCCCTAGGGGCAGCCACAGCTAGAATAGGTACCCACATGTCTCCCTAGGGGCAGCCACAGCTAGAGTAGGTTCCAACATTTCTCCCTAGGGGCAGCCACAGCTAGAGTAGGTTCAAACATGTCTCCCTAGGGGCAGCCACAGCTAGAGTAGGTTCCAACATGTCTCCCTAGGGGCAGCTGTGGCTAGAATAGGTACCCACGTGTCTCCCTAGGGGCAGCTGTGGCTAGAGTAGGTACCATCTTGTCTCCCTAGGGGCAGCCACAGCTAGAATAGGTACCCACATGTCTCCCTAGGGGCAGCCACAGCTAGAATAGGTACCCACGTGTCTCCCTAGGGCAGCCACAGCTAGAGCAGGTAATCAGTACCTATGTTTGTCTCCCTATGGGGATTCTGGGCATAGTTGGTATCCAGTGTCTAATCTTGTCTCTCTGTGGCGTTTAGATATCCAGGGCCATGCTTGTCTCTCCTGTGGGGATTTTTATACAGAAGAAGACCCCAGGTCCCCTTGCTTGTTGTTACCTGGCTGAGTGTGCACCTCAGTTCTCGTGTCCTACAGATGGTGTTTGATAACATCTGCATGTGTCCAACAGATGGTGTTTGTGATAATAGCTCCATGAGGCTGTTTCAGTAGGCTAGTGCACCGTTCTCATCTGTCTGAGATCTACATGTGTTCTACAGATGGTGTATGTGTTTCAGATCAAGCAGTGCGTGGACAAGAATGGCTATGAGTTTGTCAACTACCAATGCTCACTGTCGCTGCCAGTCTCCAACATCCTCAGAGAGGTAAGGAAAGATATTACTTATCCTGACATACTTTAATGTTTATGCCAAAATCATCTGGTAGTCATTCATTTCCACTGATACCAAAGCTTCTAAATGCAACTTAAAGATATTGCTAATAACAGTTACTTCAACATACGCTGTTTCTATCCTTATTTAGGGCTTGGTCAATACTTCCAGTTGCCATCAATAGGTATTTCTTGTATGCTGGTATCTATAGATACAGATGTTATAGGGATTTTGATAACACATGTGGTGAACCCATGGTGAATTCGTGTCAGAATTCGTCCCGAGCAATCTAACTATGCGACCGAACAGATCAGGTAGTCAGGATGGCGTACTCCAACAGTGTGGCTAATTGCTCACAATATCAGAGGCCACCGGGATATAGCTGGTATATTGCTGAGTGTGGCATGATGATATTCGTTTTCATACAGAGAAATCTCTAATAATTGTACCCCTCTGACAAGTGTAAGTGGACGGGACTCGACCCAAAAAAGTAGGAGAATCTGTACTTTACTCATAAAGTTTTATCCCAAATATTACATTTGTTACATTCGACCACTTTCTAAAAGGCATTGTGTGTTCTGTAATCATGGTAACCGTGGTCTGTTAATCCGGAGACCACAGCCACTGTCTGTGGGGATGCTTCCGTCTAGATTAATGGAGTTTCACTCCAGGTTAAGTTTTTTGAGTGCCACAAAGTTTTTTGTATTTTTACTGACCTAAATTAATTTCTTTGTGAAAAAAATGAACACCATAACTCCAAAAGAGTGGTCTTGGGTCATTTCCTCCTTCACAAGATGTAGTGATTGTGTGTAATTTTCATGGCATGCATAACTATAGTAACAAATCAAACTGGATAATCTAGTCCTGGCATATTCTTTTAACTGACGGTGTTCCTGCTGACTTTTGAAAATGCCAGTCCTGGCAACTCTAAAATTACCAGTCTCCACCCCCTCCCCCCTAATTCATGTCAGTTCCAACTTTCAACAAATAAAAAAACGTATGCAAATTACCTGGTTTTAATTCTTTCAACATCATGTTCAATGCAGTGACGTCATCTCTGAAGTAAGTTAGATAGATCTACACGTCATTCACACAAAGTTCAGTCACAATTTTCTCCCTTTTTGGGGCATATTTTGAGACTGAGTAGCTGCAAAAATATATTTAACCTTGAAAAGCAGAGTTAAATGTTAATTCTTTGCACTAAAAAATGACAAGGGGAAACCCTGATCATACTGATGGTAACAGACAAGCGGACTTTGTTTGAAAAATGCAGTATACTTATATAGTTAATATCATCGATGTTTTGTTCAACAACAAAGATTCATAAGCTACTTTATTTGCCGGTCCACATGGACTGGCAGTCACGTGAATTACGGGTCCAAGCCTAATTTTACTGGTAAAAAAACATTACTGGTAAACAGGAACACTGTAACCATGGTAACTGGATGCTGTTACTTCCAGCAGACCTGGATGCCAGATGGTTATGGTTCTGAATATGAGCCAGTTGAGACTGGGAGATGATACACTTTCACTAAACATAGTTTATTGTCCAAAGAGACTAAGGGATTGGGACCAAAGGCACCACTTGTTACCGCATTCTCCCTTATTACACGTTTATGCCAATAATTGCTTTAACTCTAATATATTTTCTTTCAGCATGCTCTTACGTTACACCTTGGGAACAAATTTGAGTAAGTTGTTTTACATCTGCAATGGACATTAATTCCCAGCTTAGCAACACGTCCCATCATCCTACTGGGTCAGCTGGTGAAAGTAGCAGGTCAACCTGCATCCGAGACTCCTCACCACCATATTGTGGCGTCTAGGGCGCCGAATAATCGCAGTGCCAAGGTGCGCCCTTTAGGCATTCCAAAAACCTATGATGGAGGCTTTGAATCCAGGTCCACCTTCATTTTGTTTTTAGATTTGTCAGCACCATGCTCATGGGCTCCGGGGGACACAGGTGGCGCAGTCGTCTAAGGCGCCACGATTCGCTCATCAGAGTTGCGACCCTTGGGCACGCCAGAAACCTATGATTGTGGGTTCAAATCCCGGCTTCGCCCCGATTATGTTTCTAGGTTTGTCAGCACCATACACGTGCTCGTGGGTTTCACTGAAGTGGTAAACGTCTGAGACCTGCATCACTTCGGGCTTTCCTCCCACATTAAGCTGACACGCCATGATATAACTGGAATACTGTTAAAGCGGCGTTAACCACAACTCACTCATGGGCTCCGACTCGTGAAGATCCGGGGTAGAATAGGTCTTCAGCAACCTATTCTTGCCATAAAAGGCGACAATGCTTGTCGTAAAAGGCAACTAACTCGATTGGGTGGTCAGGCTCGCTGACTTGGTTGATGCATGTTATCGATCCCAATTGCATGGATCGATGCTCATGATATTAATCACTGGATTGTCTTTTCCAGACTCAATTATTTACACACTGCCGTCATATAGTTCTAATATTGCTGAGTGCGGCGTTTAACAACAAACAAACAAATGAATCATGGGCTCCACTATATTCAGTTTGTTGTGACATGCCTGTATATGTTTTGTCACTGACACGTGTGCAATGGGTTGTGGCATGACATATCTCGAAGTCACAGAATAATCTCCCATGATGATGCCCATTTTCTTGTCATATTTTATGCCATCCTATGGCTCAGTACATAACAGCTGACAAATGTTGTTGTTTTAAAATCCAGTTATGCATATCATGGTTTGGATGACGAGGCTATCCCATCAGTGAAGGACGTCTGGAAGTGGTTCTCTGGCCCAGAGCTGTCACGGATACTGGGATCATCATTCCAGCTCAAAGTGAGTTATACACAAACAGAGTCAGTCTCCGTTACCATGGTACATGATACATTGTCAGTCTCTGTTACCATGGTACATGATACATTGTCAGTCTCCGTTACCATGGTACATGATACATTGTCAGTCTCTGTTACCATGGTACATGATATACATTGTCAGTCTCTGTTACCATGATACATGATACATTGTCAGTCTCTGTTACCATGGTACATGATACATTGTCAGTCTCTGTTACCATGGTACATGATACATTGTCAGTCTCTGTTACCATGATACATGATACATTGTCAGTCTCTGTTACCATGGTACATGATACATTGTCAGTATCTGTTACCATGATACATGATACATTGTCAGTCTCTGTTACCATGGTACATGATACATTGTCAGTCTCTGTTACCATGGTACATGATACATTGTCAGTCTCCGTTACCATGATACATGATACTTTGTCAGTCTCCGTTACCATGGTACATGATACATTGTCAGTCTCCGTTACCATGGTACATGATACATTCAACAGGAATTTCACCTGAAAGCCTGAGACTTGAGTGGATGACAGAAAAATGCCCAGATCATGTTGTAACTATTTAATCATGTCAATTAGTGTCTCAGACTGAAGTCTGCACTGACTTGCCTAACACTCCACAATCATTTATACCACCCCTGGGGTGGTCGGGTAGCCTAGTGGTTAAAGCGTTCTCTCGTCACGCCGAAGACCCGGGTTTGATTCCCGACGTGGGTACAATGTCTGAAGCCCATTTCTGGTGTCCCCCGCCGTGATGTTGCTGTAATATTGCTAAAAACGGCGTAAAACCATACTCACTCACTCACTATACCACCCCTATGGTGTAGTGGATGGTGCATTTGTCCAGAAAGCGGAAGGTCAGTGGTTCAATCCCTGCCCGTGTCATACAAAAAGACGTTAAAAGGTTGTACTTGTTGTAACTCTGTCTGCCTAAGTGCAGTAATCTTGAACATAAGCATGATAAGGTTAAACTAAATATTGCTGACTGCAGTGAAAACAAACTTCATATAACTATGACCCATGAAGATCCGGGGTAGAATAGGTCTTCAGTAACCCATGCTTGCCGTAGAAGGCGACTATGCTTGTCGTAAGAGGCAGCTAACTGGATCAGGTGGTCAGACTCGCTGACTTGGTTGATGCATGTTATCCTATCCCAATTGTGTATGATGCTCATGATATCAATCACTGGATTGTCTGGTCCAGACTCGATCGTTTACAGACCGCCGTCATGTAGCTGGAATATTGCTGAGTGCGACGTTAAACAAAAAATCACTTAACTATGATGCACATCCCCAGAGAGCATTAGATCGGCAGTTCGATACCCAGCCGTGTCATACCAAAAGACGTTAAAAGATGGTTTGTTGTAGCCCTGGCTGCTTTAGTGCAATATGCTTGAACATGACTTTAAACTAGAATAGACTCCAACATAAAGCAGTTTTCACTGATCCTTTGCAGAGTCAGTTTGATATATCGGTCAACTTCACACACGACGATGCAGAGAGAGAATGCAACTTCCTGTGAGTATACAATCCAGTTCCATTTTAAGGGTTTGATTTCAGGTTTGTCTCCCCTTAACCTAGTGCGGGCTGCAGTTAACTGATAGCACAACAGATGAACTGAATGCACCACATACTTTACTGGAAAATAAAATATGTATATAGCGTTGTATCGTGTATACATGGTATAAATTTGAAGCAAGTGATATTGTTTAACCTGTTTGTGGAATATTTTACCATCTGCACTGTGTGCAGTCTGCTTGTATACTTGGGCTGCACATGCCGATTGTAACCTGCACCAGTGCCGTCTCGTCAATGGGACATCACACACTGATATTTGATGTCACAAAGAAGGTCAATGATATACAGTCAAGTCTTGTGAATCCGACACTTGTTAATCCGACAATCGGCTTTATCCAACACTAATGAGTGTGTGAGTTGGGTTTAATGCCGCTTTTGACAGTATTCCAGTTATATCACGGCATGTCAGCTTAATGTGGGAGGAAAACTCGAAGTGATGCAGGTCTCAGACGTTTACCACTTCAGTGAAACCCACAAGCACGGGTATGCTGCTGACAAACCTAGAAACCAGCGAACCGGGATTCGAACCCGACACTAATCATGAGAACAGATTTAATCAGTGCTATTTAGACCCGTTAATCTAACAGTCTCTCACTCCGGCAACGAATTACCAAAATCACTCATTAATCAGTCTCGTTAATCTGACACAGTGATCAGCGTACTCCGTGGTCATCTGCCCGCAAGTACACAGCCAGTGTTTTGATGCAAGGCGAGTCGGCCGGTAGCTGCATATTACAAAGCTGCAGAGATAAACTTTGCTTAACAATAAACAATTTATGCTTTAAATAAACAAAACAGGATTCATCATATGCTTAGATTACCTCAATGTCATTATATTTATATGCAAGTTCTTGCTACCACTCACTCAGGACATCCCATTACACGTCACGTCAGAATGACCTTTTGGAAACTATGACCGACCAGTGACATGACTGTGTATGTGTTGTGTAGTTGTCCAATTTTCGATCATGAACCCATTTTCCCGAGGCAAGAAAGTTAACTGACTTTTAAAGTCCAGTTTCCACCCTTGCCGAAGTAGGCTGGAATTACTGGGCTCAATCGTGGCACCACCAGTGGCTATTACGAGTTATGTGACTTCTATGCCTCTCCTATGGACCAATCAGATTCCACCTCTCGTATCACTTGCGTTTGCTTCACACAAAATGGTGGCGCCAAGTCAGGACGATCTGATCGATAATGAAGATCTATATTGTCATAAAAGGGGTCTTACATCGCGAAATGCATCAAATCACGTGAGCACCTTGATTAAAAACATGAAAAGATTTGGAAAATATCTCTTGACGAGTTGGCGGTGCACATGCTTTGCAAATCTTGCAATCGACTGAAATCTGCATGACAGTTTACGAACCGAATTTCAATTTCGGTGCGCGATTTTGATTGGACCATGCATAGACTCGTTAGTCCAGCCAAAATGTAACTCCATTTCCAAAATGTACCAGCCTAGTTCGGCAAGGGTAGAAACTGGACTTTTATAGTTAATTAACTTTCTTGCCTCGGGAAGATGTCATGAACGTTGATAGTACTTAATTTCGTTTATCCGACATACTCGTTAATCCGACATAATCATATGCAACCAACCATTTCGGATTAACTGGACTTGACTGTATGCAACTAGGCAGTTTTCCTCATGTCCTGCCCCCTCAGGAACTCGGGGGTTAAATAGGTCCCAGCAACGTATGCTTGTTGTGAGAAGTGACCAAATGGAGTGGGTGGTCGGGCGCCCTGGTTTGGTTGTCTGCATGTGAATGTACCAAGACGGCCTGGATTGTTGCTCACAATATCGATGTCTGGATTTGTCTGGTCCAGAATCGATCATTTAATGTTGCAGGGCTGGGTAGTGGTGTGTATTGATACTCAAAATAAACACAACTTCAAACAAACAGTATCGATTCTGTCCCAAGAGTACTAGAACAATATTGTAACAGTAGACAATATGTTTAAGAGGTTTGATGGTTGTAGGTTACCATGGTTACTCTTTAGGTAACAAATGGAATGACTTCAGTAAACATAATAAAGCATATGAAATATAAGTAGCTGTCTTAGTATTGCCAAATATCAATATTGACAAAACATGTTTGGACACATATCATGACATCTTGAGACTCTTCTCATGACACTTTCTTATGACATGTACAACCATATCAAACATTTAAACTGTTGTGAATCATGTGTCTGTTTCAATTTCTGCACCATATTTTCCAGCCTTGATGTTCAACCTCACATTTTCCGAAGACGTAAAGTGAAAAAGGTAATTGACGCTGTGACAGTATTTGACCAGTGATGGGTGTCGCAATGCTTCATCATTGTTTATGCACAGTGAAGATCCGGGTAAAGAATAGGTCTTCAGCATCCCATGCTTGCTGTAAGAGGCAAAGCTGCTTGTTGTAAGAGCGACTAAAGGGATCGGGTGCTCAGACTCACTGACTTGGTTGATGCATGTCATCGTATCCCGATTGTGTAGATTAATGCTCATGATGTCAATCACTGGATTGTCTGGTCCAGACTCGATTATTTGCAGACTGTCGTCATATAGCTGGAATATTGCTGAGTGCGGAGTAAAACAACAAACCAAACCAAACCAAACCACTTGGGGCATCACAAGAACATATGCTAATTAGTAGTTACCTGTAACCATGGTAACAGCATAGAAGTAGAATATTTTCAAACAAAGTCTTCTCATCAGTTTACAAAACCCAATAGACTGGACGTAAGAGAGTAAAGAATCTACTGAAGAAAACTATTACTACCCGATGAGAATGTTAACGTGGGAGTATGCATGGCAAATACTCGGTGGTTCCAAATATTATCTGGATCCCTGTGCTGATGATAATGATGTATGTGACAGTGTCAGTCATTCTAAGTGGTCAACGTCCAATTAGGATTGACCAATTAATATAATCTTATATTTTCCATCTTCACTTATTCCCATGCAGTTTGACTTTGAGACATTCACAAGAACTAACGTGGCAAAAGCTGTCCGAGAAATCAGTGATGGAAAGTTTCAGGAGTAAGTACTGACGATGATTTAGTTTTGGTATATCTCACGGTTACCAGTTTATTTTTCCTGGTTTTTTTTGCATCTCATCAATTAATCCTGGGACTGGTTTTCTAATTCAAACCGAAAATAATCCACATGCTGACATCAGCATAAGCTACAACATGTACAAGCCACTGCAGTGTACATGGGAGATATCTACCTGTTACAGGGTGTATAATGTTTTCATGGTGTCCCCTACAGGTGCTACACATGCCCCCCGGCCCGGCCAGCCAACAAGTGTCGGTACCAGCTGGGCTGCTCACATGAATCTGTCTTTATAGCAGGTAACATTATGCATTGTTTGATAGTTAAAGCTAGTATGATGATAATGATGTTTCTTGGAAAGACACAAACTGATGAAAAGTGTTAATGGGGTAATTATGATCATAGACATATTTGGGTGATCATAGAAATAATAGAAATTTTTTGGTCGTCATAGTGATTAAAGAAATAATTATGATGTTTACAGAAATTAAATTGAAAATGACGAATAATGATGATGATGATGATGATGACGACCAATACTGATGATGGTAGTAATGATGATGACAAATACTGATGATGATGATGATGACGAATACTGATGATGATGACGCATACTGATAATGATGATGATGAATACTGATAATGATGGTGATGATGATGACGACGAATACTGATAATGATGATGATGGTGATGATGATGATGATGACGACGAACACTGATGATGGTGATGATGATGATGATGACGACAAACACTGATGATGGTGATGATGATGATGGCCAATACTAATAATGATGATGACGAATACTGATGATGATGACGATGAATACTGATAATGATGATGACGAATCCTGATGATGACGATGAATAGTAATGATGATGATGGCCAATAATGATAATGATGATGACGAATACTGATGGTGTTGATGAAGAATATTGATGATGATGACAAATGATGATGATGAATACTGATGGTGTTGATGACGAATACTGATTATGATGATGACAAATGATGATGATGACAAATGATGATGATGATGATGATGATGACAGAAAGATAGCCTATGCCTTAGTTTCACCTACTTGCTAACATTAGTTTGATGTCATGATTAGGCAGATACAACAAGTACAGTCGGCATCTGAGTCAGACTCCATGGATTGTCGATGGTGGCCGCAAGTCGGAGACGTCGGTCCAGGAACTCCTGTGTGAGATCATCCTGGACAAGTTCAAGCCAACAGGTAGAGACCCATCCACGCTAACAATATAGAGACACTCTAAGAGCAATGACCTCAACATTTTACTATTCAATGAAGGTAAATACATAACACTTGTTGTCGATAACAATTCTTCTTTTCTTCTTAAGCAGAGCTACTTCTTGTCCCTTCATCAGGCGAAGGGGCAAGCAGTAGCCCTCAAACATTGTTAAAAAGATTGAAAGAAGTTGTTTTCCATAAGAAGTGTTGTGTATTCATGCTCATCCAACTTCTAAATACCCAGCTTGACTTGATGAAGGTAATGCAGGCACTAACAACATAGAGAGCCATACTTGAGGCTGTTGTACAAGACATGGTTGATATTTTACAGATCACAAGTTGTCGTCGTCAGGAAGAGAAGATGTAGATGTCCGGATGTTGGGGACAGGTGAGTGTGTATCTAGTAGTCAACTCACAGCTGGATGATCCATATATACCCTGTATCTAGTAGTCAACTCACAATTGGATGATCAATATATACCCTGTATCTAGTAGTCAACTCACAGCTGGATGATCCATATATACCCTGTATCTAGTAGTAAACTCACATCTGGATGATCCATATATACCCTTTATCTAGTAGTCAACTCACAGCTGGATGATCCATATATACCCTGTATCTAGTAGTCAACTCACAGCTGGATGATCAATATATACCCTGTATCTAGTCAACTCTAGCCCAACTCACATGATGTATATTGACTTGCCTGCTAGAAACCAAGATGGTGTTTGGTAGTAACATTTTACGGTTCTCAGGTTGCTGTAATGAACCAGGGGACGTTTTAAAGGCTTCATAAACTTTAAACTGAATTATAGTATAACAAACGATTGATTACTTTTGATGAGGTCCATATGAGAAAACAGAGATCCTCGAGTCAGGTCATCAGGTCCTGCTTTCGCATACTGACCTAGTCAAGTGTAATTATTTGTGAAGTGTATGTTGTTTGTTTGTTTGTTTGTTTGTTTGTTTGTTTGTTTCTTGTTTAACGCCACACTTAGCAATATTCCAGCTAACTGACGGCAGCCTGTAAATAATCGAGCCTGGACCAGACAATCCAGGGATCAGCATCATGAGCATCGATCCACACAATTGGGATACGATGACATGCATCAACCAAGTCAGCGAGCCTGACCATCCGATCACGTTAGTTGCCTCTTACAACAACCATAGTTGCCTCTTACAACAACCATAGTCCCCTTTTACTGCAAGCATGGGTTGCTGAAGACCTATTCTACCCCGGATCTTCACAGGTCGTAAAGTGTATGTGTACTATTATATGTTACCATGATTATCAGGTAAAGACGTCATTAAGTCTTTATAAAACAATTTGTTTCTGCCAGGTCGGCCTTTTGTCGTGGAATTGATCAATCCACATGTGGTGAAGTTCTCAGCTGAAGACTTGAAGACGATACAGCAGGTAGATACAAGACAAACATGGCTGTGTGCTCATTGTGGATTCAGTGTAGGGCCTATTAATTCACATCAGTTGGTTTACAAACATTTGGCCTAAAATTCAATGTAGGTGGTAAGAAAAAAAATTTGAAATAATTTTCAAATTCCTGATTAGTGCTGTACTGCTACTAATGAATGAAAACAAAATCTCGTAGGTCACACCATCACAGAAGTACGATTGCGAAATGATTCCGAAAAATAATTGTTTGGTCTCTATGTTAAAATAGCGATTTTTACATGTATTATTTACCATTTCTTAGAAACAACAGTGATAAAATCTTTGGTATTTTTCCTTAAAATAGCCTGCCAAAACATAGGTTGTCAAAAGTCATTTTATTTAATTTCTAATTTCAGAGTTGTTTTTGTCAACTAAAGAAAAATAAAGCCTTATGTACACTACATACGAATAGATTCATTGATTCTATGATATGTCATTATAAGTGATGACGTCTGTCTATTTTCTCATTCTCTCTTTTGAAACAGGACACCAATAGTCTAACCAAGGATGTAGCAATATCGGATCTGCAGATAGTACCCCGGTAAGATTTACCAAGACTTTGTAAATGTGGTAGATGTTATCAGATTTTGTTGGTTTGTTTGTTTGTTTATTGTTTAACGCCGCACTCAACAATATTCCAGCTATATGACGGCAGTCTGTAAAATAATCGAGTCTGGACCAGACGATCCAGTGATTGACACATGAGCATCGATCCACGCACTTGGGATCGATGACATGTATCAACCAGGACCACCCAATCCCGTTAGTCGCCTTTAACGACAAGCATAGTCGCTTTTTACGGCAAGTATGGGTTGCTGAAGACCCATTCTAACCCAGAATCTTCACGGTTAGATATTACCAGAAGGAAGGTAATGTGAAAATATGTGTGTTTGTCAAGTTTGCTGCCTGCCTGTCGTCCAGAGGTTATTCTCCAGTGATACAGCAGGCTTCATGCGTTCCTTTTCATTTTGGTGGATAGAGTGTCTGTCAGGGGAGCGGAGGGTTGGTTGTTCTGTCCCCGGCTCATCTTACCAAAAGACGTTAAAAGGTGGTACTTGTTGTTACCCTGCCTTGCGCTCAGCCTTAAATGGATAAAACAAGGACTGATAGGCTCAGGGTCAGTATACTGGTCTCAGTGGGGTATCCATGTTAAACTGCAGCATGGTATCTCAGGGGGCTAGTCCAGACTAGTACAAGCAAACACACACACACACACACACACACACACACACACACACACACACACACATGCACTTCGCTATATATGTGCAATAATCTTGAACACCCCATTTCACCTCACCCCCCACCCTGTTATTCCTATGTTACCAGTAGTTGTCAATAGTTTACATGTGACCCGTGAAGATTCTGGGGTAGAATAGGTCTTCAGCAACCCATGCTTGCCTTAAAAGGTGACTATGCTTGTCGTAAAAGGCGACTAACGGGATCGGGTGGTCAGACTCGCTGACTTGGTTGATGCACGTCATCGTATCCAAATTGCGTGGATCGATGCTCATGATATTGATCACTGGATTGTCTGGTCCAGACTCGATTATTTATAGACTGCTGTCATATAGCTGGAATATTGTTGAGTGCGGCGTTAAACAACAACCCAACAACAACAACAACAACAACATGTATTGTGAGTGATGCTTTCTGTAGTCTGGCCAGCAATCATCTTTATGTCCACAAATTTGTTGCTATGATCTTAACTTTGAAAGGAACTGCTGATTTTTGATTACTGAGTAATTAATTTTGATAACATGATATGCAATTGCCTCAGACACTCAGACCATTAATTTATGATTTGTTGGATCAAGCATCTGCTGACCCTATTTCGACAGTTTGCCCACTAATAGTGTTCGAGTATCCTACGCTGATGCAGATATCTTTTAAAGAAATAAATCCTTCCGACTTTTGACGTTGGCAGACAAAATCTGTGATCCAACATAGGAAATAGCAATGGCCGAACCCATTTGCTTGACTTGTTAGCAGCTTCCAATAATGTCTGAACTATTGCACTCAGGGAGGACACGGCCAACTTGAAGGAAGGCGAGATTGAGAAGAGCAAGACATACAGCGCCCTCTGCTGGTCTGAGACCGAACTACAGCAGGAACAACTCGACAAGCTTAAAGAATTAACGGTATGGCTCAGTTATCTGGATTAGACATTAAATGGTTTGATCTGTTTGAAGAAAGAATTTTGTTAGGTGATTAACATGCTTAAGCATGTTTTAGACTGCTGATTTGTTTTTCAATATACCCAGTGTCGTTGTTGATTGTTCAGGGAGATAATAGGAGATAGAAGTATTTAAAAAATGTCACATTTTCAACTTCCAAGAGTTCAGTTCAGTTGCATGTGGAATGAACCGTTCTTGAACCACATTGACTGTTCCTTGTCATGCATATGCAGGAGCTAACCACTAGTTACGTTCAGGTGTGTTTTGGGTACGTTTTTCCATCGCCTTCAATCTTGTTTTTAATAGTCGTCAATTTTACAAGTTTTATTAAAGAATCCAATCAGTGTGTCATAGACATAAACAAAATGTTTTCAACAGTTACAGTTCAACCTACTCCGTTTACGATGATGCTTGTTGGCATATGTTCGTGTTTGACACCCAACATACCTAGGTGACCCTTTAGTAAAGACTCTGTGTATATAATATAGAGGATATGATTTGAGTGTTCGTGTCATACTATGTTTACAACACGAGTGTCTAAATTTTGGTATTTTCTGAGTGAGAGCGATGGAAATACCCAAATTTAGGCACGAGTGTCGCAAACCTAGTAGGACATGAACACGAATATAATGTTCTATTTATTACCGAAGAAGGCGTCTTTGTACTGAGACAAATTTTAGTGTTTACCTATAAGGACAGCAAGTTGCAACAGCATTGGAACCACAATTTGTCGAATGACCTCAACAATCTTCAGCTATGACGTCATTCCGACCTCATGTCACAATAAGATTTGAATGACGTCAACGATGACGTCCAGATGACGGAAACAATACACTGTTGTCTCGTGACATGATATGACCCTAGGGCACATATGATTTTTATGAACCCCGATGTGTTTGACCTCGTAGGTAATAAAGATTTGTTTTATGATTTCAGGACTTAAAACTGGATCAGAAGACACCACTAAGAGTTTTGCATAGGTACATAATTACAATACCTTCTTGTTGATCGATTACACCCATGAGGAGGCCTGGTTTGATTCGGCCCCCAGTCTTATTAATGGAATACCTTGCTCGAACCCATCCTAATTAACAAAATACATAAATTTGTACTACAAAGGGTTGACGCTGTGTTTATACTGACCATGCTGACAGATAAGGACAGAGACTAACTTGTAAATGTGGTCTGTTTGGCTATCTGTACTGACAATTTATCCATAGTTCTATCAGATCAGGACACTAGTCTTAGTGCTAAGATGTAACATATGTTATGTTTGGGATTGCACTTTTTTAGTAAAGTACAAAATCTAGTACTTTTTTAGGCTAAATCCCATCCAGGATTCAAACCCACACTTCTCAGAGTAAGTTTGCCAACACACAAAGTCAGCGACCTAAGCCACTGAGGGTTCCACAAAAAATGGAAGTCAGACAACTGGTGGTCTTGATCACATACTTTTGTGTACCCCACTGATACGTGTAAATTGGAACGGCTCCCATCACTGAAAGTGGTCACAAAGTATGTGATCTAGACTTTAGGGCTGGGACCGGTAACTCGGGTACCCGGGTCGGGTTGGTACTGAGTAGGACCCGGGTACCCACAGGACTACCCGGACCCGTGGTTAGTCACGTGATTATATTGTTTAATGGCAAAAATTATCTAGAACTCTATGGTTACACTGTAAGTGATAAATGTTCACATTTCTTTCTGACTTTGCACACATTCCTTCCGACTTTACATGTTTGCATAATGATAAAACATCAGTCAACGTCAGTGTATGCATGACCAGATCGGTTTATACGTGTATCTAAATGTATTTTGACAGGAGTACGGTCAAACTATTCCCAATCGGACATGTTTTACCTATCTCTTGAGACCTACAGTGGGTACCCGGGTAGGGTCGGGTCATAGTGGGGTGGGTACCCGGGTAGTAAATTTGGACTCGTCCCAGTCCTACTAGACTTCCAGTTGTTGGACTTCCATTTGTGTGGAAGCCTCAGTGGCTGAGGTCGCTGACTTTGTGTGGAAGCCTCAGTGGCTGAGGTCGCTGACTTTGTGTGGAAGCCTCAGTGGCTGAGGTCGCTGACTTTGTGTGCTGATGGTTAGGTGCCTGATTCTGAGAAAGATGGGTTCAAATCCTGGATGGGACTCAACCCTAATAAGCACTGGAATTTGTACTTGACTAACAAACTGCAATTCCATTTATAACATTTGTTATATTTGACCACTTTCTGAAAGGCATTTTGTATTCTTAGTGCTAAGATAATTGTAACTCTCATACTTTAACATAGGCTTATGTTAGCCATGGGCCCTGTTCCACAAACAGATCTAGAGCTGCTATTGTCTAAAGTCAATGTTAGTGTACGGCCATTATGATCATCTTACTCCTAAGATCACTTTGGGGGCCCAGGGCTCCGTTCCACGAAACCACTGTAGTGCTACGACTGGAGTAAGTCTATGTTAAAGTTACGATTGTTACGCTGCGACTGTCATAAATCTGGACTGGATTCATGGAAATTTGTAATTGGGTGAGGCAAACATCTATGGTACCGGTGTCTCCTTTTTTCAGACGGCCTCTAGCTTCTCGTTTGCGGGTGATACACAACATGCATGCTGAGAAGGTCAACAAGCACCACTTCCGGCTGTATCTGTCCACACAAGCTGGAACGTATCCTTGAGGATTTCACACACAAAACTAAGAACCAAATAGCAATGTTACTGATTCTCATGAAGTAGATGATTTTGTGGAAATATAGCTGAATATGCTTTTTCAGTCAGTTGGTAGAAGCAGGATTTATGTTACTGTAGTGTTGGGGGCGGTGGGGTAGCCTTGTGGGTAAAGCGTTCGCTCGTCACGTCGAAGACCCGGGTTTCATTCCCATAATGGTTACAATGTGTGAAGCCCTTTTCTGGTGCCTGGAAGCCCATATTGCTGGAATATTGCGGCGTAAACCTATACTCACTGACTACTGTAGTGTTGCGTGTATATACGCCCACTGTCTGATGTTAACTCATTCATTGGGCCAAAGTTAGGGATAGGGGAAACAAAGATATATTGATTGTTGGATTTCAGTCTTAGTTTGTTGTTTATTATCAACTGATCTTACCATGCTTACTGGACTGAAAGAAATTTCACTAAACTTTACTAGTAATGTACATCTAGGCTGCAGATATGGCCTTAGGATTTTTAGTAGTCTAACGCTTAGTCTCTGAAAACCCTATGTAAATTGAAAAGGAGCCCAAGTGGGATGAGAGATTCAGACTCCTTTTCGTGTAGAAAATCTAGACTTGCTTCATTTAGAGCTAAAGCATTTCATCAAGGGCTGGGCAGAAGGGAAAATAATGTGGTTCATTGGCCGAGACAGACTAGATTATGAAGTGCAAGATCAGCTATGGCCAGTTGTTTTGCATATAATACAGATAGAGAAACATTTTGTCTACACTTTTAATTTTCTATGCTGCTGTGGATCCCTTCTTAAATAGACTGGTTCATTGCTGTAATTGCATAACATCACCTTTATGATGAGTGTAGCAACAGTATTTTCCCTCTTGTTCGTGTTCATGGGACAGTATAGTTTGGAAGATGTATTTCAATAAAAAAGATTCATATCTTAACCTTCAACCAATGAACGCACTGTCCTCTCTCCGTTATTCCTTAGCAACATGTAGTTACATCAAGGAGTTCGTCCACGGGGACTTTGGCCGAACTACTCCAAATCTGTCCATTCTGCTGGGAGTGGAATGTGATATCCTAGAACTGGACGTGGAGGTAAGGGTCAACAAGGAGATATTCCTCAGCAGTGCTGGATCTTGCACTGCAGGTTTCTGTAGTTGCATGTTAACTGTATGTGTGACAATCACATAAACCCCCATTTAATCCAGCTCTCTTTAGTCTCCTAACATGGACAAGTACTGTACATGTACCATCTATACCACTGAAAAATGAAACAGATGTCTGTATGCTTGAGATGATAGAACCTAGCTTTGGATATACTGTTGTTGTGAAAGGCAACTATGATCGGACCTTCAGACTTTGATGTTTAATCATCGAGCCCTGAATGCTCATGTTTCAAGCCACTGTTTTGCCTGTTCTAAACTTCATTAGTTAAGCTCTGTGATTTATACTATAGCTGCAACATTGTGATCACCCATACACACACTGAATACTTGTTTAATTTCATTTCATACTCTTTAATTGAGAACACAGGGTTACAGATGACCCAGTCGTCTAACGCGCTGCAATTCACTGTGCTGAGTTGCATTCCTTGGGCACACCAGAACCTGTGATCGTGGGTTTGAATCCGCTTTACCCTGGTTATGTTTCTACGTTTGTCTGCTCCATACCCGTGCTCATGGGTTTCACCAAACTGGTCAATGTCTGAGACCTGCATATCTTCAGGCTTTCCTCTGTCATTAAGATGACAACTTGTGATATAACTGGAATACTGTTAAAACCGGCATTAAACGCAAATCACTCACTCACTCATTGAGAACACGCAGCCAATTCCATGATTCAGCACCTCATAAGATACTGACACTGACCTCCAGAATTCATAACTTGTGCATGTTAGAAAACTCTTTTTTCTTCTATTAATTTTAAACCTAGTAAGATTTTCACATTTCTGTTCCAGGCCGTCAATGTCGAGTGGCCACCTCGGCTGTCTTGATGACTGCCAGCTACACCTGTGATATGAAAGACATTTCTACAAGTGCTGTGTTACTGCATCTAGTGTAATCATGTTCACAAGAACTCTCCACTTGCAACATGGAGGGACAAAATTGGCATTTCCTTATAATAATCTCAATCATGCTGTATAAATGAACTGTGACAGAGATTTGTGTTGTCTCCTATGAACATTTCATTGTTGTTCAAAACTCAAATTGGTGCTTCCATTTAGTCTGGCTTCCCTATTTCCTGAAGGGCTCACTGAAAAGGTCTTATTGTGGGGTTCGGTAAGGACATATAACATGTATAAGGTTACGTGCTTGAATAATGAAAATTTTGTATGTGCTTAATTTTATTGGAAAAGGGGCGTGTTGAGTTATGAATTGTGTGAAATGTAGTCGAAAAGATTGCTGCAACAATTCTGTAAATGCAAGGGGGCGATTGGGTAGCCTAGTGGTTAAAGCGTTCGCTCGTCACTCCGAAGACCCAGGTTCTAATCCGACATGGGTACAATGTGTGAAGCCCATTTCTGGTGTCCCCCGCCGTGATATTGCTGGAATATTGCTAAAAGCAGCGTAAAACCAAACTCACTCACTGTGAATGCAAGTAACAAACTAGGAAGACTTTAGGAAGTATGTAATCCTTAAAGATAGCCATCAAGCAACACCTAAAGGCAGGAAGACCTTAGGTAACATATGACCTAATTGTTACAATCGAGTTCCCTATTGTCACACGACTTCAGTGTTAAAACTACAACACATAGCAAAGCAAAGATTTATGGGTAGAGAAAGTCGGACACTGAAAAACATTCAATAATGTAAGCCTTGTTTTGGGCATTAAACTGTGCTTGAAATGATGGCTGCTGTTACAAGGGCATCAAATGAAATCTTGTTCTTGGGGAGTAAAGAAAAAGTGTTTGAGCACTTATAGGGCTGTGGGAAAAATTATTATTGGGGATGAGGGCATGGGTGGCCCAGGTGTCTAAGGCTCGGGTGTTTCATCGAAGTTGTAAACATCTAAGACCTGAAATGCTTTGGGCTTTCCTCCTATGTTGTGGAATACTAAGTAAGGATAAGACATATGGAATACTGTTCAAAGCAACACTCACTCACGTTTATTGGAGGGATGGGCTGGAGATGTTTCCATATTATGTTTAGTTAAGTGAAGAGCTATCTTTCCAAGTATTTAATTAATTTAATTTTGTTTTGTTACTGCCCTCCACCATTACACCAAAATAGTTCACACAACCGTTCTTCATGTGTAAGCAGTAACTATTTGTTTCATAACATGTCCCCCCGAATACATTGTGTTCTGGGTCTCCGTAGTAGGGACAACTTTTGTGTGCCAAACAACTTTGATTGAGAAGCAATGTGTCCATTAGTAAGTAGGCTCTTTCACCACAGAAATCAAAAGTTCTGATTAAAAACAACACACCAGTCGTCATTATTGAAATCAGAACTTCCGACTCCAACATATATATGACTTTTATATACTCTTGAGCATTGTTGAGATCCTGGACGGAAAGTTTGATCAGTTCCAAGGTGTGATGTGATCTCAGGGTGACCTTTTGAAGTCGGATGTGTTTCAAGATGTTGTGGTATGAGACATATATATATTTTTGTCTAACAGAATACACTTAGTGATACACATTAACAGGGCAAAAGTTGTGGATGTGATAACAAAGTATTCACAGTAATTTTCTTATTCAGAAAATACAGTGAAATGTCTCCAAACAAAAACAGAAATTTGCTAAGTCGATCTATTGTTTCTAAATGTGTCATGCCAATTCAACAATGAAATAAAATAACTGTTCTTTTAACTGCCCATCACTAAAATGTACATCTTAAAACCACAGAATGATGTCAGTAACTGGTGATGCGTGACTGCTGTTTCCCTAACAAGACACTTGAATGTAAATCTTGACAATTGAGTTCATATGTACATATCCACTTCCAAGAATAAATTCAACACCACTATGCTTCATACTTGATTTATTCTTTTTCCCATTTGGTTAAAAAATTATTACTACAGAATGAGGCTTGAACTGTACATTATCAATTTGTCCTATGTTGCGATACTGTGAAATTGTAGGCCAGGTATTCGGCAGTCGGCAAGCAGGCAGGGACAGGAAAGAATGGATACATCTGGAGTCGGCCTTGAACACAATATATCAACATTAACACAACACAGGGCCGAGGAGGACCTCGGCAATAGCACTATTTCAACATGGGGATAACAGTCAAAGGCTGTATGCCTTTCTTACAAGTCCTGCTTGTAGTGGATATTTTCAGCACCGTCTTTCAAAGCAAAACCATACTAACCTCTATGATAGAAACTATGAACGTCAATTAATTTTTCGAGGAAGAAATGGCCACAATCAGTCTTGTCATTATTCTTTACAAACATTGCACACATCAAATCAACCAACAAAGATTTTTTGTATTTCTAAATGAAGTTACATTTATAAAATTTCTAATATTTGTGAAGCAAATTAATCCTGATTTAATAACATTATTGTAATTTAATATGAATGGTAATGGTTCATTTAACATGCGTTCAAATCTCATTATATCAATTTCATGACAACCAAACATAATAGAAATATTCATAATCCACACAAATACTGGATTACCAAAACTACATTAGATATTTTTATGAAGAAATATTGTTGGAGCAGTTCTGTTATGCAAACAGAAGTAGGTAGCCACAGATCCTTGTTCAATATACAGCAATAACTGTCGCCCTTATCATGAGAAAGCATGGTAATCCTTGTCCAAACGCCTGGACACTCAAGGCAATTTCATCTTTAACACCTCCAACCAGCATTTAAAGGGTTACTCAATACATGGGAAATTTATCAAAGCCTTTGAATGCCCCGCATTTTAACTGAATCCACAGTATCATGAAGGGCGTTATAACAGTATGACTGTATGCAAAAACTGTAACTTCAGATTAGGGCTGGGACGGGTAGCTCAGGTACCCAGTTTGGGTGGGTACTGAGTGGGACCGGACCCGTAGTTAGTCACGTGATATATTGTTTAATGACAAAAATTATCTAGAACTCTATGGTTACACTACAAGTCACTAATGTTCCCATTTCTTCCTGACTATGCACCCATCCTTCTGAGTTTTGATATGGTTGAATAAAGATATAACTTAATTCAACTTCAGTGTATGAATGACCAAATTGTTTAATACATGTATCTTAAACGTTTTGCCAGGGCTATGCTAAAAATGTTCCGATTCGGACATTTAGAGATATCTCCTGAGACCTACAGTGGGTACCCGGGTAGGGTCGGGTAAAAGGGGGATGGGTAACCAGGTAGTAAATTTGGACTCGTCCCAGCCCTACTTCAGATAATAATTGAGTACACGTTACCTCCTCAGGAAACGTCTTGTTTAAAAGTATTGTACCATAACAGCTTTCTGAAACATTGTGCGCTTCTTCCCTCCTACTTGGTGTTTTGTTCATACCAAGCAGAATTCTACATAAGCCTGTTAATTGTTAATGCAACACTGCTATTTCAAAATGGGTCCATCATGAGATATCACCAAATGAATGGATTTTCAAAATTACCAATACTTCCCTCAAGTTTATTGTGTTTATGACCAGAAATGTTTAGACCTAGACAGGTTTTCCTTACCTATGCACTATTTTCATGACCGGAACTATCTATCCTGCAAGTTGCACTGAATATAGATTGGGCTGAAATGCTGAAAGCAGGTTGTGACCAAGTCAGTGCGACTTAGCCGTCCGTGACTTTAGCGACTCATCTGAAGCCTGAGTACATTTTTGTTTTGTCTAGTGAGCTCAATTTATGACAGACCAAATTCTAAGCCTAAAATCTACTAAGAGAATGCAGGACATGTTCAAAAGTTTCAGTACAGACTGCTTACTATTATTACAACGTAGTACCAAACTATTGAAACAAACTGTTTCAAGGATACCTACATCCTAACGTTCAGGACATATGCTTGTAAACCCGAGTTGAAAATATCCACATCAAGTTTGGCACAGGTGGAGGAAAGGACAGACAGAAGCAGGCAGATATACACACTAGGGCACTGTGACTGTTACTGTAAAGACATACATAGAACCGACATAAACAGAAGCACCCTCGTCCCCGAGCCACTCAGGGAGGAGGCAGCAGGGAAGGGCGTCAGAGAACTAGTTGTGTATGGGAAGGAATGCACACAGCTCCGCTCATGTCTCTAGTCACCTTGTCTCACAGATAATGCTCTCAACAACCTCATCGCTTCATCTTGTGGTCGGCTTCATCTCATAGTGCAGGGCAAGGTCCCATGTGTACAGTAAGATCAAAAAGTAGGATCATCCAAGATGGGATTTCCATTTGTGAAAGGAAATAATCTGCACCCAACAAAGAAATGGTCATAGCTAGAAGCATTGATGACATCAGTTTGTCCTGCTTTGAATCAATTCAAGAGAGGTTTAGTTCAAGAGGATTGATTCATTCATGAGAATTAACAATAAAGAGACCCTTCCACATAATATTGGCACTATGAGTAAAGCCAAAACATACTAAAGCTTTTGGGTTCTCAACCAACCAGGCTGTTGTGGGCATTGTCATAGTACGTGAGCAATCTGGGCATTTTGTAGGAAGCAATCTTGACTGTAGGTTATTCAATAACAACAATAGCTTGTCCAAGACATTGGGTTAAGTCTTGTCACACAAGCTAATCATGATATCTGTAGTTATATTCACATTCAGGTGTCACTATATCACCATTCTTGCTATTGGCATCACATTTCAAGCATCACCATTTTCATCAGTATTTTCCAAGCCTGCTTGGGTTATTTGTTCACAGTTTTCCTTCCATGAAGATCCTCTTCAATCACTGCAGATAATGAATCACACTTTGAAGGGCACAGCAAAATAATGATGTCCCTCACAGAAGTCGTCTTTACAATATGTTTAGACAGCACACATCAACAACAAATCCCCACCACTCCCCTATATTGCTGAATGGACTCTTCCATATTGTCATACTGGAAGATACTATTATGGTGAAAGAGGGAGGTATAGTGGGCAAGGTGATTGTTGAGTGCCGCACTGTTTGATTTCAATCGAGTCATTGTATCACAATCTAGTCAGTCCTAGCTACTTTGTTTGCGTGAATGTACAAATTTGTAAGTCTTAGGCGGCAATACAGGCGTGTCCCTATCTTCACCGTTAAGGTCCAAAAAGTTATAGCCCCTGTCGGAGTTATGCCTAGGCAGAGTGGCGATATGTCCACTGTGAGCAGAGCGAGGATGGGAGACGCTAAGTGATCGGGGCAGTGTATTGTTCACGTTACAGTCTCGCATGGAGTCCCGTCTGGGGGGCACAGGTGGGGGTTTATCACTGTCCTGCCGTGGGGGCGGGGGAGGAGGGTCACATGGGTCAGTGACCGAGTTGCGGGGTTTGCGTCTGGGCGGGAGGGGAGGTGGTTGCAGTGGGTAGTTGCCGTCTTCTGGGATGGCAGCCGGGGTGGACACAGAGCTTGCTAGACTTGTACTGCTGGTGCTTAAAAACCCAGCATCTGAAATAGGAAATAAACTCTTATGTATAAAAATACTGTTCTGATTGGAAAGTTATAATGGAATGTACCACTGTCTTTGTCAATACTTCACAGGTTTGTTTACACGTTCCTCCATCACCTGTGAATACCTATGGCCACTAAGTTGTGTAATGTGATGAGGATCAAATGATCCCAATCTAATTAAAATCAGATCTGGAACAATCACTGTATAAATATCAAGTCGGATAACCAATTATATATGACCATGGCCTGTTTATAATGGCGTCAGGACCAGACAATCCAGTAATTGATATTTTGAGCAACAACCCACATCTTGGTGCACAATCATTCATAATCAACCAAGTGTACAGTAAACTACGGTTATAACCAATTTTAGTTTCTTAAAACCGTATGTGGTTTTTTTGTTTGATTGTTTGTTTTCAAATGCTGCACTCAGCAATATTCCAGCTATATGACTGTGGTCTGTAAATAATCGAGTCTGAACCAGACAATTCAGTGATTGACATCATGAGCAGGACCTGTGTACAGTAAACTACGGTTATAACCAATTTTAGTTTCTTAAAACCGTATGTGTTTTTTTTGTTTGATTGTTTGTTTTCAAATGCTGCACTCAGCAATATTCCAGCTATATGACTGTGGTCTGTAAATAATCGAGTCTGAACCAAACAATCCAGTGATTGACATCATGAGCATCGATCCACACAACTGGGATACGCTGACATGCATCAACCAAGTCAGCGAGCCTGACAACCCGATCCTGTTAGTTGCCTCTCATGACAAGCATAGTCGCCTTTTACAGCAAGCATGGGTCGCTGAAGACCTATTCTAACCTAGATCTTCACGGGTCTGTAGTTGGTTGTTGGCACATCTACATCATTTTTATAGCAAATGGCCAGGACCAAAAAAAATAGTTTGTTATATCCGCCAGTTCGTTATAAACATGTTCAGTATAAACATAGTTTACTGTACTTACACCCAGAATCCCTGAAAGAGTGAGTAAGGATGGTTTTCGCCGCTGTCATCAATATTCCAGCAATACAACGGCAGGGGACACCAGAAATGGGCTTCACACATTTTACGCATGTGGAAAATGAACCCAGGTCTTCGGCGAGACGAGCGAGCTCTCTTTAGCCAATAGGCTACCCCACCCCCCCAATCCCAGAAAGAAACCATACAGGTTCCATAAACTGTAACTCCTACTTCATGAGTACTTACTGGCAATTCCGTGATCAAACACATTGTTGAAGCTGCTCCCAGTGGCAGTGTGTGGGGGGGTGAGGGGACTGCAGGGGGTGAGAGGGGGCGTGGCAGCAGCCTCATTAGACTCTGTATCCTCCGGGCTCTTCACAGGAGCAGGGAAGCCGATGGGGAAGACACTCCGGGTTGATGTGCTGTGTCGGTTGGCCATGGGCTTAACACCAGGGGACTTTAAAGAGTACTCCAGAAACTTCTTGGGCTGTGAACAGTGCCATAGTGTCATTCAAATACTCCACATTCTTACACTTACTTTGAGACAATTACAGTGTCAGAAAAAGCATGTGGCCAATCCGGACCACTAAATATATTTGACAGTGTTCTGGATTAAAAGGACACCTGGCTTCCTTGGGGTGATCTCCAATGATATTTGAATTTGGGATCCCCATAATCTTTAACTGCTGACATTAGGGTTATGGCTAGACCCCTGAACTTTCAAACACAGCTTGAACTGAGTGAGATTTTGCTTTACGCCACTTTCAGCAATATTCCAGCAATATTCCAGCAACATCACAGCAGGGACTCCAGAAACAGGTTTCACACATTGTACCCATGTGGGGAATAGAACCTGGGCTTTCAGTGTGATAAGAGAACACTTTAACCACAAGGCTACCCCACTGCCCCAGTTTTAAAAATAAAATCATTTTGTTTACACAACAGAAAAACGAGAAGTGATTATCTCCTTTAATAATCTTGATGTGATATTATGAGAGCATATTTCAGTCACATTCTTTTCTCAATAAACATATCAAAATAATTCATCATTGCTGGCATTCAACAAATCAACACAGGCCCAGCAAGAACATCTAATTTGTCCACACGGAGCTGGCTTGAAGCAGTTCTTCTCAACATTATCTGGCCCAGATCGCCAGTAGACTGTTTCATGGAAATCTAGCCCTGAGAGTATGTCAGTACTTTTCCCTTTTTTCCGGACTAAAATCAGTAAAAGCAAATTTCAATCTGTGAGAATGAGTAGGGCACACACTGATCTAAGAAATATTCCATCAATACAGGCGATGTGTGAAATGGGCTTCACACATTGTACCTATGTGGGGAATCGTACCAGAGCCTTCGGTGTGATGAGTGAAAGCTTCATCCACCAGGCTACCCCACCGCCCCTATAGATAGAATGAAATGCCCCTTCATTTGCTGATAACAAGTAACAATAATAACACTGATATTATGGAATCCTGCAATGCAACACAAGATACAGGAGAGGAAAATGACTTACAAACTTGGGAACCTGTTTGGCTCCTCTCGGTTCTATCTCCAATGACTTGGCATACAACATGTCGTTGAAGTCTTTCTCAGACATGCCTTCCAGTGGATTCAAACTCTCAAAGAATTCCTGAGGAAACAAAACACATTTAAACACATCCCACTTTCTCAAAAACAGGAATCTGCAATACAATTGGAGCTGTCATGATATGTGAGCACATGTGAAGACAGTTGTAGGTATTGAAGAGAACTAGCAAGGGCATTTTACTATTGAAAAATTACCATCAAAGTTTAAACATTACGGCTATATTATTGTTAGACAGTGTTTCCCTACCCTGATCGAGGTCTCTGCAGAGAGACAATAAGGTTGGTTCTGGTACTGCTGAATCTCCCCTGTTATTTCCGCCACCTTTCTTCTCTTGCTGAAGTTAATCAGCCCTGGATGCCGGTTTTGCAGGAAGTCTGGGTTCCCTTCTTCTGTCTTCAGGATATTTGTCAGGTACATACCTGGGCGAGGCAAATCAAATATATATTCGTAAATAAAAAATGTAAATAAAACATTCCTCACTGTAAATGTGCACAGATGTCTGCTGGTAGTAGTGAGTGAGTGAGTATAATTTTACGCCGCTTTCAGCAATATTCCAGCAATATCACGGCAGGGGACACCAGAAATGGGCTTCACACATTGTACCCATGTCAGGAATCAAACCTGTGTCTTCGGCGTGATGAGCAAACGCTTTAACCACTAGGCTACCCGTTGGCAGCCCTCTGTTGGTAGTAACATCTTCAAATCAAGTCTACATGCTACTTACCCAAGAATGGCACACAAGGTGGGTTTATTGAGCGGAGTTTAACTTTGTACTTCTGCAAATGATCAGAGTTGAGTTCATTGGCTTCATCATATGCCCGGAGGTACTTGTTAGGAATCTCCTACAACACAAGCAGTTGAGTGAGTGTCTTGCAAGTCACTGGTATTCAGCTGTATTAATGAAATCAACCCAGGAACTGGTAGCAGGGACATCAAAACATGACATCATCTTGTATATTGAACAAAAAGTTAGGCATCATGAATGTTTTGGGGATATTTATATGAAATTTTGTGCTCAGACTTCACGACAAAAAACATCCCCAAGTATATCCATGATCCATGAAAACTTTTTTTTGTTCAGTATAGTAAGATTAACCCCAGACAGGACTTTCCTTAAATTTCCGCTAAAATCAGTACTATCTACATTTAGTTTTCCTAAATTACTCATGGAGAACACAACATACATTTTCTCACAACATGGGCATTAAAATTTACTTTCTGGTGACCTACAATGTAATTGTTAATTGAAAACTTCTCATCAAAACATACCTTAAAGGTGTTTTCTAGTCGATAAACAGGTGCTGAGTTGAGAGCACTGACGACCTCGAGGACGCCATTGAAGTTGTTGAGCTCCTGGAAGACATGCATGATCTCTAGGATCCGCGACACGATGGCTACACGCTCCTCCAGGTTCTCGGCTTCTATAATACATTTCTCCAGCCAGAATGTGAACTGCAAAACAGAGCAATCACAATTCCAGTAACATCCTTACAAGTCTCTTCAGCAGTCTCCGAAATAAGCATGTTCCCGTAGGCTGTGGCAGGTATATCTTGTGCCAGGCCAGTAGTTTCAAATTTGTATGGGTCCTTATGGGCTACCTGCGGGTCAATTTATTTATCACAATAAGCTGCAGTTTTTTTAATGAGAGCCTCAAGGGGTTTAGCCAGGGTCTACAGCTTCTCAAGTCTGTGGGTCCTGATGGAAGCCTGGTAATTTCTTTTAATGTCAATCACTGCTCTTCAGCCTACAATACAACATGCACAGAGCTTTACGTCAAAACAGGCCTGGACCAATGAATGAGCTGGTTTTATGCCACCTTCCAATATTTTAGGCCAACACTCCAGCCATGACAGTTGGGACTCCAGAGATGGGTTTCACACATTGTACCCATCTTGAACCTGGGACTTGGGGGTGACCAACAAACACTATAACAAATAGGCTACCACACCCTCTCTAAAAAAGAAGAAGCCTAATTCAATTGTTCAATATTTTTTCACTTGAAGTTTATGTTGGTTGGTTGGTTGGTTGGTTTGTTGTTTAACGCCGCACTCAGCAATTTGCCAGCTATATGATGGCAGCCTGTAAATAATCAAGTCTGGACCAAACAATCCAGTGATTGACATCATGAGCATCGATCCACGCAATTTGGATCGATGACATGCATCAACCATGTCTGCCAGCCTGACCACCCCATCCAGTTAGTCTCTTCTTACGACAAGCATATTGTTTATGGAACATACTTGCACTGATGAGTGAGTGAATGAGTGAGTGATTTGGGTTTGAAACCACCTGGAACAGTATCAGCTTGATGTGGGAGGAAAGCCCATTATGATGCAGGTCTAAGAGCACAGGAATAATCTGACAAACCTAGAAAAATAGGTCCCAGGTTTCTGGTGTACGCAAGGGAAACAACTCTGCACAGCAAATAGCTGTAACTTGGATGACACAGTGTGTTTAAATTTACATAAATCTAAGCACAAGTCAATTCAACTCATACAAAGACAAACAGTTTACCATGGTTGAGAAGTGAATCATCTTCAGTAGGTTGGGTGATGTCTTCATCTTGTCCTTCTTGATCCAGGGACTGCCAACCAGTTCAGATGGTTTCACAGCTCGGTACAAGTCAAACTCCAGCAGCGTCACCTGCCTGGCGATCTCTATGGGGTGAAGCTGGGAACACATGTATAATGTGATGAAGGATTCTATTACAACCAACACTCTCCCTCACGCTTAGTCTGTGTCAGTGGACTAGGTAAATTCAAAATTAGACTTAGAAGATTTCACAGAGAATCTAAAAGAATTTCTTGAACATGATGAGTGGCGAGCAAGATATATTTAAAGAATATCCAGAATTACAGATTAGATGTCGTTCGTTTGTCCGTTCATCCGTTCGTCCGTTCATATGGTTTTATGCCGCTTTTAGCAATATTCCAGCAATATCATGGCAGGGCACACCGAAAAACAGGCTTCACACATTGTACCCATGTGGGGAATCAAACCCGGGCCTTCAATGTGACGAGCCAACATTTTAACCACAAGGCTACCCCACCGCCCCTGTCCCAAGTGAATATATGGTGTAAGTTCCAAGCTGATTGTTCCTGACGCTATCAATTTGTGACATGATCATTAGATCACATTATACTGTCATATAACTTCAACCAACAGCACTGAGAAATGCAGATATGCAACTCTAAAAATATTGAAAAGTCATCCTTATAACCCCTCTTCCTCTATGGGCAATATATAACAGTAATACGATTCACTAGACATACAACAGATTGCTTAGCAGACCTTCACTAAATAGATTACCCTCGTCGGTCAGAAAATCATAATGTACTGCTACTCACACAAATATGTTGACAATACTTACAGTCATAAGGTCATAATCGTCTGTTCTTTTCGCAATATGCCATTCTATGGAAGGGGGCTGTTTTTGATATGTAAATTCTCTCCCAGGATTTGTACTTTCACACTGCAAGGAAACAAAAAAGGTATACATATCGGAACAAATTCATTTCCACACAAAATGAATGATCACAGTAACATCAGTTTGTATGGACTTCTACACAAAGAAACATATTTGACGTACCCTCCTCAGTTTCTATGGACTTCCACACAAAGAAACATATTTGACGTACCCTCCTCTGTATGACCTTCATGATGGAGTCGGCCATCTTCTTCATGGCCTTGCCCTTGACAGTCTGCAGGAACTTTGTCAGCTTATCCAGCAAGCTTCTATCCCGCTCGAAGTCATAGTAGTGGTGGTCCACCCAGTGTCGCAGCACATTCACCACTCTGAACACACACACAATACAACATGCTTCATACACAACCTGTCACCATAAGGCCTGTATAAGGCCTTCTCAAGGTAATGATCACATGTGTCAATCTTATGAACCTATCAAGTTATTGACTAATCTTTTGTTACATATTAGAGAAACAGTTATTGCTATATATCTATTTAACAGCAGTTTAAAATGGTTGCCAAATCTATGGCCTTTGCAAGCATTTTATTGCAATTTTGGGTTTTTTCAAAGCTGATTGAAACTTAAGGCCTCAGTAAGGCCAGACTGCGAACTTCAAGGCCTTTTCAAGCTTGTGGGAACTTTGTAGGACTGTATTTAACATGTATTTAACATATATATAGCACTTGTGATAGCATCATCATTATGCTGAAAATCATGCAAACCTATGGTTTATACATATGTATTTTTAATATTTTGAAAATTCAAAATGTTCTAGTTCTCATGTTGTATCTTGAGGAATTCCACACTAGTCCACAGTTGAAGGTGTTACAGGGAATATAACAATCATATTCACCATGCTGGAAATGCCTGTTTATTTAAATATGGCTGTGTCCAAACTCATCAATATGCTGTCAAGTAATACAAATGCATATCCTCCCTGCAAACAATAGTCAGTAAAATGGAAGCCAGCTTACCGGAATTGCACAGGTTTCACATATTCTTTGCGGAAGCGCTTGAGATCCTCTCTGGTACGGAGGCTGTTGTCGACTTCATCTGATTTTTTGTCATCACTGGGGAACTCAGGGATATCAAATCTTGACACGGTTAAGGTTCAATATGTGTGAGCTCATGATAACATCTTGCACTTAGTTATAGGATAACAGCTGATTTCTAACCATGAATTTGAGTGAATATAACTCAGTATTTCATGGTGTGTCAGCTTAATATGGGAGAAAAGCCCAAGGTGGGGTCTCAAGGGCTGACTCAGCAACTTTAAAAGGAGGGACACCCTGGAGCCCTCTTGATCCACCTATGAGTCGTAAATGTTTACCACTTCGGTAAAACTCACAAGCCAAGCTCAGGCATGGTGCTGACAAACATAACATTATCAGGGTGGACGAGTGAGTGAGTGAGTGAGTGAGTGAGTGAGTGAGTGAGTGAGTGAGTGAGTGAGGGAGGGAGGGAGGGAGGGAGGGTGGGTGGGTATGGTTTTACACCGCTTTTAGCAATAGTCCAGCAATATCATGGCAGGGGACACCAGAAATTGATCAGGGTGAATGAGGACTTGAACCTAAGAGATGCAACACTGCACAGCAATTGCTGGCTCCTTAAACAACTGGGTCACATATACCCAAACTTGTAGAATTTTCCTATTCGGAATATTCTATAAGTAATACGTTACCACTGTTATACCGAGGCTGTTGTCTCCCACAACTGCTGCTATAGCGAAATCTACCACAGAGATCTCAATTACCTCATGCAGCACGTGCGTAGCCACCTAGCTGCCATGTGACACCCTTCACTCTTGTCTCCTGCGAGAGCAAGTGCTCGGGGGACGGACGGGCGGGCAGCAGCCCAGTGGTAACGTATTACTTATAGAATATTCCGAATAGGAAAATTCTACAAATTACATTAAGTAATACGTTACCACTGTTATAACGAGGCTGACTACCACAGTAGGCGGTGGGGAGCACCTACAACCCGAATCCTGACTGCTAGCGTTCCTTCCGACCAGCGGAAGTAAACACCAAGGCGGAAGCACTCGATGCGCATGCACCTAGCTAGGCGTTACCCTATAGGAATACCAAAGCACTGTCATGCGCATACCGTAAGGCTCAATCGTCATTGCCAAAACGATTGGTGACTCCAAACGGCCCCACTGGATAGGTATTTCATCGCCGCAGCGGATGAGAACACTGTATCCGCGTGAGCTAAATCTTAGATCAGGTTAAACAGTCGAAAAGAGGGAAATTAATTTCCTTCAGACCGTATATCCCAGAGCAAGCCTACTGAAAGTATGCATTAGGCGCGTGACCTAATTCCAGTATTCGTAAGCATGTATCGCAAGGTTGGAATACACGACAATTAAATGCATAATTGTCAAAATACAAATAAGGACAAAACACACAAAAAGCCGCCTCACCTGTGGTGTGAGTGCGCTGGTTTGCAGGACCCCCACTCCTGTACCCACGGCGTGGGAACATTGGAGACGACCAAGATTGACCACCGTGCAAGGACTGACGACTGCGGAGTTTGAAATTGCGCTGGACACACCCCCTAGATGACCGCTTGTGCCGCGATCAGCGGCCCAAGACGGTGCACCCCCTCCACGTCTTCATCAGAAACCTTTCTGAGGTAATGATTGGCAAAAACCGAGTCAGAACGCCAGTAACAACCTCGTAATATTCTGTGAACAGAGATATTCGAGTGTAGGGCAAATGTTGCCGCTAGCGCCCTGATCTCGTGCGGGTTTGACCCCGCTACCGGTAACCCCCGAGACCGGTACGCCAGATTGATGACAGAACGAAGCCACAACGCAATCGAGTTGCGAGTTATGTCAACCGTGCGATTAGGGTTACACGATATGAACAGACGGTCACGCCCTTGTCTGCGTTCATTCGAAGCCTTAAGATAATACTTAAGGGCCCTAACCGGACACAGCGCTCTGTCCTCAGTATCAGCAGGATGTAAGATTTCTTTGAGTGATCTTACAGTGAATTCTCTCTCCGCTTGCCCGACTCTCTGATTCTTGGCGACGAAGCCCATGAGCAGGCCCAGGCGGACCGCTCCTTCGTCACCCCTATCGAATCGTACCTTGGCGACATCGAGTGCATGAATTTCGGATACACGTGCCGCCGTGGCAAAGGAGAGGAGAAATGCTGTTTTCCAAGTCACATGCCGGAACGAAGCACTATGCAAGGGTTCATACGGAGCTTCCGTAAGTGATTGCAACACTAGGGAAAGATCCCAGGCCGGTGCCCGAAGGCGGCCCTTCTTAAGATCGTGCTGTTTGAAACCCTTGATAATACCCCGTATCACCGGCTCTTTGGAGAGACTGGTACCCATAGCAACGTCCCGTACCGTAGCAACGGACGAGACATAGTTGGCAATGGAACCCCCGGAGAGTTTCCGGGTCTCTCGCAAGTGAGACATGAAACGAGCAATATCCTGCACAGATACCTTATCTGGCGAATGAATGTGATGTTTACAACACCACTTCGTGAAAATAACCCAACGTGCATTATACACCTTCTGGGTAGAATCACGATGCATACTAACGTATGCCCGAGACGCCCGGCGAGAAAAACCTTTACTCCTCAGACGCTCGGTGACAACATCCACGCGTGCAGATTGAACTGCCCTGCGTTTAGATGAAGCTGACGGGTGTGAGGGTGGATCAAGAGATCCGGTCTCACAGGCAGTGGGAGTGGCGACTGCGTGACCTGGGTCAGCAAGTCGGGGTACCACGATCTGTTCGGCCACATGGGAGCGATCAGTAACATTCGACAGCGAACTCCTCGAAGCCGGCTTAGAATGTGTGGTATCAACGCTGTCGGCGGGTAAGCATAAGCGTCCAAGCCCGTCCAGTCTAACGCGAGAGCATCGTGATCGATGGCCCTCGGGTCCGGGACTGGTGATACAAACAACGGGAGTTGATTGTTGAACCGCGTTGCGAACAGGTCGACCATCGGACGACCCAAACGTTCGCACAGCCACTGAAACACTACTGGGTTCAGCATCCACTCTGTGGGGCTCGGATCCCGAGGCCTCGATAGAGCATCGGCCAGTACGTTCCGCACACCTGGGATGTGACGGGCGCGTATCTGGCACGGGACACTGTCCACCAGAGCGTAAAACTCGAACGTGAAATCGAGCAGCGAGTGACTGTGGGTTCCCCCCAGTTTGTTCACATAGGACACTACCGTCGTGTTGTCGGTCGCCAGCATGAGCCAGGCGTCGACGAGACGATGCTTCCAGTGATTGACTGCATTGATCACTGCCTTGAACTCGAGACAATTGATGTGAAGACCTAGTTCGTCTACGCACCACAGCCCCGAGCTCACCTCCCCCTCTAGATGGGCGCCCCAGCCTCCTAGAGAGGCGTCTGTATACAGGTTCAACGTGGCCCGGTAGGGCCGCATAGAGACTCCTGATAAGACATTGTAAGGGACCGTCCACCACTCCAGATGCGGTCGGAGCCGATCCGGGAGGGCGACGGTCGCACTGTTCACCTCCGTTGCTAACAACTGGATTAAAAACCGTTGCAGCGGGCGGAGTTGGAGACGACCCCGTACGGTGCAGTCCTGGGCTGATACAAGTAGCCCTAACAGCTGTTCCCAAAAGTGAACAGTCTGTTGCACCGCTAAGACTTTGGCAATCATCGCCTGAATTTTGTGCCACCGGTCTGGGGGGACAAATAGGCGATGGGACACCGTGTTGAACCGACCTCCGATGAACTGCAAGTTCTGAGAAGGGGTTAACTCGCTCTTGGGGAGATTGACAATCCACCCCAATTGCTCCAAGAGCCGACGTGCGAAAACGAGATGGCGTGACAGGGTGTCCGACATTCGATTTGCTACTAGCGAGTCGTCCAGGTACGCGAAGTACCGGACACCCCTCCGGTGGAGGAACCCCACTATGGGGGTGGTTAACCGGGTGAACAGCCAGGGAGCGGACGAAAGACCGAATGGGAGTACAACCCACTCGTAGTGCCTGCCTTGAAAGACAAACCTGAGATACCTGTGATGATCCGAGTGAATCGGAACATGCAGATAAGCATCCTTCAGGTCGATCGAAGCTAGCCAGTCGGCCGGCATGATCAGTGCTTTCAGGTCCGTCAAGCTCAACATTCTGAACTTGGGCGGCTTGCGCAGGTAGAACTCGTTGAACGATTTCAAGTTGTGAATCATTCTGAGTTCGGCACTGTCCTTCTTGGGAACGAGAAATATCCTGGAGTAAAACCCCGGTGTTATTTCTGGTAGAGCTAACTCCCGAACAGCCCTCTTCTCCACCAACCTGCCGATGGCATCGGCGAGGAAGGGAAGATCGGTTTCCGAATAGAAACCTGCCGACGGGGCAACGGTGAGCGGCGGATTTGCTTTGAGATCGAGCCGATAGCCGTACCGAATCGTGTTGACCACCCACGGGTCGTCGAACACTTGTTCCCAATTCTCCCAGTAAGTCTGGAGTCTGGCTCCCACTGGGAAAAGAGAGGGGGGCCGGACGGGCTGCGGCAGGCGCAACTGTCCAGGGCCGTGTGACTCGGGTTCGCCTACGGGCCAACCGAAGTTGGCGCTGTCGGCATACGAACCCCTCCAATGAGAGTCACCTGGAGGGGCCCTTGCCGTCCTTAGATGACTTGGGCTTCCCCCAGTTCCCCTTCTTCCCGCGAAAGGGCTGCTGAGAACCCTTACCGGAGCCCTCAGAGCGGGGCTTCTTCCCGGAGGAAGAAGGACCCGACCCCTTAGGCCTGCCGGACGCAGCAACCTGGGGCGCGCTCCGCTTCGGAGCGGCACCCAGGCGCCTATGCAAGGACCCCACAAGATCCAGTGTGTGCCGAGAGGCCTCGGCAGACACAGCGGCCTGTTGTTCCTTCAGAACCCCAGGGATCTTGTTATTAAACAGGGTCCGAGCAGACCAAGGCTGCGAAAGGAGCACCTCCTGATTGGCAGCGTCCAACCCTGAAGCAACCAGATACGACTGGCGCCGAAGAAAATGGCACGTGCCGGAAACAAAGGCCGAAGCCCCGGCAACGTACTCCAGGGAAGCATTCAAACCGAGCAAGCAGTTGTAAATGCGCTGGTCACGGTCCGTGGGAGAACCTTCGACCAGACTGGCCGCCGCAGCCAGGTATGTGTCTCCGTGAGACATAGCCAGCATGGAGTGTCGAGCGAGGGTGTCCAGCTGTTGCAGGGTACCTTGCGGTACCGTGGCAACCGGTGGGGCACGGACCCCCAAACGCTCCACATGGGCTTCCGCAGAAGGACCAGCCTCGGGAAAGGCAAGGTCATGAACTGGGAAAGACCCTTTTCTCCACGACGGGGGAGGTAACGGGAGACCCCGACCGGAGGCAGCCGTGAAGGCTTTCTCCAAAGACGGCTTAATCCCGCGCAGCAAGGTTGATGCCGGGAAAGCCTTGTCGGACGACTCGTCGTATACCTCGGAGGAACCCACGGAACCGTGGATACCCCGCGGTATCGGCAGGGGCTTTGGCATGTCCTCGAAGAGGTCATACACCATGGCCACGCGGTCCTTAACCGATAGCGGAAGCAACGGTTCGGGGGAAGGACCGGTAACCACGGCAGCCGGCGCCGTACCGGTGGACCCCGCGTCCGAACCCGCGGCCACCGAAGAGGCCGGGGACGGAACAGCCAGCGGCCTATCTTGCGATAAGGCCGCCAGCTTGGAGTCCACAATTTGCGACAACAATGCGGCGACGGAAGCCCCAGACAGCCCGAGGGCCGCAAGGGGATCCGCCGCAGCCGACAAGGAGGTGCCCGCACGGGGGCCCCAACCGGACGAACCGGCCACCACAGGGGTGGAAACGGACTGCGCGCACAGCCGGTACCGCTCAAACTCCGCAGGTCCCAGACCTTCGCACAGGGAGCACCGGGTTTCCTGGCAAGGAACCCTGCACCGCGGGCAACGATCGTGGGGATCCCGGGACGACAAAAACTTTCTGCACACCCCACAACTCCGAGGAGCAGGGGTAGAGGGGGTGGAGACAGGGGACATATCCATGTCAGACATTGATTGTTTTCTAGAAACAAAGAACAAAACATGGTTACAACGCACGCACCACAATGATTCACAAACGAACATTTTCACAAGAAAATAAACGAGCAATGTGAACATATAACATACACATATAACTTGTACTAAAGAAATAAGTTATGTTAACCCCCAAAACATACAAGAACAGGGGAAACGTAAAACACAACGTGCATACGCGAACCCCGCAAGTATATAGAAAAAAGGGCGGGAAAAATTTTCCGTTCGGCGGGAAAATTATAACCAAGCGTAGCTACCGCAACGCCCCATAAAAGCACAGTTTATTAGAGAATAAACGATAATAAATATCACCAAATCTTCAAGGAACGCTTCAGCAGGAGAAAACACGTCTTGCTAAGCAGACGAAGGAGACAAGAGTGAAGGGTGTCACATGGCAGCTAGGTGGCTACGCACGTGCTGCATGAGGTAATTGAGATCTCTGTGGTAGATTTCGCTATAGCAGCAGTTGTGGGAGACAACAGCCTCGGTATAACAGTGGTAACGTATTACTTAATGTAATTAAAGCTTAACGTACAGGAAAACAGACAAACTGGCAATTTTCTGACATCCTTACACATTATGTCAACCAGTAACTTAAAACTAACTTTATAACCTTTAATATACAACTAGAATTTCATATAGCACCAAATTGCTTCTGTCAGTAGAAATTTCAATTTCAGGACAACTTTGTTCGTTGCAGTCTTGTATTGACAGAAATACTAGTCTAAGGAGGACAAAAGGTTAAGTTATACCTTACACAGAAAACTATGGTTATACAGTAGAACATGGATATAACGAACACGGATTGAGCGAACAAATGGATACAACGAACTGTTACAAAATCTCAGATTTATCTCCTCTATATTATCACATTAAATGTGCCTAAATAAGGAACTAACGTACATGTATAAAGCAAACTGATATCTGATCCCTGACACGCCCCAAACCCACTAATTATTGATGTTTACAGCGAACTGAGAAATCTCACTCAGTGTCAAGTGTCATTGACAATTGGCTATACGCAATCAGTGCAAATCAACACAAACAGCGGTATTGATTCAAACTTGTTGAACTTGCTTTATACTTATCTTACCTGTAACCGGACTAATCTTGTCTGTAAGGCAAACATAAATTTCACGAGATCATGTCAAAGTGTCACTTCACGAGCACATGCTATTGTGGCGGGCAATGCTGCAATTACGTGTAGTGTGTTTGTTTAATCCAACATGGCGGACATTTCCGAGAGAAAACGTATATAACAAACAATGTATATAACAAACTGATTTCTCCGGTCCCTTGTAGTTCTACTGTAAGGAACTCAAAAGGAACAAATAATTTTAGCTGGTTATAATCATAGTTCGTTACAAGCTTTAAAGGCTTTATTGTTAATTGAGGATGTAAATTGAGGACAAGGTGTCCGCACTTAATCCAGTTAATCATTTGCCTACAATAATTATTGTTTATTACCGCTTTGAACAGCCCCATGTTGCTGTGGATGTTTTTATAGGTTGATTGCTCACACGTGAGCAGGTCAGCGATTAACAGTTTGTTATGAAATAAAACATTGTCACACAGTCAGTTCGCTACATGTGTTTTTTCGTTATAAACATGTTCATTATATCCATCAATTTTATATGATAAAATATACAGCAAATGGTCAGGACCAAAAATACAGTTGGTTATTTCTTTATAAACGTGTTCATTATTAAAGGGGAAGTGTACACGCAAAAATCACTTTCTTTCTTTTTCTTAACAAAACGCAATTTTAGAATTAATTAGTATCTGTGTTTGAAAATATACACTCATTTTTTTCACAGTGAAAGTAGGAAGCTCACAATAGTGTGAAAATGATATGCCGTTATGAGGCCTTCGTTTTTCGAGCTAAACAGGCCTGAGTTATCCCCCTTAGATTATGACGTAATTGGTGCCAATTCAACTGGGTCCCTGTCTATTCTCAACGCAAAAGATATCAAGTACCAGTTTGCGGTAAACAACATGGCCTACGACACACTCCGGCGCAGTGGTGACTCAGCATAACACTATGCTGGCTGGCATCTGAGACGCTAGAATCACACACCTGGACCTACACCACGTGAAGCGGCTCTAACAAAGCATGATGACGTCATAATGTTTATCAATTGGCACCAATGACGTCATATTGCAAGGGGCATAAGCCATGGTGTTTTTGTTGTGGAAATAGAACACTTGGTAAATGTGAATAATATAAATCGTTTTAATGCGAAAAATATGTTAATTCATTGTGATATTTTTATATTTGTGTCTATGACACTTCTAGGTTAACACTTTTAATGTGGAAAAAGTACAAGAAAAATAGGTTCATTTCCGTGTGAACTTGCCCTTTAACCTACTTTACTGTACATGTATTTCATTATTTCTGAGAAACAACATCTCAGTCAGACGTGAGAAGGATACCGTTCTATAAGAAGGTCAAGCAGATCATGTGGACTACAGATTGACCGGTAGGTGGTGAGGAATGTTCGCACAAACTTGGGGTCTGCGTACATGTGATAGGTGAGGCGTTCCACCAGCTTGATGAGCAGCCCGCCCTTGATGAGTGGGCTCTCAATAGACGGGTCTTGGTTCTCCTCAAACACAATGTTCTCTTCAGAATCCTTCATTGCAAACCTGTACGGTGGAAGAAAAGGACTTAGCACTAAGCATATACAAGATGAAATCCATCGACCATCCTATGGAGGTCTCAGACAACTACTCAACAATCTTCTTAAGGTAAGTAAGAATAAGAATTTATGGATGAACAACTTTTTTATTACAATTAAAACTTGCTTGATAACGGTGTTAGAACCTACACCGAAACGTCGCTCTTAATTGTAACAAAGAAGTTGTTCATCCATCCATAAACTTTTATCCTTACTTAGTACTCCAACTTCTAAATGCCTATCAAAGAAATCTTCTTAGTGATCTTTCACTTCTTTCACTCATTACTGCCATTTACTTGTCAGATTTTGCTTCTCGACACTCACCCGCTTGAAAAATTACCTCGGCCCCTTGATGCTTATGTACTGATAAGATACGACTTTTTGTAAGTCAAATCCGTTTTTGTCAATGATTCAACTTTTTGCACACACCACGCCATTTAAAGTGTGTCAGATTTGTAGGGAACCTATCCATGGTCACCATGTCTCTTTACACTTCAAGCTGAAGAGGGGTTGGCCATGTGACATATCAGAATCAAGTATACTTGCATAGATTTGTGAAATGATAAAATATAAATATAAAATGTTCCTCCCTACCCAATCAGTTTTGAAAAAAGTTAAGAGAAACAAATACTTTTTAAACTTGCCTAAGTGGTTAATGTAACTGTATGATACTTGTCTGTTCAGCATATTCTGATTTGAAAGAGAATTTCTTTCTGATGCCATTATTCAATATATTTAATGTATTAATGTCAAGTAAGCAAGAAAGCATTGCCCATAGCATTAGATGATATACTAAGTTCCAAAAGAAACACACCTCTCGTATTGTAACTTCCGATCACATTAAATCCAATAAAAGTGATATATTTGCACAACAAAAGACACACAGTGCTAGAATAACATGTCTAGACACGTTCCAAGCATCATCTTAGATTCAAACTCTGAACAGAGACTGTTCATATCCATGAGTAAAAACATCTTCCCGAGGCAAGGGAGTTAACTGACTTTTAAAGTCCAGTTTCCAACCTTGCCGAACTAGGCTGGAATTACTGGGCTCGATCGTTGCGCCACCAGTGGCTATTACCAATTATGTCCCTTCTAAGCCTCTCCTATGGACCAATCAGATTCCAACTCTCGTATCACATGCATTTGCTTCACACAAAATGGTGGCGCCCAGTCAGGACAATCGGATCGATAATCAATATCTATATTGTGATAAAACGGGTTTTACATCGCGAAATGCACCAAATCACGTGAGCACCTTGATTAAAAACATGAAAGGATTTGGAAAATATCTGCTGACAATGAATTGGCGATGCACATGCTTTGCAAATCCTGCTATCGGTCGAAATCTGCACGACAGTTCACGAACTAGATTTTGATTTCGGTGCGCGATTTTGATTGGACTATGGATAGACTCGTTACTCCAGACAAAACGTAACTCCATAATACCAGCATAGTTCGGAAAGGGTGGAAACTGGACTTTTATAGTCAGTTAACTCCTTTGCCTCGGGAAGATGGAGTAAAAATGGCCAGAACGTGTCTTTCTGAGGACAAGCTAAACGCAAATGTGAAACATGGATTGTTGGGTGCTGAAGGCACTCTAGTGAAACATACCAACAACCACCGACCTGTGTCAGCAAACACAGTGCATTGGTTGTCAACGGCTACTCTCAGTATGTCCACACTTTAGGGTGTGCGTTTCTTTTGGAATTGAGTATATATCCACTACGCAATACTTGTTAGGAGAAATATACCATGACAATGATCCTTCTCTGTACCACATATATCGTAGTGGACCATATTACTGTATACATATGGACTGATGGCCCACTCGATCATGAATAAAAGACTATATAACTCATAAAATCTACATTTAGCTCAAAATGTGGACAGGAAAGGTGCTAATGATGTGTTACTTCTCAATATTCTCTTCATTACACCTTACATGAACAGAGTCTCCATGGAGGCTGAATGATATTCTTAAAATGTCACTCCCAATAAGATACTTCACTTTAGGCCTTACATAATTTCTTCATACTGTACCCATGAGATTGAACCCAGGTTTACAGAGGGACGAACCAAGGTTTTAACCACTAGGCTACCCGAATCCCCCAAAAGACTCACCTGTATAAATCTGGAGAGGGTAGACGGAGTGGATGCTGCTTCTCCTCATCTCGCAGAATGCCGTCCAGGATGCGCTCGAGGTTACTCCGTGTCTGCAGGGAGAAGAGAGCCGCCATCCAGTTGGCCTTCTCCTCGGCAGACTTGGCATAAAGGGTGATGCTACCAGCATGGTCTCGGGGCACAATCTCAAAGGCATTCTTCAGTTCTGGAAAACAACATTTTCACATTCAGGGAAATGTCTCAGGACATTTTAAAAAAAGAGACAGGTGCAAGCGGGACGCCTATGCTGGGGTAATTCTAGTGTGGAAAAGTCATGAACTGCCAGGCCTTATGATGCAAATGTCAGAAAATTGAAACTTTATTTTAAGAGTTTTTAGTATTAATTATCATATCAAACAATTCTTTTTACTCTCCCTCCTGATCCTGGACATATGGACCAAGTGAGTGAGTTGGGTTTAATGCCGCTTTGAACAGTCTGCTAGTTATATCACTTAGTGTCAATTTAATATGGGAGTTCAGTGCTGCAGGTCACGGGCGTTTACAACTTTGGTGAAACCCACAAGCATAGATATGGTGTGGACAAACCTAGAAACATAATGAGGGCGAAAAGGGATTTGAACCAACAATCACAGGTTTCGGGCATGCGAGGGACACAACTCTGTACAGCAAATTGCAATGCATTAGATGACTGGGCCACCCAGACCAAGACAGTACAGAAAACAAAATATATTGTCTCTTATGTATTTATGTCGGGCTGTTTTGTCTGAAGCAGGATCTCCCTTAGAACCAGAGAATTAGTTATTACCGAGATAATTTTCCATGAGTCAAGACAAAAGGACAGTGGTAAATCTATATAAATCACACAATTTGACATGAATCCCAAACTCAAACCTTCCTTACTGACAAACAAAGTTTTGTACAATATTACAGGTTTCATATTCACACAGATAGTCATGTAAAGAGTGAGTATGGTGTTACGCCGCTTTTAGCAATACTCCAGCAATTTAATGGCGGGGGACACCAGAAATAGGCTTCACACATTGTACCCACATGGGGAATCGAACCAGGTCTTCGGCGTGATGAGCGAACGCTTTAACCACTAGGCTAACCCACTACCCCAGATATTCATGTAGATAAACATTTTGTAAGCTTTATGAACAGTGTTTGTTATCAAATTTATTTACCTCAGAATACCCAGCATTTTGAGGCCTTTCTAAATACATTGCTGATACCAGTCTCCCATGCCCTAATTCCTAAAGTAAATTAAACTTACAAAGCACCCTCAAACCAGTAAAGTTTCTCCTAGAATAACTGACCAGCCAGGTTCTTCACAAGCTCACAACATGAATACATTGTGTTTGTTTGTTTAATGTTTAACGCTGCACTCAGCTATATTCCAGCTATACGACGGGAATACATTGTGAAGTCCATCTACATGTACACTGGTATCCTACCTTCAGTGTCTTCCTTGTCCAAAATCTCTACTTTACGAACGAAGTACTTTTCCTTTAGTTTGTACTCTGGAATAGACACGGTTCCCGATGATCTCCTTGCATTCAGGTTTTTCTTGCATAGGATGATCAGACCATCAAACAGGAAGACATATCGCTCTGACGGGCGCCGACTGGTGTACTTGGTCAAGATCCCATCTGAACAACAACATAAGATTGGATAAACACAGGCGTTCCTGCAAGGACAGAAAGTAGCCAGTACATTGTACTTGATGAGGAATCAGTATGTGTTTATCAATGTGCTCATTTCCCTAGAATGCTCAATGATTATGTTTCTGTCAGACAATGCTTCATTTACTGTTGGTTGGTTTGTTGTTTAACGCCGCACTCAGCAATATTCCAGCTATATGACGGCGGTCTGTAAATAATCGAGTCTGGACCAGACAATCCAGTGATTAATATCATGAGCATCGATCCACGCAATTGGGATCGATGACATGCATCAACCAAGTCTGCGAGCCTGACCACCCGATCCCGTTAGTCGCCTTTTACGACAAGCATAGTCACCCTTTACGGCATGCATGGGTTGCTGAAGACCTATTCTTCATTTACTGTGAGAGTTGGTGTAATAACTGAACTCTGTAACGGGTTAGCAGGTTCAAAGCTCATCAAAAGCACAACCCCACTGTGAACTGAGATCGCGACCACTTATGACACGTGTTAGGACAAGAATCAAAATGTAGTGCTGAGTTAATTATTTGTAAGCCACAACTAGTCACATTCCAGCCATATCATTTCAATTTCCTTTAACGGCGCTCTCATCAATATTCCAGCTACATGACAGCAGCCTGTAAAATTCAAGTCTGGACCAGACAATCAAGTGATTGACATAATGACCAGCATAGATTGCTGGGGAGCAATTCTTATCCTGCATTACCCACAGTGTCATTACAGTATGTGACTCACCCATGATGAATTCACTACAGCTCTGCCAAATATCCTTGCCCTCCCAGCCATCAATGCTTCTCTGGATATCTGTCATTTTCTGTAAGATGGCAGTGCGGCCTGTTTGACCTTGAAGACGTGTTGATATTTCCCTAAAAAATCCAAAAGTGATGAAACTACAACACTTTGCAATTAAAAAATCACATCATTGTTCATGACAGTAACTGCAAACAATCGCATAACATGAATTATCTCCCTTTGACTGTATTTGTATTTGAGTAATGTATGAAGCATAACTTTCCTACCAAATGTACAGGTTGTAATTGTAGCACTGTATGTAATGTATGTTTAATTAGGGTAACAAGTGAATGCTAGACAAACTAGAATGAACAATTGAGTCAGCATACAAGTAAAGAGCTGAAAAACCTGATCTCATCACACAGTCCAGGCAATTTTAAATCTTAATCCAAAAGATTTGCCTATAAAAAGATACAGGATAGCTGTCAGCAAGTCTCAGAACTGTCAAGGTTAGGTTGTATACCCACCAGGGTTTACGCTTGGGAATGTTACCGCCGCTGAACTTTCTATCCAGCGAGAGTTTGAGAGCTTGGAGAAGGCCACTGGCTTGTATCAGGCACTCTCGATCTTCTTCATTTTGACTGGTGTCTTTCAACAGCTGGATAGAAATACAGATTTCTCATAAAATCCTGCCGTAACAAGGCGGTCCAGCATTTCTCCTACTTGAAAGTTTAATAATTCTCAAAGCAGATAATTTACATATGTAGGCAATGAACATGTTCTAAACAAATGCAACATAAATCTTTAAATTTTTGCGCCAATGTGTGAAACATGGTACTACCATGAGACAATCTCATTAAAATCAGATCTTAGTTCTCGCTATAGCTAAACAAAGATCTGAGAACATCCCATTACGGGTCACATCAGAACGACTTTTCAGCCAACCAATCAGAGGGTCGCTTACCAGATCGTGAAAGTGACAGTCAGGATGTGTTTTCTGATCATGCAACCACAAAATATTTAACAAGGGGTATTCCGAATGACAGCTACGGGTTTTATTATTATATCCATACAATATAGGCCATCTATAAGCCATTCCAGAATGTTCTTCTTATCAGTTTTAACATTTTTAATCGAGAATACGTCAAAATATGTTTCGAAAATGTCGTCGCCAGTTTGAAACTAGTGTCGTCAAGCTCGAGAAAGATGCCTTCTGATTGGCTAATGTCGATTTCTTGTCAGTCATTTCATTGGTCGGTCAAAATTAACGAAAGGTCGTTCTGACGTGACCTGTAATGGGATGTCCTCAGATCTTTGTTTAGCAGTAGCGAAAACTAAGATCTGATTTTAATGAGATTGACCATGAGACAAAGCACTGACGCTATAAATATACTGAAGATGGTGTATCCACTTGTTCACTAACATTGTTGTCAAAGTCTCAAGATATCCATGTCTGATAACCAAATGTACAATGAATAATTTTACCTAAATAACTATCAACCTAAAGAACAAAATTTAATCCATTTCCCAAAACTCCAGCCATCCTCACTGCAGTCCTCACCTTGATGACTTCAAAGTAATGCAGACAGTGAGACACTGGCCCCAGTAACAGCTTTGGAAGAACATACTTGGTGGCAGCTTTCAAACCCTGCCCAGCACACTGAAACAAGTAGACGAGAGACGGTGTACATTAATGATTGTCTCCTTCAAAAGTGTTCGAAGTTAAAAAATTGAAAGTCCAGAGTCTATGTTATAATAACTGTATCAACAAAGTTGATTTTTCTTCTTTTTGTTTTGTTTTGTTTTATGTTGTGGGTGGTGTGAGAGGGTGAGGGTGTGGGGTGTGGGATGTGGGATGTGGGATGTGGGGTGTGGGGTGTGGATGTGTGTGGGGTGTGGATGTGTGTGTGGCTGTGGGACGGGGTGTGGGGCGTGTGTGTGTGTGTGTGGGGGGGGGGGGGGGGGGGGGGGGGTTAGGTGTTTGTGCAGGTGTGGGGTGTGGGTGTAGGTTTGGAGTTAGGGGTGTGGTATGTGAGGTGAGGAGTGCAGTGTGTGGGGGGAGGAGTGGGGTATAGGGTGGGGGGTGGGGGAGGGGTGTTCTTTAACATATATAAGGCCAGCAAACAAGATGTATAATGTTACACCTACCTCTATGTCTACAAGTCACAAAACAAAATAACACAAACATTTTTGTGAATTTTTCTATGTATTTCTGATAACATGAGGCTGTTGCTATAAACAAAGTAAAAAATAAAATTTCTTACAAATTTGATATTTGAAAACAATAATTGATACACAGGTAGTCATATCGTGTATTGTGTCTGTAGATTAAACTTGTGATGCATCAAGACAGTTGTGAACTAGTGAACAATACTAAACACACACACTCAGCTGTTATAACAATTCAACTCAACATGCAAGTGACAAGACTGATACTTAAGATTAAAAACACATTTTGGTCTTAATTCTTTTATATCTCCCAAAATACACATGTACCTCAATCAGTAAGTTGCTAACATCGTCCCTCATGAGAAGTGTGTTGAGACGCTCCTTCCCATGGGGAGCCAACATGTCGTCCACGTACTTCTCATACACGTTGAACTCCTCCCCCTGCAGACAGAAGATATATATACTGGGCTGGAAGATCTTGTGTGTTAAAAGGGTTAAAAATTGGTTGGATTTTAATTTGACAGTTACAGTGTCATTGTGTCAAACTGTTTCTATTTAGAATTCTTGTTTTTCTTTTCTTTAACCTTTTTTAGGACATAAAAGTAGGAATCCTAAATCACAAGGTAGAGAGATTCTGCATCCATGATAATCATCAAAAATTAATAAAATTATGAACAACATAAAACTGGGCCATCTTAGTTACCACATCATAATGCATTAGGGTAAAAAACTGAGGATGAAGTCATCGATATCCCCCGCAATGGTAATACTTGTCATGAATATGTCAACTAGTTATATATATATTGTTGCCATGGAAACTAAAAAAATATATTTTTCAAAAATCTAAAATTAGCAAAAGGCACCATTTCACCACTAGACATATCTATGTGCAAAGTAAGGTGAAGAACTTTTTTTAAGGATTTTCAAGATCTGCTGCGGAAACGAGCACTTCCGCCATTTCCAGCCTAAGTCAAAGTTGTTGCCATGGGAACTCAAAAAATATATATGTCGAAAATCCCAAACTATCAAAAGGCACGAGTTCACCACTAGACCTATCTATGTACCAAATTTGGTGAAGCAATATATGCTACAGTTTTCAAGATCTACTCTGGAATGACATCTTGCATGGATTGATGGATGGACGGACGGAAGATTGTTTTTGGGTGCTCTTGATAACATACATTGGATAACATGAAGATTCAATGAAGTTGAGTTCTGTGCTTTTCAACACATGTAGTACAAAAGTTGGTCTTCCTGACCTCCACTAGCTGCTTCAAATTGGACAGAGACAAATTTACTAGCATTTTACTCAACAAGGAATACATCAATGTAGGCAAGTCCTTTCCCAGGTTGACTGTACACAACTATTTATTTGGTTACATACTGTTTTCAAAACCACCCCTCACTCACCCATCCACACTATATTTCAAAGCCATTCCCTGAGAACCAATTCTTTTTTTAAGCCTTATGTATGTCTGTTACCAAATATGGTAACCAATTTCTAAAATTTAACAATTCATTGTACCTTATCTCCCGCAACTCAAACAGTATAGATGGGGGATGAGAGTGAATGAGAGATAGAGAGTGAGTGAGTTTGGTTCTATGCTGCTTTAAGCAATATTCCAGTTGTATCACACAGGAGACACCCAATCATGGGCTTCACATTGTATGCCTATTAGGGGAATATGACAAGGCTTTAATAACATGTATACCTCATTGTCTAAGGAGAAGAATAACAGGTGAGAATATTGGTGACTCATTTTAAAGCTAAATCACAGCCATGGAGGGAGAAACCAATGAATAACAGTGCCACTGGGCACAGCACTCCACAATGACACAATACACTAGCCTGGTCACAAGTATGTGATCATCCACTACAATCCTAACTTGGATATTCAAGGAAAGTTGCCTACCTCGGTCATGTCTTCGAAGCATGTGCCAACACATGGTGGTTCATTCTGCTCGGCTATCTCCACCTGGTCTTCCATGGAGCTGAGCAGGTTGGCAGTAAACTCGTACACATCCAGCACGTTGCTGAAGATCACCTCCAGATCCTAGCAAAACACTCTCTCGAGTCAGTCGATAACGCACTTCAATCCAACTAGTCCACCATTCATTTCAAGCTAGTACTAAGTGTAACAATTAGACTTTTAGCAAATTAGCAATATTCCAGCTAAATGTCAGCAATTTGTAAATAATTGAGTCTGGACCAGACAATCCAATGATTGATGTCGTGAGGGATTCACGCAGTCGGTGTATGATGACATAATCAACTAAGTTACTGAGTCCGACCATTGATCCTCTTACAATGATCATTAAAAGTGCAGGCTAGAAAAGAAACCCCTCCCCACAAACGAATTCCCGGAGTTGCAATACATCTACAATACTACCGAGGTGATGTCAGAGTTCCAACTCCATCCCTCACTGAATGCCCAACTCACCTTGCTGCGTGGAAACAGGTCAGCAAACGGAGCTCGGAACACTTTAATGATCATGTTGAGATCTCGCATGTACTGAGTCTCTTCCACAATAAAATCCTTCACAATCTCTTCATATGTCATAGATTCTCGACGCACTGGTTCATCCTCGACTACAAATGAAACCACTTCCTCTTGGGAGAACATGTCCATCAAGACCTGAAACAAGACAAAGGCCATAAAAACAATGGTAGGACAAAGCCCACTGGAAATGACAAATATAAGTATATTAATACCATATACATTACACCATAACATATCTGATTTATTTAATTGACATGGTGTAGTATGGCTTGACCCTCACATTTCTCAGCAGGCCTATGAACACATCCTCTGGTCCCCCAGTGAGTGAGTGAGTGAGTGAGTGAGTAAGAGAGTGAGAGAGTGAGTGAGTGAGTGAGTGAGTGAGTGAGTGAGTGAGTGAGTGAGTATGGTTTTACGCCGCTTTTAGCAATATTCCAGCAATATCACAGCGGGGGACACCAGAAATGGGCTTCACACATTGTACCCATGTCGGGAATCGAACCCGGGTCTTCGGCGTGACGAGCGAAGGCTTTAACCACTAGGCTACCCGACCGCCCCTCCCCAGTCAAGAAAACACAATGGTAAAACTCTGGACAAGATAAAGATATTCATCAGATATTTCAACAGGTTACAACTTAATGAATATTTTCAGTCGTCTGCAAAAATCTGCTACAGAGTTGCCATTTACATTACAGTAAACGGGGTAGTCCTCACCGGCAAACAAAACTAGATGTGAACACTATTTTTGAAAACAAGGTGTTCACATGGACTGAAGAGTCCAATTCCATTGAATAGGCAGCTGCCGTGGACACAGAGTTCATATATAGTGTTCACTCCTGTATCACTGAGCCATGAACTTCACTGTGTTTGTGACTCACCTGGTCGGCACATATTGCCACCTTGATGTCCTGTGAGGTGATGTCCTGGTGGCGGATGTTCTTCACATAGATGCCTGTGAACTGAACACATACACACAATGCAATTAGTCTCCACTCTTTGAGGGCAAGATAACTCTACTACTTACAAACTATGTGCAGAATAACTAACAAAAATGTAATGATCATTAGGTGGTTGTAAGTGAATTAGATTTGGACCACACAATACAGATATGCAGAGCATCAGACTGATCTTGAACACCTTTGGCATATTAAAATTGGCCATGGACCCAACATTGCCCAGACAAATATGTCAAATATGGAAGGTAATGTATGTTCGTGTTTAATCAAACATTGACAGCAGTGTTCCATAATATTAATAAGCATTAAAATCAAAGGGTGTTTCAAAACCCTAATGTCCTAGGTTAAAAGCTAAAGGGGCCCATAGATTCAAATACTTGGCAGCCATTGTGACCACTGGATCTTAGCCATATCTGGCAGCCATTGTGACCACTGGATCTTAGCCATATCTGGCAGCCAATGTGACCACTGGATCTTAGCCATATCTGGAAGCCATTGTGACCACTGGATCTTAGCCATACATGGCAGCCAATGTGACCACTGGATCTTAGCCATACTTGGCAGCCATTGTGACCACTGGATCTTTGCCATACCTGGCAGCCATTGTGACCACTGGGTCTTAGCCATACCTGGCAGCCATTGTGACCACTGGATCTTAGCCATACCTGGCAGTCATTGTGACCACTGGATCTTAGCCATACTTGGCAGCCATTGTGACCACTGGATCTTAGCCATACTTGGCAGCCATTGTGACCACTGGATCTTAGCCATACTTGGCAGCCATTGTGACCACTGGATCTTAGCCATACTTGGCAGCCATTGTGACCACTGGATCTTAGCCATACTTGGCAGCCAATGTGACCACTGGCTCGCATCCTGCCTGGGACTCCCTATGGCCATTAAGCTAAAATCAATCAGCAATGATGACCTACCTTGAGAATATCAGCAGCAATATACTCCAACACAGCAACAATGTACACAGCAACCTGGTAGTCCACACGATAGCCCAGCATCTCCTGCACACACAACATCAAGCACACATCTCAGTGGCAGTATACTAAATCTACCAGTCTAAAAAAGTCAATGTTCTACCCAATTAAAAGTGCTATTTCAGTCAGCTTACAAATAGTCTGGTAACTGATCGATACACCATTAGTTTGTTGTCTTATGCCAGTCAGCATCTTTCCAGCTATATCCCAGTTCTGGTGAGGTGAGGTGAAATTGGATTTAACGTCGTGTCCTAGATTATTGCACTTATATAGCGATGTGCATGCACGTGTGTGTGTGGCTGCTTGTACAAGTCCTGACTGATGCCGATTTATAGTGCCATGCCATGCTGCAGTTTAACATGAATACCCCACTCAGACACAGTATACTGACTCCGAGCCAACCAGTCTTTGTTTTAGCCCCTTAATGCCGAGCGCCAGACAGGGTAACAACAAGTACCATCTTTTAACGTCTTTTGGTATGACGCGGACGGGGCTACAGGCGGACTCTCTACCACAAGACCACGGAGGCGGCCCCAATTATGGCAAATATGGTAAATACTCCTGTCTAGTCCTGACAAAGCAGGGGTCCCATCCATCAATGACCAGCAACATGTGCATTGCTTCACTTCATTTCCATCAATCTCACTGAGGTCTTCTCACTGCACATGCACAAAGCCTATTATAGATGGGGATTTCAATGTTACATTGATGAAAATCAACTATTGACACAATCTTTGAGCATATTTCTTACAAGAATAGATATGTCAGGCATATATAACATGCATTCTAGAATTCTGATTTGTTTTAATGCTACATACAGCCATACTGTCTTGCGTTACCCAAGACTTGCAATGAAAATGATTTGTGTCTACTCACAATCCGTATGACTACAGGATGCAACATATTGCATTCATTGCTAACCCTATTTAGTGGAGAAGCTATTCTGCCCTGGAATACCATTACTGGTCCTGTCATCAGTAAAATACAAGTCACTTCTACAATGACGTAACATTAGTTGATTATTTTAGTTGGAAATTTTTAAATTCCTATCTGGGAATGTTCACAGACATGTTTTGCAAACTTGAGGTCGAATATCAGCCTCTGAGTAGGTCTAGATAAATCCCTGGACAAACCATTTAAAAAACAAGACAAGAGTCGGGCTCACTAACACCCCTGACTTCGACTCAAACTCAAAAATATTTCTAAGTTCAAAACATGAAAGGAGCAATATTTTCACAGAAAATCTATTAGACAAAATCAAACTTTGCACTGCACCTCTTCTATTAGTATGGAAACAGTTGCCTACATTGGAAAAGAATCTGTGACATAGTTTTCTCATCATAGGTCACACAAATGTAACAATATTCTAAATATATAAATGAAAAATAGCTGTATTTTTTCAGAAAATCCAAATACTGAAAACACAATTTGCACTGCACCTCTCCTATAGGTATAAAAAGTGTTTACATTTGAGTTTGAAAGAATCTATTTAGTAGTTTTCAATTTATAGGTTGCACACCAAAAATATTCTCAGGACGGACGAACAGAATTCCTTGGTAATACTATATACCCCTTTTAGGTCGGGGGTATAATAATCTTATCTTTAACCAGTTCAGCATATAACTGAATCATAATTATACATAGTCCATAATTGTAACTTACCCGAAGCAGAGGATGAACTTTATCCACAGGCAAGACAAGAGAGTGACTCTCGTTCTTCTTCTTGCTCTTCTCAATGGCATTCTGGGCATCGCCAATGGCCCACTTATCGATGGGGTCAGGGAAGGTCCTCTGTACCCGCTCCTCCACATCCTGTACAGAGTGAGGCTGTGCTGAACACAGTGTCGCCAATAGCTGGATCATCAGCTCCTCGATATACTGCAGTGCATCGTCCCGCGCATTGAGAGACGGGTGCACCTGCCGGAGCACCTGCAAAAGCAAAGTCACATCAGTTATATGGTTATAGTGAGTGAGCTGTTTCTTAATATTCGTGTAATGATTAATGGAAGGAATATTGAGTCCAAATGGATGGCCAAATGATATTCCTAAATGTCGCACACAATATCAGACTATTCACTGACATATTTTTCCTTTTTTAATAATTTTTCTAATAATATTTCACCTGTTAACACAGATGGCTTGTTTAGATGTTAGTTGCACTGCAATTTGTAGGTCAGTATAGCCACAGCACATGTACCTTGCAACATCCAGGTTTTAACAATACAGTATTTTACTAGAAAGATTGATGTCCAAATAGCTTTTGCTATAAACTTAAATTGCATTTGATCAAGCATGTCAAATCAAGAGAAACAAATGTTCAAGGGAAAATTTCACCTACTGTTTTAAACCTGAATAAGTTGACATTAAGACTAAGAGTGTTTGTTCTCATGTTCCTTTCCATCTTCCCGAGGCAAGGGAGTTAACGGATTATAAAAGTCTAGTTTCAAACCTTGCCGAATTGGGCTGGGATTTCTAGGCTTGATCGTAGCGCCACCAGTGCCTATCATGGGTTATGTCCCTTCTATGTCCCACCTACTAAAGAATCAGGTACTACCTCTCATATCTCTTGCATTTGCTTCAAACAAGATGGCCGTTCCTTGTCAAGACGATCAGATCGATAAACAAGATCTAATTTGTAACAAAACGGGTCGTACTTAGCAAAGTAGATCAAATCATGTGAGCACCTTAATTAGAAACATGAAAGGATTTGGAAAATATCTTTTGACACGGAATTGACAGTACACATGCTTTACAAATCCTGCAATCGACTGAAATCTGCACAGCAGTTGAACCGGATGTCAATTTCGTTACGCGATTTTGATTGGACTGTGCATAGACACAATAGTCCAGCCGAAATATAACTCCATAATTCCAGCCTAGTTTGGCAAGGGTGGTAACAGGACTTTTATATTCAGTTAACTCCCTTGCCTCGGGAAGATGGTTCCTTTCCAACAGGCCCATTCTTGAGTTTAATCACTTCAGTGTTAGATCCAACAAGTCTTCTCAAAAGCACATGCATATATTATAGATCCAGAAAAAGTGTAAAGAGTATTCAGTTATTTAAAAAAAAACATGTTTGTGCTGGGTGTCTAGCCTTGTTGATTACTTCCTTGTTATTAACCATCTGTTTTCAAAACTTCTCCAATCAAAATGTGTCTCTTGGCATAAGTTTCAGTAGTTTTAAATATTAATAAGGGTTCTTAGGCCAAACAAAATGATTCAATCATCGGATTAGTCGCTCTACTTGCATGGTATTGAATATTTGTATTCAATATAGTTTCACTCCCTTGGGTCCAATCTATTGGGTACCGTATATTATCATCCAAAACTGGCTCCCACAGGAGATATCACTTGGGTGAGATCAAGCAATATCTATACTGTAGATATCGCTGCAATGAAATTGCATCACAATGCTTTGCAGACCATTGTGACGTCATTGGTTACCATGACGTCACAATCAAATGACATCACTAATGGCTCTGCTACTGAAGCTGTTAGTAGTGCTTTTTACACTTAAGACACTGCTTATAACTTTCTACAAACTGAAAAAGTTGGAAGAATGATGTTGGATGATAAATAAAATCTCATCCTAGTGTCTTTTGATATCAAATATATCAACACTTGTTGATAAAAGTGGAAAAATCCTTGGCAAGCCTCGGAGTTTTCCCACTTTTATCAACTCGTGTTGATATATTTGATATCAAAAAACACTCGGGTGAGATTCTCTATTTCTTAAAACAATGAGTGAACCTTTTCACAAATCATTGATTCTGCTTAAGACTGTTTCAGGTAACTTCTAATGTGCATCTGTCCATGTGCCTCAAATGTGTCACATATCACAAAAGCCCCTAACAGCGACATATGTCTAAGTGATAAGATGCCAGCCGAAACACATTTTTGCATTACTCATTACAGTAGAGTTCATGTACACAATGTTTTTTTACTGGCAAAATTAGGCATGGACTGGTAGTTCATGTGGCTGCCAGTCCCTGTGGAAGGGCAAATAAAGTACCTTATAAATCACTGTTGTTGACCAAAACATTGGCGATAATCATGTGTATTTTTCGAATGAAGTCAGCTTGTCTGTTATCATCAGCGTTTCCTGTCATCTATTTTTTAGTTAAGGAAACAACATTTTGTTGTGCTTAGAGGTTAAATATCTATTTATAGTAACTTAGTCTTGAACCAAAGTGAAATATTGAAAAGAAAGAGAGTAAATTGTGATTGAAGTTTGATGAATGACATGTACATCTAAGTTACTTCAGAGATGACATCATTGAATTTGTCCACCGTGAACTTACATTGAACATGATGTTGAAAGAATTAAAACCTGGCAATTTTCATACGTTTATTTATTTGTTCAAAAGTGGGACTGACAAAAATTGGGGGAGGGACTGGTATTTTTTAAGAGTTGCCAGTCCCAATAGCCAACGGGAACACTGGACAGGTAACGACATACAGGTACACAAACTGAATGGCTACATTGGGCCACACTATTGTATGTCATACTATTGCGTTGGAGTTTGTTTTTTATAAATTGATGCATATATGTGAGTGAGTGAGTGAGTATGGTTTTACACCGCTTTTAGCAATATTCCAGCAATATCACGGCGGGGGACACCAGAAATGGGCTTCACACCTTGTACCCATGTGGGGAATCGAACCCGGGTCTTCGGCGTGACGAGCGAACGCTTTAACCAGTAGGCTACCCGACCGCCCCTGATATATATATGTACATGTTTTATGCAAGCAACTCAAGATTAAGTGGGTTATGGCGAATTATGGTGCTTAATTTAGGCAAATATCTGGAGCTCTACAAATTGTTACCATAACCATGATAACAAGCATCTACATCATGACAGCAAGCTGGCAACAGGCCTGTCCACAGGCCATATTTGTATTATTAAGTAACTCATAATCATAACCAGAAAACATTTTTCAGATTTGCTTTCAACTGAGTCGTGTGTGCATCCTCAGACAACTGAATGATTTGGCGGGAAAACATGGTTACAGAACATATTCTCCGTTTGCAACTTTACTTATTATTTTCATCTTGGGAATTGGCCTTCAAATTGTGATCAATAATCAATATCATCAACTTCATCAAAAGTGCTTTCAGTTTATCAGCCAATCTGACCATTCTGTCTACATCACAATTGTACAGGAGCATCCATTGGTATACATTTTGACATGCGCAAAGTTATCTAAACTAGCCCGGGGCTAGTACAAATTCCTGCAGGCCAGTCAAAATTTCAAACACTGACAGACAGACAGACACACAGACAGACAGGACAGACTACAAGCACGTTGCTACATAAGTGCAATAATCTTGAACGCAACATTAAACCCCATTTCACTCAACAGACATCCATAACAGAAAGTCTCAGGGTTTTGCTATCCAAAATGGCCTTAACATTATGTTCAAAATTGGCCACCATGTCATGATATAGAGAATGTCCAACAGAAATCAACTTAAATCATGAAAACGTCACAGAAAGTCATTCATATCTCGGAAAATCACTAAGAAAGATCAAATAACATATTACATCTAAGAAACGTCCCACATTTCAGTCATGTGTTTGCAAATTTGCTTTGACAAACATGTAAAACACTGTCACAATTTATGCTTGCAGTTTTTGCAGATTCCAACAGATAATGTGGTATGTATGACAGATACATGTCTTCTTATTTCTCTGATCTTTTTACAAATAAAATAAAATACTATAAATAGGGTAGGTTATAAGAATAAAAACATTACAAATGTTTGGGTTTTTTAATGAAATTATCAAATTGTCAGTTGGGGTATTATGAAATGTTTTTTCTTAAAAAGCATGTGTTTTAATAATGACAAATCAAAGGGTCACTTGGCTACTTAGTAGACTTAAGTGTTCGGTTCTTATCATTACATTTAACCCATTTTGGGTGGGCGGATCCATAAACCAAACATATAAATATAGAAAACTAAGCAACACACTAGGCTATGATGTACTTGATGTAAGAGTGCTTGTTTTCATGAAACTGACCACCTCAAACTGTAATGACTTCAAAGCATTCAGTATGTTTGTCCACTGATTGCATCTGCTACCAATATATCTGCATTCCTGTCTGAAGTCTAACATTGTAGATTTCTCCTGAACGTTTTTTTATTTGGACTCAACTGACTAATTTTAATAATGGTATTAGCAGCTACCAACAACTGAACATGGAACACTGACCAGTTAATTAAGTCTCACAGTTAATTAATTATTTTCACACATAACTTGATGCATCTTATAATGACATTGAATAAAATATTAAATAAATCAATACCTATTTGGATTTTAGTAAAAACATTCACTCCCACTGACAAGAAATTCTCCTTTAATAAACTGTATCAATTCCACTCTGCAAACATAATCAGTCTGTAATGGCAATGATAATTTGTAGCCTTGCACTGCCTTTGATGAAACTTGATAAGTTTCATTTTAACTGTACTCAGAAGAAACATCAATACTGGATACAAGAAGCAGAACTGATGCAGGACAAGAAGACTGAGAATTTGACGTAAGTGATAAGTTACTATGAAGGACTATTTCAACTAATGCCCATAACATCCTTGGTTTGATGGTTTCAATGAACGCTGATCACCAACATCGAAATCATACGAGTGCTAACACAATGTTCTTGAACATGTTTTCATCATTTGGATGAACTCATCCAGTCAACAAAGTCTATAATCATTTTACTTTCAGGTTTGCAGCGACAGTATCTAAACCAAGGGACACACTCCGTGTCTGCATCACACACTTTACAGCGATATACCAGTCTGCAACTACACCCACTAGTCTGAAGCCCGAGTCTAGTAAAATTGTGTTTGGTCCAATAAGCTCAAATAATAATAGTGTTTACAATAACATTAAACTCTACTCACAATGATGCGAACAGCCAAGTTCGGGCTAGTAGTCTCAAAGGTTCTGGCACAGACTGAGTATACATATAAACAAATCACTACAGCCAATACATCATCATGATCATAGTATCAAAAGAGGCAAGCAACGAAAGAGATCAGGTGGTCAGGGTCGCTGACTTGGTGGTTGGTTGGTTGGTTTGTTGTTTAACGCCGCTCTCAGCAATATTCCACCTATGTGACTGTGGTCTGTAAATAATCAAGTCTGGACCAGGCAATCCAGTGATTGATATCATGAGCATCGATCCACGCAATTGGGATCGATGACGTGCATCAACCAAGTCAGTGAGCCTGACCACTTGATCTCGTAAGTCGCCTCTTACGACAAGCATAGTGGCCTTTTACGGCAAGCATGGTTTGCTGAAGACCTTTTCTACCCTGGAACTTCACGAGGTCTCGCTGACTTGATTAATGCATGTCATTGTATCCAACTTGCATAAATCAATGCTCATAGTCATAATGTCAATCACTGGATTGTCTGGTCTAGACTTGATTATGTACATGATGTACAGACCTACATCATATAGCTGGAATATTGCTGAGTGCGGCTTAAAATAACAAACATCATGACAATATTTGTATACAATGTTGGGATTCACACTGTAGTTTGCAAAGTATTATCTCAACGGCTTATTTGATGGCGGTGTACACTTAAAACAGTGAACAACTCTGCCCTACCCAATGTCACCTCAAGCTCTTTATAGCAATACCTCAAACCAAACACTCTCTGTTAGGACAATTTAACAATATTTGCTGTTTCTCATGATTGCTTGGTAGGGAGGATTTTATTCTAATACTTTATTTCTTTAAACTTGTTGGTAAACAAATCTAAAAAAAGTAAATATAATTCAAATGTAATTAAGCATAATCTAATAGTACATATGACATAATTTGAGCTTTATTATAATGTACATTTAAAAATGTCACCACACATTCATTATTTGCAGTTCACTTGATGATTTGGATTAATTTGGAGGATACACGACACAAAACTTACAGGATCATTTTATCGCTACTGATTGAAAGCTACACCAGGCAGGTGTCATGGCATGAGCTAAAAGTTGGAATCTAGTGCAATCATGAAATTTGAGTTGCCAAAATTGTTTCTATACACTGCTTAAAACTAATAAAAGAAATCATGGGGTTGGTAATTTTATGGACAGGCAAGTCATGTGAAACAAGAACATTATTTTAACAAGCCTTGCTAATGAGAAAGATATGAGGTGTTATGAAGACGATGTGTAGTACAGAGTTTGCTGGTTGTTTACAGCTTCCTTATCCTTATTGCTTATTGGTAGCTGCTGTAACATGGTTAGGCCCAGCTACTAAGATGACCAACATTATTGAAGATATCCGTATTTATTGATCTTATGATAATATCAAGTTATATAAAATCAACTTTTGTCATACAAACGATTGGTAAACCGTTAATAAGATCAATCTGTGCATAATTGAAAATCACCATATGAGTGACAAATAACATGAGCATTAAGAGGGCTGTGGACAGCATGACAAGCTGACTTCTATGAATTTATGCAATGCTGTCTTTTAGTTTCAGATCTATCAACAGACTCTGTATATCAACTTTTACCATCACACTTTATATGCCAGAGCTTGTAAGGATACTTGTAGTTCCTTATTATCACGATATAATGATCTACAATGCAAGATTTGCACGTAATCGTACATGATAACTTGGCATATATGTCATCTGACTTAAATTCAAGCAGATCCTGTCATAGATGCATATATGTGAGCTGATGAACAGCACGAAAACACTGATTAACACACATCAGGAAATGTTCCGACTTTCAATAATGGACGTCATTGTACTCACAGTTATTAAGGGTTTGATGAATAAACCTTTCCATTTTGATGAAGTATCTTCAGAAACTGTTTCAGCTGTTGGAAACATACCGGTATGTTGTGACATTCCTACGGAACTGACAAGTTAAACCATTTACACACTTGATCTGCTGTTTTCTCTTCCGAGCCTGCCATGTTTAACATACAAGGGAAGTAACCTTACTTATCATTTCACAAATACAATTACATAAGGTAAGTTATTATGAAATGTTTGTGACCAACAGTCCGCGTATATATTTTTCTCGCATCTTACTATCACTAGCGGTCACATAAACAATTGTTTTACTTGCTGTTTACATGAAACAACTACATGAAATTTCCGCATTTATCACAGGAAATAAGGGCCTTAGATTCGTAATACGCATGCGTACACGATTGGGTAATATGTTTACGACATTATTTATCAACCAATATTTATCACACTTTCCCGATTACAAATATACGGGATTCAATAGACAGTGTGCGATACATTTTACTATGAATTGGTGTACTGGACGTTAAAATTTGTCGTAAATAAGATGTCGTTTGCTTTTCGACACGTAAGGTATGCTTCAATTATCGTATTCGCGTTTCTAACGGTTAGTATTAAGTCATTGAAACATGTACAGCTGGGTGTGTTACGCTCGAGTGGTTCAACAGGAAAACCGCCCTATTATTTCCCAGTTACAGAAGTTAATCACTTAATTAGCGTTAACGTGATAATTACGTCAGATGGTGTAAAATTCACATAAAGGCTAATGACTAGTAATGGTCGTTACACAAGCGTTGTTGCGCCAAACATCTCGATCATTCCATATTTTTTTATGACATATTTTTACATCAAGGAATGTATCCTTGATGGCCCCCTCGATCGAGGCTGTCGATCGTTTAGCTGACAATACTCGACCGCAGATTGTTTCAACTTATTTCTGCAGACAATCTTGATTTGTTTACATACTGGAACATTTGGACGAGGAAAGCGTTACAGTAAATGTTCAGATTGGCGCTGAGTACTGAGCTTGCTGCCGGCGCAGGGATGTGAGGGAGTGAGTTAGTGAGTGAGTTTGATTTAACGCCGCATTGAGATCATGTATCATGTATCATTTCATCGAACATGACATCAGAGCGTGCGAGCGTATGTTGTTCTTTACTAAGACATATTGTATAGTTTTTCCCGTAAAAGACAATTCGCACAGACATTCACCGCCCCCTCTCTCATATCTCGTAACAAACATGAAAGGAAATTTAAGGTTTTACAAAATAAGAATATTATTAATGGAAACAATTAGTTTGAATGTTTCATATTGTATATGTTGCAGCCATTTCCGTTTCCCGTGATGGGATTCGAACCACGGACCTTCTGACCGAGGTCGGACGCCTTGTCCACATGACCAAAGAAGTTAACCCCGTCAGCAAGCTGACAAGGTAAGGATGTCATCTGTTGGATGACTCCACGCCCTGCTACATATACATTATGCTTTGTGACAATGACATATTTCCTTATATTTTTCCAGGCCCGGTGCACGAATGTTTGATCACGTATATTAATCGTGTCTCATACCGTTAGACCAAACGTATCTTTATGTGTCTTTCGTCTCACACCGCAACCAAGTGCAGTACTTCCTGTTTTTGGGGCCCGGCTAGTTACACCTTATGATTTCTCTCCATGACATTTTAGAATAGGTCTTCAGCAACCCATGCTTGTCGTAAAAAGCGACTATACTTGTCGTCAGAGGCGACTAACGGGATCGGGTGGTCAGGCTCGCTAACTTGCTTGATGCATGTCATCGTATCCCAATTGCGTGGATCGATGCTCATGATATCAATCACTGGATTGTCTGGTCCAGACTTGATTATTTAGAGATCGCCCTCATACAGCTGGAATATTGCTGAGTGCGGCGGTAAAAAAACAACCAACCAACCATAACATTTTAATGTCACAAAGTTTACTGAACTAAGCCCTTCACTTCAGGTATAGCAGGTTCGAAGGAAAGATAAAGGTTCCAATTTATATTTGACGAAATAGTTCTTAAAACTTTCGGTATTTCCAAAAAGCTAGGTAAACAAACTGAGAAAAATACTCGCTAAAAACTCACACGTGACATGCGCGTTTTTAGCGAGTATCAGTGTATATATGTTACCGAGAATATGTATAATAAGGGAATATGTATAATCCCTGAAATGTTCAGGGAATATATTTAATGTCTGATTCACTCAGGGAATATACATAATCCCTAAATTTTTCAGGTATTATACATATTCCCTGATTTAACATCAAGTTTTTTAGACATATTCCCTGAAATTACTTTTGGGGCTCTTATATGGTCAAACTTGATTAAAAAAGTTATTTATGAGAAGACAAATTTATTTGACATGATAACAAATACCTTTCACTTAACTTAACAATTAGTCCTCACTAACATAGGATAGACTTAACAAACAAGAACAATTTAGTTTTTGTTGACAATGCATCCAATCACAACACCTATGATATTTCTAGGATCGGAACGGTGTTAAATCAGGGAATATGTATAATACCTGAAAAATCTAGGGATTATGTATATTCCCTGAGTGAATCAGACATTAAATATATTCCCTGAAAATTTCAGGGATTATACATATTCCCTGATTATACATATTTCCTGTAACATATATAAGATAGCTGCGCGATAAATCGCAAAGAACAATGAAGAACGAAGTATGGTTTATTTCACGATAACACATGACGTCATTTCTAGAGATTCGAACATGCGCTCGTAGCTCGATGACGTCGTAAATTGGACGACGTTATTTTTTAGAGGGGTGTCTTGTGAGATGTTCCCCATAGATGTATCTGGGCAACCTACAGGCCGTACATAATGTTGATATTTCATGTAAGAAATATACGACTCGTGGTCGTTGTTTATCGTTGCTTTGTTGTATGATGAACAACGACCACGAGTGGTTTATTTCTTAATGATTAGTCAGTTCTAAAGTTGTTGAGAACGATAGGATGTGACGCCATCCATGTTTGTGACGTCACAAATTATACAATTACGTCATCTGAACAATATGCTGACGTCAGGGACGATTTCTTTCGGGCTGCATGTGGTGGTCAATGCTCTAATTAAGGCTCCAACATCTCGTTGTGTGTAGTTGCATCCCTTAGAAGTGCAGGTCCACAGATCGTGAATTCGGGTCTCAGTTTCGCTCTGATATGCTTAAGCTGGCTTTGTCAACACCGTACGAGGTACGGCGGCCCAGTCACCGAATGCGCAATTCGTTGTGCAGAGTTGCGTCCCTTGAGCACGCCAAACACCTATGAATGTGGGTTCGAATCCCGGTTCGCTCCGATTATGTTTCTCGGTTTGTCAGCACCATACCCGTGCTCACTCACTCAACACCATATCCGTCCTCACGACGTCGAATACCTACGCCACTTTGAACTTTGATAAGTATTTCCCTTAGTGAAACATTTAAAGAGAAACAATCAAGAATTGCTTCATGTTTAAAATACATACTGACAATCACAATTGTGCCTTAGCACGTCAGTACCATAATAAGCCAACTTGGCGTTCCGTCTTCTCAGCGTTCAATGGTAAGTGACGTCATATAGTTTTATCGACTTGACTCGCGTGATGTTTCATCGAAATTCATGCATATTCATAGTCCAAATGTGATTTGGTTCATGACTATGCATGAATTTCGCTAAATGATCCTGTGGTTCGCTCGAGACAGAGTTCATCCTGCCACTTTTCTACTTTTGAAGAAATAAATATTTTTGAAATCATATACTAGTATTAAGTATACATGACCTATGCCCAGTTTGGGCATTTCAGTCATTTTCACACTACCTGGAAATATCAGACATATCAAAATGGCGCATTCCGAAATTGGCAATTAAAGTGTCATGGGTGCTTGAATATGATTTACTCTCTCTATATTTATTGATTTCAAATTGATTGGCTATAAGTTTTCATGACGTTGTTAATTCCCAGTGGTGTTCTGTGTTACTTCTCAGTAATAATTTATTTTAAGAACATTTCTCATGTATGTAATTATATTAAATATAAAGGTAGTTATGCAAAATGTTAATGTTTTTTTGTGGAAAAGATAATATTATGCAGAACAGAATACACGGCCACAATCAGTCCGAGGTGAGTATCATTGCCATCACAAACACTGTCCATTAAAATACCTTGTTCATGAATTACCAAACAATTACGGCGTTAAAAAAATCAACATTTTGTTAGCGTAGCAGATTTATTACTGCACTCTGTGGTCAAACACAACGACAATGCTTTACTACAGACTTTAATTCAGGTGTGAATCACTGACATGATTGAGAAAGCTACAAATCTTTGGCACTCATCTGTGCTGTAATTGTATGGTTTTAGACTAAACGGGGTGAATAACGTTAAAATAAAGTATTACCTATATTTACAAACCTCACTTTTCCACGAGATGAACGATTGGATTTATGTTTTAATATCTTCGTCAGAGTGAAGGTTGTATTGTTGATTTAATTACTGGCAGCGCATAGCTTATGATTTATGTGAGTATCTTGAAATAAACAGCTGATAACGGGTTATTTTATATCATAGCTGTGTACGCCTCGTATGAACCGGTACAGCATTTTTTACTAGGTCGTATTGTCGCCTCTCTTGTCTAGGAATTTTACGTTTCTGCTGCTAAATATACTCTATTAATTCATTATATAGATAAATTTTTAATATTTTCATTATATTGCGATAGATTGAACCATGCCATCTAGGGGATAATGCTAAACCGAATCAAATTTGCCTGCAGAAAACATGACCAATTTGGCCAAGAGTGAAAACGGTACCATATTTCGTTATCGAAAAGGCACCACATAATCATATCAGCTGATATATTTTAAGCTATATTACAGAGTATAGAGAAAACATGCATTCTTTTTACCATTCCAATGCAGTCATTCTATGCATTCATTTCAACATCAGTTGACAGTCTCAGATTTTTGACAAGGGACCTGCAATATTTTTTTCTGTTCTCCATGCATTTATTCCACTAGTTAAAATTCTCATACATTAAACTAAATTATCGTTATTTCCGTTTCATTCACCAAACATGCTCACTGTGCATTTATTGATTTTATACGCAAACAGACACTATTCTCAAACGTCAATAGTTGTGACTGAATCTGTGCATGTGTACAGATATGCATGTCTCTGTTGTAATGCTTGTCCTTTGCAAACTTGTTTTTAAAGACAAGTAGTATACTCAAAGGAGTGAGTGAGTGAGTTTGGTTTTACGCCGCTTTTAGCAATATTCCAGCAAGATCACGGCGGGGGACACCAGAAATGGGCTTCGCACATTGTACCCATGTCGGGAATCGAACCCGGGTCTTCGGCGTGACTAGCGAATGCTTTAACCACTAGGCTACCCGACCGCCCCTATATACTCAAAGGAGGAATGGTGCCTAAGACCCAGCTGGGCCCACTTGCACAAAGCGATCTTAGCGCTACAACTATTGTAAGCCCCATGTATGGGAGTTATGGTCATCTTAGTGCTAATATCACTTTGTGCAGGTGGGCCCTGCATCACTTGGGACTTATCTCCCAGACATCATGATCTAGTAACTGAAATACTGTTCAAAGCAGCATTAAACCCAACTCACTCACTCACTCACTCATATCCTGGTATCCATTTGCAGGTTCTAGATGATCTTGTAAGTGCCCAGTGTGAAACTGGGACATTTGGTCTCTGAATACTTATTGTTATCAATTAGGAATTGACTTTCACTTTGTGTGAGTTCATTGGAGTATGAACCTTCATAGAGTGAGGGCCAAACTGTATGAACGTCGGAGCTAGAGAATTCCCAGGGGTTTCCCCGGGAATGTGGAAGTAGTCCATCAGTGTTTACGCCATTTCAAGAACACGGTCTCGTGAAAAACGTATGAACGTCAAATTGTGTCGTTCATACAGTTATGAACGTCAATTTCGCGGACATGTGACCGACCTCTTGTCCAATGGAAAAGCTGTATATCGTGTAAACTTCAAATTAAAAAATTATTATTGTATGAACATGATAAACATATTATTGAACATATTGAAGATACACTGCTGTCAACTTAAAACTAATGTTTACTCCAATATACTGCTGGTTTTGCTTGATGACATTTGTTGCTGTGCCATTTTAGCAATAGCACTTACCAGTTTGTGCAGGAAATATGATTCTTGGGAGGATGGACACATATATGATAATAAAGTCAAGATAACCAAAGATCAGCATTTGCTACTTCAGTCAGTGTATAATACTTCGGATGTTGGGGGCGGTCTGGTAGCCTAGTGGTTAAAGTGTTCGCTCATCACGCCGAAGACCTGGGTTTGATTTCCGACATGGGTACAATGTGTGAAGCCCATTTCTGGTGTCCCCTGCTGTGATATTGTTGGAATATTGCTAAAAGCGGCGTAAAACCATACTCACTCACTTACTTCGCATGTTGCTCAGTATGTCTTATCATTTAATTGTGATATGAAACTTGGTTAGGCATTTTATTTCCCCAATGTACTTCAGTCATCTGGCCATCACATCACACTAGGACATCAAAATTCACTCCAAAATAATAATGTCCATGCGAACAAAAAGTAAAATACATTGTAAAAGAGCTATATTCAATGAGCCAATTCAATTATTACAGAAATAGTAATTGGAAACTCTCTCCTGTATGTTACCGCTGTGAAATTGTTTTGAGCTTTGTTGTTCTGGTAATGTCGCGACTCTTTTTTGCAATGGTGTTTGACTGAGTTAAGTGAATTTTTCAACTGCAATTGCTACTGCTTCCAGTCTACCGTCTTTTCAATTTCAAGTATTTTTGATATTGCTGCAATATTGCTAAAAGCAGCGTAAAACCATACTCACTTGCTCACTACCATACAAAACAATTTCAGGTCATTAGTAATAGTGTTTATGTCAAATTTGGCATTTATTTTTATTTTTTTTATATTTTGCTAGCAATGTTACTCTTTTATTTCAAATAGATCCTAGGGCGTGATGATAGTTTCAAATTAAGCTTGAAAGTAATAGGGTCCTTGTCATAACGGTAATACTAAACTTTAATTTCATAGATATTTATTCTATGTAAGGGTGTGAGGTATTACCGATATTTCAGTACATTGGGGTTATTCTTTCCACAATACGCATCACAATATAATTTGTTCATGTTGGATAAATCTGATGATTTCAAATTGGGATTTTTATCATGTGTTTAATGTTATATACTTGCCAAATGCCTTTGATGCCCAGGAGCGAGCATCCGGGGCCCCAAGATTGCTGCATATTATTTGAATGAGTAAACATTATGTTGTACCAGCATCTTGTTTTGTTCCATTTATGAACTTCAGTTCATACCTTAATGTATCAGATTGCTTCTGATTTAAAAACTTAGAATTATACAATATATCGTGATATGTATCGCAATATGGCCTCATGTTGTTACAGAAAATGAAGCTATATTTAAGGCAGTACAACATTATATATGTACAACTAATAGATTTGTGTAAAGAACTGTTCATTCAACAATGTATCTCTCTCTCTCTCTCAGTCTCTCTCTCTCTCTCTCTCTCTCTCTCTCTCAGTCTCTCTCTCTCTCTCTCTCTTATGTCTCCTCTATAGTGCTGTATGCATATATATTGAATTTGAAATTGTGAAATTTTTGTAAATACCAGGGAGAGGGCATTCTAAGCTGTCTGAACATGTCCCCCAATCCCGTTCACTCCTTGTGAATAAATATGTTTAAATCAATATGGCCTTGTACATTGCAAAATATTTAAACCTCCCAAATACTATGGCAACAAAACTCAAGGAAGCCAGGACCCACTTTGTTTCAAATACAGTAATGATGGTTATGGCATGTATAGAGTTTCATTAGTGGGTTTTTAGGATCACCATAAAACCAACAAAGATATTTATGTTATTGCTGTGATTTCATGTTTTTTCTGCTTATCCATTTCAGAAATGAGTTTCTGTAGAGATGACGACTGTGTCCGACTGTGATGACCAGGAATCAGTTGTTACTAGTTGGTGCTCATTGTTTAAACAAGGAACAGACTTTGATACATGGGGACAACCACTGGAGGCTACAGAAATATACCAGAGGTATTAAACATGGAGGCTTAATCAGTGTTTGAATTATGGAGACACCTCTCTATGTTGCTGTTCACAGATTTGACTGACCTTGTCCAGAAGTCATAATGAGAAAACTGTGCAGATTTGCATCCCTTTGGCACGCCAGAAACCTATGATTGTGGGTTTCGAATCCCGGTTCACCCAATTATGTTTCTAGGTTTGTCAGCACCATACCCGTGCCCGTGGGTTTCACCAAAGTGGTAAATGTCTGAGACCTGCATCACTTTGGGCTTTCCTCCCACATTAAGCTGAAACGCTGTGATATAACCATTGATAACTGGAATACTGTTAAAAGCAGCGTTAAACCCAACTCAGTCACCCACTCACAATGAGAAAATAAAACAATAATAGTTCATCTTTGATGGATTACAAACATCACAAAAATCTTACAGTTTGCTAATGGTTCATCCATGGATATAAATAGTATTAAATTATCTAGGTCTGTGATTCACCTGATGTGACCCAAGAAAAATGTACATCTTTATGAATAACAATTTCCGGTTTATTGTATATAGCGACGTTTCGATGTAGATTCTTACACCGTTATCAAGCTGGAGTCACACCAATCAAGTAATGAGAGGTACATATGCATGACATGTTGTGATAAGCAGCAGATTAACATAGACAACAACGGTAACTGATAACAAGCAGATAATTGGATGAAGCCAAATGTACAGTACGAATAACAAATAGCACACGGGTAGTGAAGCCAGATATACAGTGAGGATAAGGATTAAAGGGATATACAGTCGTGACAAGCTGATTAGGTCCTAATTAAAATAGACTATTGCTTAATAGGCAGATCTTCATAGGCAGACAAAATATAATACCCTTGATCTCTGTTGATCAAAGGGGCACGGGTGGCCCAGTCGTCTAAGGCGCCGCGATTCACTGTGCAGAGTTGCATCCTTTGGGCATGCCAGAAACTTATGATTGTGGGTTCGAATCCCGGTTCACCCAGTTATGTTTCTAGGTTTGTCAGCACCATATCCGTGCCCGTGGGTTTCACCGAAGTGGTAAACGTCTGAGACCTGCATCACTTCGGGCTTTCCTCCCACATTAAGCTGACACGCCGCGATATAACTGGAATACTGTTAAAAGCAGCGTTAAACCCAACTCACTCACTCACTCACTGTTGATCAAAGGTTTGTGACGGCGGATTTCTATGGCTTCTGAGAGTTTTCTTTTGGTGAAGTCCTGATGTTTTGTTGAGAGGATTTGGACTGAATTTGGTGGCTAGGTAATATTTGCTGGTGAAAGTTAGGTCTTGTGTTCTTTGATGCGGGTGACTACTGGCCGGGAAGTGCCCTGTGGAGTTTTTGTCCAATCTTCACACAGAGTATTATCATAATAGAGTGAAAGATTTGATTTTCTTGAGAATGATTGTATCCTGTTAGCATTTAATTATAGAATAGAATGACAAAAAGTGTAGATATTGCAAGACAAACTGTAGAACAAGTTATCAGTGTATCAACGACATGTTTGATCTCATGAGTATAAGCCTTCTAGATGCCAACAGTTTGATGAAAACTAAGTTTTCACCCATTTTTTAAACCAGTTAGTAGCAATCTTCTAACCCAATATTTCAGTGTGAAAAAATATCAGAAGTTCAGCACCAGAGAATATGTTACAGTACTATGTATCTTTAAAGTATTCTTCTGAATTTCATCATATTTGTACCCGCTGAGAATGTAATCATTGCTCATGCTGTCAACCACTGGTTTATCTGGCCCAGACTCACTTATTTACAGACCAGCTGCAATATTGATGGCTAGGGAGTAAAACAACATTCACTCACTTACTCATTCACTTATAAAGTTTTTAGTATATGTTTTATCATGTCTACAGCAAAGCTAGCTTTACTTTGCCTCCCTTGTAGAGATGTCAATGTGAAGCCTTTCTTTACAGCTTATCTAAGCAGCTGCATCACTGTTCCATGAGCGACAATGGTATCTTCACAGATAAACAAAAGGTAATCTTTTATATGGTTTACAATTGGCCCAAAACGTATTTGTGTTTTAGGTAACCTGACCTCCCAAATTATATTATCTTGGAGTGTTTTTACTATGTGTAGCAATATTTGATTGTGATGCACTCATACTAATTTATTTAACATGTTTAATGCATATTTATGACACTGCTGAAATTGAGGTCCATTTTTAATTTGTGTGACAAGCTTACACCTTGTTATCTCTGATTTTCTCTGATTTTCAGAAGTTCTTGGACAAAATTAGAGTTTGCTTGGATTCACGATCAAAATCTCTCCAGGTTTGTGACAGATAGATTAATCAAACTTTGATAATTAATTGATTTAGTAGACTTGGCCAAGTCTTTATGCCAGTTAGTATTTCTCAGTCTCAATGTGTCTAAAACTGGGTTTGTCATGGGAGTTAATCCTTCACACCAGATTTGTATGTGATCCTATCCAAACCATGTGAGACAAAATAAAATCTACCTCCATGCCTCTGCAAACGGAAGGATCCGTGGGTTCTCAATAATCTTGAACGTGATGTTAAACCCAATTTCACCTCACCTCAACCAAAAACAGCGGCATAAGTGACCGCGTGATGCAATGACCCACTTTTCCTGGGTTTGAATCCCAGATTCACTCTGAATTTTTTTGTCAGGACCATACCCATACTCTTGGGTTTAACCAAAATGGTAAATGTCTAAGATCTGCACCACTTTATGCTGTTCTCATATATTAATTAAGATGACAGGCTATAACATGACTGAAGCTGCTCAGAGTGGCATTAAGCCAAACTCATTCTCTGTAAACATAACCTAATTGCCCCAGTGAAGATTCAGGGTTACAGTTTACTCCCAACCACTTATGATTGTCATAGGACGGTCGGGTAGCCTAGTGGTTAAAGCGTTAGCTCGTCACGCCGAAGACCCAAGTTCGATTCCCCACATGGGTACAATAGATAAAGCCCATTTCTGGTGTCCCCCACCGTGATATTGCTGGAATATAGCTAAAAGTTTCGTAAAACCATACTCACTCACTGTGCTTGTCACAAGAGGTGACTTCATGTATCGGGTGGTCAGGCTTACTGTTTTCTTGTTCATAAAAAATAAATTCTAAATGTTCCTTTGTTGTGGCTTTATAATGATATGCACGCTGCCGTATCCAGTGGGGAAATACAGATTCTTTTCAAGGACATTGGTGTGTCTGGCCTGGACTTGAATATTTACAGACCACCATGATATGGCATGACTGTTGCCGACTGGGGCGTTAAACAAAATTCACTAATTCATTTGACATAAATAGTAAGTGTATTTTGGAACTGTTTGATAACGTCTTCTTTTACAGGACCGTGTATCAAAGGAGGGCATATCTCTGGAGGATCTCCTGAAACTAGAGTCAAGTAAGAGTTTTGCTCACTGAAAATCTGTTCTAGTATCCATAACAGCATCAGAAACTGGCACTACTCCTACAGTCCCAACCAAAATTCATCATAATGGTTAAGGTATTCATAGGACTTTGTAGAACGTTGTTCATCATACACAATTTGTCATATGATACTAGAGTAACAACTAATTATTATATATGGGTCTTTAAAATGACCTTGTGTTGAAATTACCCAAATTAAACCCAATTAAACCCAATTCAACCGTACTGTTGAAAATAAATACATGTAAATTGGTTTAACCAAGACAACCTCAAGACACTTGACATAACCAGAATATTGATGACTGCAGCTTATTACAGCATATACTCCCTCCATGTTTGCTTTGTGATGTATACATGATGAAGGAACGTAACATTGGTTTTCTAGCCCTAAAGAACCTCTGCCGGAAACCAAGTGAGAAATTCCCAGTAGACGTGCGAGCAGCTCAGCTTCAGACTCGACAGTATCCAAACATCAGGTAAATATTGATCATATCTTACTCTTGCGTCATATTATTCTCAAACATGACAAAACTGGCAGATATACAGACATGATAGAAACAGGTTTCTATCCATGCATCATCTTACCAGTTTGTCTGTCCATCTGTCCATCACATTTCAATTCTGAAGCAAAACAAACTGTATGAGACCGGACATTATATGTTGAGAAGAGGAACTAAGATTTTCTTTTCAGACAAAATAGATATTTTTTGTATTATGTTCTTAATTTTTGTAGCTTGCTTGGGCAAACCTCAAAAGAACTTATGTCATTGCCAGTTTGTCCAAAATGTTTGCCCAAATATTGTCATGAATCTTTGCACACAAATCAACCAGAGTCAAATTACATCTTTGGCTAATCAGTGGTCATCATTCGTAACATGTACAGTTACCCATCTTCCCGAGGCAAGAGAGTTAACTGACTTTAAAAGTCCAGTTTGCACCCTTGCCTAACTTGGCTGGAATTCCTGGGCTCGTTCGTAGCGCCACTAGTGGCTATTACGAGTTATGTCCTTTCTATGCCTCTCCTATTGACCAATTAGATTCAACCTCTCGTATCACTTGCATTTGCTTCAAACAAAACAATGGTGCCCAGTCAAGACTTTCTGATTGATAATCGAGATCTATATTGTGATAAAACGAGTCTTACATCGCGAAGTGCATCAAATCACGTGATCACCTTGATTAAAAACATGAAAAGATTTAGAAAATATCTGTTGACGAGTTAGCGGTGCACATGCTTTGCAAATCCTGCAGTCAACCGAAATCTGCATGACACTTTATGAACCGGATTTCGATTTTGGTGCGCGATTTTGATTGGACTATGCATAGACTCGTTAGTCCAGCCAAAATGTAACTCCATAATACCAGCCTAGTTCGGCAAGGGTGGAAACTGGACTTTTATAGTCAGTTAACTCTCTTGCCTCGGGAGGATGACAGTTACCTGCATGATGACAGTTATGCAGTGACATTACGCATCCGTAAGCGGCCTTGATGTAATTTGTATTATAGCTTTACACAACATTCACTCTCACTCCAGAAACTGTTTGCTGATGTTGAATTTGTTGGTTTCAGTGTCCTCAGTCTCCACACCTCTAATGATGAAGATAAGCCATCACAAAGAGGTACTATCTTTCATGGCAAAGCAGTCATTTCATTTGGAAGTGTGTGTTTTTACTGATTACTCTTTGAAGTTTGTCCCATTTGTATGTGGTCAAAGTATACATAGTTTATGAAGTTATTGAAATGCCAGGGTGCATTGTCTAGTAGATCACCCACTGAATGTAAAAAAAGAAAAATGTGTCACTCCCACCCACCTCCTCTTTATCCTCTTTAGAATAATTGCAGTATCTACCTCTGTTTAAGACATCAAAGTTATGATATTTGAGAGTTGTTGTAGATTTAGGATAATCCAGTTAGGACTTATTTGTTTTATTCTGTTTCTGTTAACCACAAGTTTTGTGAAGGTGAAAACTCCAGGAAACCTTATTGTTTTTAAAGTCAGTAACCCCCCCCCCCACCACCACCACCACCACCACCAAATATGCAGGGATATGAACCAAACATGTGGGTTTTTCAGTGTGTGTGTGTGTGTGTGTGCGTTTTGCTGCTTGTACTAGTCTGAAACTATGCAAATTTTATAGTGCTAGCCCACTGAGATACTATGCCGCAGTTTAACATAAATACCCCACTCAAACACAGACACGAGTCCTTGTTTTAGCCCCTTAATGCCGAGCACCAGGCAGGGTAACAACAAGACCATCTTTTAACATCTTTTGGTAATATGTGACCGGGGATCGAACCCCGTACCTTCCACTATCTGGACAGACACTCTATTCACTAAACCGCGAAGGCGGTCCTAGGCAACTGGAATGTTGCCAATTGTTGTATTAACAAGTGAACAACAACACCTATGTATGAGTGAGTGTTTGTCAGTTTTAGGTAACCTCCTACCTAAGCCTATGCCGATAGCCAACATGCGGTACCTGAGTGTCCGGGTGGAGAAGATGGGTTTAAAGGATGCTTCACAATTCATAGACCCCTTCATCTGTGTGTCTGTCAAAGGTAACTACAGAATCGTCTCCCTATAAAGGTCCTGGTTAGAGTTGGTCTTCAGGTTCCGATGCCATTTGTTAGAGGCAGCTAACAGTAATATTCATTATTTCTTTATTTTCTGTTGGTATTATATAAACCTGCACCAGAAGGTTGTTTTAGTAAGGGGAAGTAACTAAGTGGCAACATGCGTAAGGGAGATAACTAGGCCCTAGTATATCATGCAGACTATAGAGGACTGGCTGGTCAGGCTGAGTTTGTGACATTGTGCATGGTATGGATACTTATTCATGTTTTTCAGTCACTGGTTTGTCTTGCCTAAACTTGATTATTTACAGATGGCAGTGATGTAGGCGGAATATTACAGACTACCATTACAAGCATAGATGCAACTTTTGGGTAAAAGAAAGGTGTATTTTGTGAGCCCAAGTGCTTAATGACTGCATGTAAGCCAGGCAGCAGTATGGGTCTGGGAATTGTGTTATTTGATTTTAATATGTATCTCTAAATGAGTTAGTTATAGTTACTGATAGTGTTGCAATACATTTTCACTTAGTCCACATGGCCTACATAACTAGGTGTTTACTATGCTTCAAAGCTGAGTGCACGCATATGTGTTAAACAGCATTCACTACATGTATAACCTGTCTGTATCGTGTGCTATCATTGATTGCTTTCATTTCAGATGCGAACGGTCACAACCTGACCGCCATACAGAACACCCCGATAGCCTCAGACAAGCAGGACACATGTGTGTTCTTTAATGTAGACGTCCATATACAGAAGACAATAGAAAGTCTGCCACCAGGTGAGTGAGATACAACATGTGAATCATCCGCATTGTACATTGAAGTCCTGGTTATGTGACTGTGGCATAAAACAACATGACCTCAAACACTCACAGCATTGACAGGGTTGGGCCTGGAATTTTTCATTTTTTAAAGTACATTGCGTTGTTCCTTCCAGAGAATACTTGAAGAAAAATGATTTCACTGCAAGTTTTAAAAAAGGCTAAAAATAATTTACTGGACATGCTTGATGTATTGAAAATATCAGTGTTGTGAAAATATGATTTGTTCGGTTCAATGTTTCAAAGGAAAATATTGTATGTTTTGAGGGAGAGAGTGAGTAATGTTTTATGCCGCTTCTAGCAATATTCCGGCAATAAATATCATGGCGGGGAACACCTGAACCGAGTTTCACACTTTGTACCCATGTGGGGAATCAACCTGGGTCTTCAGCATGATGAGCGAATGTTTTAACCACTAGGCTACCCCACTTCCCGTTTTGTATGTATTTAATCACCGACCATAACATTATCCTGTCTCGAACAAAAGTCCCAGACCACCCACCCGTCAGGATATAAAAGGTCAGTCCCAAATGTAATAAACTGAATGTGTACCTCTTATTTTCTGTTGGTGTTATATTAACCTACACAAGAAGGTTGTTTTAGTATAAGGGGAAGTAACTAGGTGGTAACATGGCTAGGGGAGATAACTTGGAAACATGTCTACCCTTTTGGGAAAATCTCAGTTGGCAAGCCTGGATATTGGTGTTACTTATTTTATGCTATTTAAATCCTGTCTGCACCATAGCTTTTGATGATGTAAACTATCTTGACTGTGTGAAACACATACAAGTTTGTTTTGATAAAAAATAACACTCCCTTTACATTGCTCAATTCTCAGGTTTTGCTGTGTTCTTTGAATTCAAACACTTCAAACCGAAGAAGAAAACCACAAGCACCAAATGTTGGGCATTTCTTGAGAAAGATGAAATCGAAGATGGACCGACGTATCTGGAATTGTAAGTTGCCTGCTTTTGTCATGTTTAATGTACAGGGGACTATGTTCACCTCATGTTCTTCCATTCCTGCCTTTCATTTTGGTTGAAAGCTCACAGGTCAAGACTCGGTCAGTCACAGCAGCTGCTGAGTTCGGTTACAGCCAGCTCTCAGATGTGACCTGGAATATATGTCATGTAATATCGATGATGTGGATAGATGCTGATAATATCAACCATTAGTTGGCCTGCATTAGATTCCATAATATCAAAACAACTCGCAGGTCAAGATTTTCATGAAGGTTTGTATTTCATTTTTTGCAAAATGATTTTTTACTTAGTCCAGTTTTGTATATAACTGATGTATTGTGATAAAGCAGTGTGCTTTCCACCTACAGTGGACTCTGTCTAAACCGGCCTTTGTCTAATCCAGCAATCTGTCCAAACTGGCATTAGATTTTAGTCCTGCAGATTGTGATAATGTCATTAAATATTCTCTGTGTAATCTGGCCTTTGTCTCTTCTTGATTCAGGCGATGCTTGCTAGATCCTATAACCAATTAACATAGAAAAAGCCTCTCCCTAATCTGGCATGCAACAATCACTCAGTTGAAAGCCATAGACAAATGCTCAATTTACAAGGTGTAAGCATGTCTACTAAATAAACACACAGAAGGCTTGTGTTGGTATGTGTGTCAGCATGGATGACAGTGACTGAGTGCATCAATTGGCTGATGAGTGGCAAGTGTCACTCTGTAAGGGTAATAAATACAGTGATGGACTGTGGTCCTCATAAAGGCAACCTCTGAAACACTTAAAGCAACAACCACAACGACTGTAATTGTTGTCTTGTTTTCCATCGATGATCTTCATTCTATGCATAAACCAGCACTGACAAAGTAGACACAATGTATGGATAACAACTTCTTTATTTACTGTAAAGGTGACATTTCGGTATATATCCTTATACCGTTGTCAAGCAATTATTATTTTGTATCCTTGCTTGACAACGGTATAAGGATCCATACCGAAAAGTCACTTTTACAGTATAAATTGTGTCTACTTTGTCATCCGTCAACTTCTAAGTAATGCCTATCAAGCAATTCATAAACCAGCGCTGTCTAAACCAATATTTCTTGGTCCACTGTACATGGTAGATTTAAGCCAGTACTTGAAGTATAGTAAGACCTATATATGATATCCAATATGTTTAGAGATATATTCTGTTTATTTCATACTCTTTCCAGATACAAGAAGCCCACAGATCCTTGCCGAAAGAAAGTCCACCTGTTGACAGTGAAGCCCTTGTATCTCCACTTAAAGCTGTCTCTAGACTCCTAGTGGCAGTGTGGCTGTGCTTCACTCAGTGGAGTCAGTGTTGGGAGCTCGGAAGACGTTGTTGTACATCAGGGTATACCATGACGAGTCACACAACTCTGTCTGGACTGACAGCAGGAGTTGTTATAGCAGTCAAAGTGAATTTGATAAACGGACATATTTTTGTTATCTTGAATACTTTTAGACACGAAAGCAGTGTTTCCAGTTGGTCATAGAGTATAATTGATACATTGTTTGTTACCTTGAATTCTTTTACATTGTTTCCTGTTGGTTATAGAGTACAAGAAAATAACAGACATTATTAAACTATGTTTGCTGTTTGCCAGTCACCTTGCCCCCACACTGTCACATGTGTACCAGTCCTATACCAGCATGCTATGATCACACTGTCACATGTGTACCAGTCCTATACCAGCATGCTATGATCACACTGTCACATGTGTACCAGTCCTATACCAGCATGCTATGATAGCATGCTATGATCACACTGTCACATGTGTACCAGTCCTATACCAGCATGCTGTGATCACACTGTCACATGTGTACCAGTCCTATACCAGCATGCTGTGATCACACTGTGTTAGGCCTGTGAGCAGTGCTGGGGTAGCTAAGGTAAAACTACCTTTATAATGGTTAAGTTAGCACTGACCATACATGTCTGACTCATGTTTATTTTCAGAAAGGAAATACCTGCCATTTTTTCTGTTTCATTATACATCCATGTTTATTTTTGTGACCCATTTACATTTTTTTAAAGAATGTATACTGTAGGGGTCAGATGATGCTTACAAGTCAAAAGGTATAGGGGTCAGATAATGCTTACAAGTCAAAAGGTATAGGGGTCAGATAATGCTTACAAGTCAAAAGGTATAGGGGTCAGATAATGCTTACAAGTCAAAAGGTATAGGGGTCAGATAATGCTTACAAGTCAAAAGGTATAGGGGTCAGATGATGCTTACAAGTCAAAAGGTATAGGGGTCAGATAATGCTTACAAGTCAAAAGGTATAGGGGTCAGATAATGCTTACAAAACAAAAGGTATAGGGGTCGGATGATGCTTACAAGTCAAAAGGTATAGGGGTCAGATAATGCTTACAAGTCAAAAGGTATAGGGGTCAGATAATGCTTACAAGTCAAAAGGTATACTGTCGGTACACATGTATTTTACTGGGCACTTCTCCACCATGTTTGTTTGATGCCACTAATAAGCATTAAGAGAGTTAGAAAATTCAGGATCAGAATGATCATCAGGGCCATCCCACCCATTTTTGTGAGGGCACTAAAAGTGGCATCTGTAAAACATAGAAACCATTACTAAGGAAGGAGCTTGTGCACATCTCTTACCATGGCAGAAGGTGTCTGTAAAAAAATCCATTCTTACCCTACCATATCTTTAACGAACACAGGGATCAACATATCTAGGACTTAACAGCCCAAGCCATATTTTCTTGGTCGCTATATGGTGGATACCAGAGAACGAAAACACTGATCCAGGCTCCAATGTCTCGAAACTAATTTAAGTTAAAAAAACTGACTTAAGTCTGAGTTTTTACTCAAATTTGAGGAAACCTAAGTTTGTTTCGAGAAATTGGGGGCTGGAGTGGATTGTGCTGTCAGTTGATTGTGTAAAGTTATATTGAACATCCATTGCCAACCTTGGTGCTCACTGAGTGCTGTTGCATCTCTGGGTAGCTGGATAGCGCCTACACTAGAGCAGGTCTTGTTCCAGGAATGTACTCTGAAAAAGAGCATAATGGCCAAGATCTATTCAGCAACAAGTTTATCTGGATGAGATTTTCTGTATAATGCATTTGATTATCCTTACCTATAGTTTGGAGGTATTAAATAGGGTACTGGTTACAGAGTAGACATGCTTAGAAGGTTGCAGCTACGCTTTGATCTTTGGTTTCGAAGGGCTGTCTTCCATTTCCACAGTCCCTCGTTATCAACAGGGTCATACACAACAATCATGACACATCCTAATTCTGATACTGACAATCATGTTCACCGTCATAATAGTAGTCAAGCATCGTGCCATGTGAGAAAACTGAATCTGTGGGATATATTGTGTGTAGAGTGAGTGAGTATTGTTTTATGCCGCTTTTAGCAATATTCCAGCAACATCACGGCGGGTGACACCAGAAATGGTTTTCACACATTGTACCCTTGTGGGGAATCGAACCTGGGTCTGCGGAGTGACAAGCAAATGCTTTAACTACCTGGCTACCCCACCGCCCCTATTTTGAGATTAGTGCTGTCAGCCACTGTTTGTTTGGTGGGTACCATATAGGATTAGTGTGCCATCATATCACATTACTATAACATTGTTTGATGAGAGAGAATTTGATAGGAGAGAACTTGCTTGGCTGAGCGTAGTGAAATATAGATTGTACTCGTATTATTTTCATGATAAAAAGAAACTACAGTGATCCCGCGCTACAATGCTTTATAATTCCCTCACCAAATAATTGATGAGCATTATAGATGATCAGCAGTTTAACGAAGGTCGAGTCGTTTACTTGCATGACAATAGTTTTATAATTCGGTCAGTTAAACTATAGAAGTAGGGTAAATGATAGGCACATGACCAGTTTGTTAATGCCAAACATTCTGCAGCAGTACAAACCTGTAAAGAATTGATGATGAAAAGCAACAGTAATAAATATTACAGACACTTTTTTTACCATTTACTCTTTACCATTTATGATGGCATCTAAAATAGGCCAGTGCCTGTGACACTACACATGACTTGGCAGGAATAAGGAATTTAAGTTTAAGATCTGTAAATCATATTATCAAAAAACATATGCCTAACCTAGATATTGCTTTTGAATATGTACTTTGACTTGTCTGGTTGAAAGTCAGTTGTGATATTTAAGGGCTGGAAGAGACAGGCTCACACAGGCAGTTCCACTGCTGATCACGATATCGAGCAGGGAAAACACATTAGTACCAACTGAATTATGTCTAATGCTCCAGTTTGATAGCTCTCTGAGTGAACATGTCATTTGAATGAAAGTGCACATTAGTACAATCTAGGTAGCGTGTGTATATATAATGTATGGATGTGTATCATTGTACTTGTATGTTTCCCTGTAAACATACCATATTTTGATGAAAAAAACAGTTGAAAGATAAATATCGTGGTTTATGCTGACAGCCTGAAATGTTTATATACGACAGGTGTATTTTTCCAGAATTTAATTGCCCATAATTAAGGGTGTATATAACATACAAGTGCGTATCATACACGAATAAATAAGTCTTGTGTACATTGATCAATCGGAAGGGGTGCTAATTGGGATTTGTTCACTAGCCAATATATTTGCAAATATCACTGTGGGTGCTTATTAGAGTGGGGCGCTTATTACGTCGAATACGGTATATATATCTTGTTACAATCATGCTGGTCATCTGAATATAAAAGGGGTGCTTACTAAACGTTTATGCATGTGGGCATTGTATTGCCGATCAGGTATACTGAATGTAAATATATTACGCTATTACTAAATCATTTGACAAAATTACATCACATCCCAACACAAATTGCCAAATCACAAATTGCACCCCTTTTGTTAAGAAACACGCGATCCATGCTTGTGATTTTGATGGTTCTCTTTAAAATGTTTCAACGAGGCAGCTTGTGTGCGACTGTGGTCATGAAGAGATTAACATCAGTGACTTTTGTAAGTTAATACATAGTGCTGATCGGCAGGACAATATGGCTCCGTTAGTTCCTCATTGTATATGTCATCAAAGTCATGATGTCATGGTTGCATCTAGTGGGACCCCCAGGATAGGTACCTTGAAAGTTTGAAGGTCATGGTGCCTTGAGGGTGGTACCTTGAGGGTATGTACCATAAGTTTGACTGTTATGGTACCTAGAGGGTGGTACCTTGAGGGTATGTACCATAAGTTTGACTGTCATGGTACCTAGAGGGTGGTACCTTGAGGGTATGTACCATAAGTTTGACTGTTATGGTACCTTGAGGGTGGTACCTTGAGGGTATGTACCACAAGTTTGACTGTCATGGTACCTATGGGGTGGTACCTTGAGGGTATGTACCACAAGTTTGACTGTCATGGTACCTAGAGGGTGGTACCTCAAGTTTGACTGTCATGGTACCTAGGGGGTGGTACCTTGAGGGTATGTACCATAAGTTTGACTGTCATGGTACCTAGAGGGTGGTACCTTGAGGGTATGTACCATAAGTTTGACTGTCGTGGTACCTAGAGGGTAGTACCTTGAGGGTATGTACCATAAGTTTGACTGTCATGGTACCTAGGGGGTGGTACCTTGAGGGTATGTACCATAAGTTTGACTGTCATGGTACCTAGAGGGTAGTACCTTGAGGGTATGTACCATAAGTTTGACTGTCATGGTACCTTGAGGGTGGTGTAAAGCCCTGATGGCACTGGAGGATCACTGCACCCAGATGATGGGTACTGCACACTCACCAATGGCTGGCCTACTGGTCATTAACATTATGTCACTAGTTTACATTCATGGGGAAACACTTTACGGATGTTCATGACGAACCTTATTTTACCTTATGATAATATCACCAAGATCATAATACTGTTATTTCTTTCTTTTAATACCAATATAACTGATAATAACTAAATCTATCATCGTGATGTAGAAGTGGTTGTGAATAGGGCATGTTTTCTACAAACATGAAATGGTGATTCTTGTTGAGAAATATATATTTGGATTTTATTGCCATGGCCAATGGGATAAGTTGTGCCAATTTACTAATGCTGCTGCTGTTTGTTTATGAGATCTTTGTCTGAAAATTGTATCTCTTTTTGATCAACTATATTTTACAGGCTGAAAATTTTATGCAACCTACAGTGTATTATATGTATTTTTAACCATATTATTTTAAGAGTTTTTGTAATAAAATAATTATTAATGCTATATTGCTCATGTTGTTCCTTGATATGGGATCCCATTAACTATATTGAGTGAGTGAGTGAGTGAGTGAGTGAGTGAGTATGGTTTTACTCCGCTTTTAGCAATATTCCAGCAATATCACGGCAGGGGGACACCAGAAATGGTCTTCACACATAATACCTATGTCGGGAATCGAACCCGGTTCTTTGGCGTGACGAGCGAACGCTTTAACCACTAGGCTACCCTGCCACCCCAACTGTATTGAAAGTGCCATGCTCACTCCGCAGCCTACTCTTGCTCATGGGTGTTACCTAATTGCAGAAATGAGAATGGAATGTTTTGAGAAAACACACTGAAAGGTAGCCGGGAGTCTGGGGGACTATGTGATTTATGTGTATATTCTTGTGGCATGCATGAGCCTTGACATAACAAAATCTGGGGAATTCTGCAAATCTACGAAAAAATCTCATCCCTGAAAGTGGTAAACATTTTTTGTGTGATCTGTTTCACTTGAAGCTATCCTCCCACCTTACGCTGACACACCATTATATAACTCAATACCGTCTAACACATGTTATATCTGGGATAACACTTTCTGAGTAATGTACAGATTCTCGTACTGGCACTGAACCCAACTCACTGTCTTCATAAGCCATAACACAGGCCTGGATTGATTTGGATGAGGTATTTCTGGTACAGCAAGCAGGTTGGAGGTGTCAACAGGTTCATGACCTCGATGTTTGACATGTGACCCATCAGGAGAGAAAAAACGGAACCTTATGGGTGCAGGGATACCATTGTGCTGTGACGTCATAGAGACATACTTCAGTGACGATTGCCAAATGTGATGTCATGTATCTCTGTAATAAATATCAATTCATGCTTGTGAATTGAATTTTTTGTTTCAAAGATGCTGTAGTTTTCAACTATGATCAAAAGTCGAAATGTGATTTTCACCCATAATGTCCTTTATCTCATGGTTGGTCATATGTCTAGACAGGAAGAAAAAAAAAGTGTTAGGTGCCATTTTCGTTATTGGACTGCAAGTTATCTGACGATTCATGGAAGTTGGCTCTACAACTACCTAACTGTAGACCTCCCCCTGGAGATATGAAGATACAAACAGGACACTGGAGTCAAATGTCTGAGCACATTCGCTTCTCAGACTGTTTAAACAATGCTAAAGCATGATATAGAAACAGATTAAAGTTGCACAGATTTTGTGATGCCATTCCACTGATTCATTATTTTAATCAGAACTTTGCATTGCTGTGATATTTCTCTTTTGATATGAGTGAGTGAGTGAATGAGTATGGTTTTATGCCGCTTTTAGCAATACTCCAGCAATATCACGGCGGGGGACACCAGAAATGGGCTTCACACATTGTACCCATGTCAGGAATTGAACCCGGGTCTTCGGCATGACGAGCGAACGCTTTAACCACTGGGCTCCCCGACCGCCCCTCTTTTGATATGAGGTGAAATGGCGTTAAACATCACGTTCAAGTTTGTTGCACGTATATAGCGAAGTGCATGCGCATGTGTGTGTGGATGCTTGTACTAGTCCAGACTCAAACCGAGTTTATAGTGCTAGTCAACTGAGATACCATGTCACATTTTAACACGAATACCCCACTCAGACAAAAACTCAGAGCCGACCAGTCCTTGTTTTAGCCCCTCAATGCTGAGTGCCAGGCAGGGTAACAACATGTACCATCTTTTAACGTCTTTGGGTATGATGCTCTGGGGGTCAAACCCATAACCTTCTGCTCTCCAGGCAGATGCTCTATCCACTAGACCACAGAGGCGTTCTATTACCCTTATGGACTGTGGGAAAGAATGTTTTCCTTGTGACATATTCATGTCACATGGTACTTTTGGTCTGGAAGCCTTTCGACAGCACTCTGTGAAGACCTTTAGATGGTAACTTCTAGTACTGATCTTTTAAAGAAGTCAGACCAATAACCCAAGAACAGACAAGATACAGAAACAAAAATATTTATTAATTAGTGTTTAATGAGTTAATACTTACTAATTAGCTTGAAATGAACTCAATGAAATGAACACTTCATGATACTCTGATAATGAACATGTGCTGAAGGATACACGATGGAAAGTAAAAATGGTTGATAATTATGTATCGACTACATGCTAGAAAACAAAATGGTAAAGCATGTCATATGTACAGTATATACACAATTCATGTCATAAGTGACACCTTATAGCATAACAGTTATCCACTAACTAAACCTTAACATTTCAACAAGCCAACAAGCAATGACCTGACCCATATGTTCAAATATAAGTCAATAAAGAATTTGGTGTCCTGATTTTGTAAACATTGACAAGCAAAACTTTTACAGTGTGTGGTTCCTTCGGCGTAACAAGGTTGGGCGACAGACATTAGAGAGAGAGAGAATCAACTTATCAAAAGTAGAGTAATATATGATTGTTGTCCAATCAGTGTCACTGCTATTGCTTCATCATCTTCCCGAGGCAAGAGAGTTAACTGACTTTAAAAGTTCAGTTTCCACCCTTGCCGAACTAGGCTGGAATTCCTGGGCTCGATCGTAGCGCCACCAGTGGCTATTACGAGTTATTTCCCCGTCTATGCCTCTCCTATGGACCAACCAGATTTCACCCCTCGGATCACTTGCATTTGCTTCAAACAAAATGGCAGAGCCCAGTCAAGACAATCTGATTGATAATCAAGATCTATATTGTGATAAAATGGATCTTACATCGTGAAGTGCATCAAATCACGTGAGTACCTTGATTTAAAACATAAAAAGATTTGGAAAATATCTATTGACACCAAGTTGGAGGTGCACATGCTTTGCAAATCCTGCCATCGACCGAAATCTGCATGACAGTTTACTAACCTGATTTTGATTTCATTCCGCGATTGTGATTGGACTGTGCATTGACTCAATAGTCCAGTCATAAGATAACTCCATCAGACCAGCCTCATTCGGCAAGGGTGGAAACTGGACTTTTATAGTCAGTTAACTCTCTTTCCTCAGGAAGATGTTCCTCCAGATCATTCACAAGTTTGTTCAAATCACTCTTCCTACCATTTTAAATGGTGAGTGAGTGAGTGAGTATGGTTTTACGACGCTTTTAGCAATATTCCAGCAATATCATGGCGGGGAACACCAGAAATGGGCTTCACCCATTGTACCCATGTCGGGAATCGAACCCAGGTCTTCTGCGTGACGAGCGAACACTTTAACCACTAGGCTACACGACCGCCCCCCATTTTAAATGAACACTTGAGTATTGAAGTCAACACATTATATGTCAACATGGCTGTAATGAGTAACTAAATGAAATTGCATCGGGATGCTAAGTGCTGCGAAATGAGAAATGAGTATCCTGTAAAATTAGGAACTTGATCCTCATCAAAGAGAAATCCAACCTAAACAGGAATAGATTTAAATTAAGTATGGAAACAGTGGCTTGAAAATAATGTTTCACAATGTCACCTCTATGGTTTATAATGTCTTTGTAATCTAGGGTCCATGAAATGACAAAAAGAAATACAACACAAAGTAGACACAAAATGAAAAAGTTGGCCAGGAACTGATTTTTTTAGCATCAGAGCATGAAGCAAATGTTTCTTATCAGATGCTAATATTTAAACAGACCAGGTCACCAGGTTGTTGGTTTTTGGTCATTTCACACTCACTGGGCAGTTGAACATAGACAGTCTATGACAAAAGCTCATCTATTGGCAACACTTTTAATGTTGATCTATGAACTATTATGAGCTGAGATTACCATACTTACTAGACAAAAAGAAATGTTACCAGGCTTAGGCTTCAGGATTGTGGATATAATTGCAGACTGCATAATACCGGTACTAATTCAAACAGAGCGACATAGTTTGGGCAAAGAAAAATAACTCTTCCCTTAAAATCCGGACAATATTGACATTCACAAAACCGGACTTAATCCAGACAAAACCAGAAATTATTGGTTGCCCTGAAAAGTTAATTATTTGCACATTTTAATTGAACCAACATGATCATAATGATGAGGAGAAAAGTTTTGTTAAACATATTATCCTCATGCAAAGTCAAACTCTAATTTCAGATGAAAATTACTTTTACATCACATACTTGCGAAAAAATATGACACCAAAAAGCTTGTTTCTCCAATGCAAGATGTATCCTAGTGATAATGAGAGGCACCTTAAAACATATTCACTACAAATATAGCTCTGTAAATGCTTTATTCTGATAGACAGCTCAAGATGAAGCAAGATAAGAAATTACAAGCTTCCTGCAGATATCTCGTAACTAGATTGTATGCAGGGTTTATACATAAATATACAGAGATTCAACTAGTAAACAAATCAGCTTGTTTTCCTTCAATTTTTTATCATCCTTCTCCAAATCATTTTTTAAGATCCTCTAATTACTTGTTGAGTTGTCATGATGTTATTGGGAATCAATATTAACAAAATATCACATTTCACAAAAGTTTGGAAAATCACAATCTCATAAAAATCAGATCTTTCACTCCGAAACACTCCGCATGAGGAACTGACTAACACTCCATATGCGTTGGCGGCCAGTTGAACATGGAGCTTGCAATGAAGTATCTGTTAGTGCTGGAGCCAATCAGATGTGGCTTCCTAAAATGATTTGGCTTTATTTCTTTACTACCTCAATTCAGAAATTTAGAACTTTAACAAAACCCGCATAGACCCATGTTTACCATTCCATCATACACCCCTATGGGTGTTGATGTCATGGCATTCAGAAATGATAGGAATTATTCAAAAATCGGAACAGCCCATTTATGTCTGTTTTTTAAATAAAATTTTAAAACAGAAATCATATATACTGCTTCAAAACCTTGCTACCTCATACAAAGCGTCCGAAGGTCCTGATTGGCTGATCAGAAAGTTCACCTGACATGACCTCCCACAGGGGATTAGTCATTCTTCACACAGAGAGGCATCATATCAGAGTTAAAAAAGCTGATTTTAATCGGATTGGGATACTTAGCACCTAAAATAACAAACAAATAACATCCCGATCTGATAATGTAGGAAGCCTTGATACTGTAAGAAAGATGGCACTTTTCATGCAAAACATATTTTAAGATGATCTTTTAACATGAAGTACAAAACACAAACAATGGTATATTCATGATAACAAAGCACTAAATGTCATGAACAGTTCACAGATTTGAGTAGAAGCACGGACAGTCCTATGAAGAACAAGTCCATCCCATACAATGCAACAGTCTTGTGGTCATGCTAAAAATACAGCCAAACACACATGAAAGGCTAAAAGCCTGTGCCAAGGAAATATCTCCACAGTGTTAGAAATAAAGAGGGGTCCTGGGGGTCGATGAGAGATGCTGCTATAGTATTTGAATCTAGAGGGTTCCCTAAATCTGAAACATTTAATGTTCGTGATATCATAAGGACCCTTTGACCCTCAGGCCTAATTTCAAACACAGTACAATAGAAAGCACAGATACATTTTTAAAACACATCTGTAAATGTGTTCTGAATTGTATGTACAATTCTTAAACAATAATGATAACCATTTGTATAAAACATCTTTGAAAGGCTTTACTTGGAGCATAAAACACACATCGTATAGTGTAGAGGAGGTCTCTACCATTGCTTCAACGCAGGAGACAAATAACACATATCAATGTTCAGTTCATGAATGGCATGTAACATATCCTGCAAAGGGCTTCCTTTTTCACTTATAGATTTCCAAGAATCAGTGAACATGTCCTGGAAGAAATTTCATCTGCTGTTGGTCAGAAACAATGGACCTTTTACTAAGAAAAACATCCCCAACAAAAGCTCTGACATTGTTCATCATATTCATGGTGGATGCATATTAGGAACAGGATTTTGAATGGGACCAAACTGTCTAAAATTTCATCTATCTTTCTGGCAGTGTAACTGAATCTGGGAGAGAAATAAGACTTGATATTTACATTTTTTCACATTTATTGGACACCAATGCATGACGATGTACACAAAGCACTCTGTATAAAACAAACTGTCCTTCACCTGTTGTGTTCACGAGTTCTCACTTAGCCCCTGTAAACTCTCTTGTGTAGCTGCAAAGGAACCGGGGTGATTCAACTGAGGGGTGTTACTCGACACACTCTCCATAGCAGCCACATTGGGGTCGTATGTTTCGTCCAGCAGGTCAGCTGACAGAGCGTCACCATTTCCTTGTGCATCCTGGAGATAGGCGTGAAGCAATTCCATGTCGATGGTGGCAGGGTTGATCTGGCCAGCTCCCAGTAGCATCTGCTGCTGCTGCTGCTGGTTCTGTACTACCAAGCTGTCAATCACATTCCCTGTGTGGTCGATCCTCAAGTTCTGAAACTGGGGGTTGGCTGCAGCCGAGGTTGTGCTGGAGACTGTTATGCTTCCCATGGCCGTGTTGTCTGCGGTGCGGATGTTCATCGTGGGCACGCCTGTCATGTTCCCTGCTGATGCACTGGCGCCGGTGTTGGTGAAGGAGTATCTGGGTAGTTCATCTGGAAACAGTGAGGAAGTGACAGTGAGTTGACTTTCTACACCCATATGAAAACTTGGTGTAAGAGTTTCTACGTGAGTGAGTGAGTGAGTGACTGAGTGAGTGAGTATGGTTTTATGCGGCTTTTAGCAATATTCCAGCCATATCACTGTGGGGGACATCAGAAATGGGCTTCACACATTGTACCAATGTCGGGAATTGAACCCGTGTCTTCGGCGTGACGAGCGCACACTTTAACCACTATGCTACCCGACCGCCCCTTCCTGAATGAGAGTCTTTCATCCCCCACCGACTTGTCATCAAGTGCCAACCAACACTTCTAACACTTCAACCCATCAATGATCAACACCATTCCATTGATCTTTACATCTAATCATCTAATCATCAATCATCTCAGTGCTCACTCAAGTTGCTGAAAGGGAAGGCACCTTTGGGCCCACCAGTCACAAAGAAGTGGAGCCATCTTAAAATTTGGGAGGTCATTTTCAAAAAGGGTTCCCTATTTGGTGAACCTCAGCGTCAGTATGGCATGTCAGGGTTCGGAAACATTGTAAATTTATCCCGTGATTGAATTTGAGTCATTAAACTCCTATTTCGGTCAAAAAGCAACCAAAAAGATAAAACCACTTCTCTTGGAAAAAGCAGTCGGTCTGGGACAATGTCTCACCTACCGTAACAGGAAAGCTGTAATTGGCTTGGTATTCACTTGCTATTTGGTTCATAAACAGGAGAGTCTATCTCCGACTGTCCCATCGCAAGATTGGCTGTCTTGTTCCATACTTTGTTTCAGTAAATAACCCAATTGTGTCTTCAAACGCTTGACACTACTGATATGTTGTTGATTTTCCAACATGCGAATAGAAAACTTTGCCCATGCTGGCGTAAGCCAATTGTAAGACTGTTTATAAATGACTAAAGGCAAACTACCAACGGTGATACTTCATTTTCTTGAGCTTGCTCTATTCCATATAAAAATACCACCATGTTGACAAATATTAACGAAATAAAATACTGCATATTGAGCTATGTGAGATTTCTTTGGAGTAGAAGCCATTCGCCCAACCGCCGCATGTGTGAGATCAGTGTTGAGTCAGTATTGAAAAAGATGTGGCAATACTATGCTCTAGAATGCACACTAAATCATTTTCTATTTAATCAGTCCATACAATTTCCATCCATCAACCAAATATATTAGATCCACCCCACTTCTTCCATCCCCATCTCTTCTATCCACCCTACCTGCTGCAAACAGCCCCTCTTCCACCCATCCATCTCGTCCCATCCATCCATCCACCTCCATCTATTCCACCAACACCATCTCTACCCATCCCTTTAACCCATCCATCTCGTCCCATCCATCCATCCACCCCAACTATTCCACCAACCCCATCTCTACCCATCCCTTTAACCCATCCATCTCGTCCCGTCCATCCATCCACCTCCATCTATTCCACCAACCCCATCTCTACCCATCCCTTTAACCCATCCATCTCGTCCCATCCATCCATCCACCTCCATCTGTTCCACCAACCCCATCTCTACCCATCCCTTTAACCCATCCATCTCGTCCCGTCCATCCATCCACCTCCATCTATTCCACCAACACCATCTCTACCCATCCCTTTAACCCATCCATCTCGTCCCGTCCATCCATCCACCTCCATCTATTCCACCAACCCCATCTCTACCCATCCCTTTAACCCATCCATCTCGTCCCATCCATCCATCCACCTCCATCTATTCCACCAACACCATCTCTACCCATCCCTTTAACCCATCCATCTCGTCCCATCCATCCATCCACCTCCATCTATTCCACCAACCCCATCTCTACCCATCCCTTTAACCCATCCATCTCGTCCCGTCCATCCATCCACCTCCATCTATTCCACCAACACCATCTCTACCCATCCCTTTAACCCATCCATCTCGTCCCGTCCATCCATCCACCTCCATCTATTCCACCAACACCATCTCTACCCATCCCTTTAACCCATCCATCTCGTCCCGTCCATTCATCCACCTCCATCTATTCCACCAACCCAATCTCTGCCCATCCCTTTAACCCATCCATCTCGTCCCGTCCATTCATCCACCTCCATCTATTCCACCAACCCAATCTCTGCCCATCCCTTTCACCCATCCATCTCGTCCCGTCCATCCATCCACCTCCATCTATTCCACCAACCCCATCTCTACCCATCCCTTAAACCAATCCATCTCATCCCATCCATCCATCCACCTCCATCTATTCCACCAACCCCATCTCTACCCATCCCTTTAACCCATCCATCTGGTCCTGCCCATCCATCTTCCTCCATCCATCCACCTCCATCTATTCCACCAACCCCATCTCTACCCATCCCTTTAACCCATCCATCTCGTCCCGTCCATCCATCCACCTCCATCCATTCCACCAACCCCATCTCTACCCATCCCTTTAACCCATCCATCTCGTCCCATCCATCCATCCACCTCCATCTATTCCACCAACCCCATCTCTGCCATCCTACCCATCTCTTCCACCATCCATCTCGTCCCGTCCATCCATCCACCTCCATCTATTCCTCCATACCCATCTCTGCCATCCTACCCATCTCTGCCATCCTACCCATCTCTTCCACCCATCCATCCACCCCAACTATTCCACCAACCCCATCTCTACCATCTCTTCCACCCATCCATCTCGTCCCGTCCATCCATCCACCCCAACTATTCCACCAACCCCATCTCTACCATCTCTTCCACCCATCCATCTCATCCCGTCCATCCATCCACCTCCATCTATTCCACCAACCCCATCTCTACCCATCCCTTTAACCCATCCATCTCGTCCCGTCCATTCATCCACCTCCATCTATTCCACCAACCCAATCTCTACCCATCCCTTTCACCCATCCATCTCGTCCCGTCCATCCATCCACCTCCATCTATTCCACCTACCCCATCTCTACCCATCCCTTTAACCCATCCATCTCGTCCCATCCATCCATCCACCTCAATCTATTCCACCAACCCCATCTCTGCCCATCCCTTTAACCCATCCATCTCGTCCCGTCCATCTATTCCACCAACACCATCTCTACCCATCCCTTTAACCCATCCATCTCGTCCCGTCCATCCATCCACCTCCATCTATTCCTCCATACCCATCTCTGCCCATCCCTTTAACCCATCCATCTCGTCCCGTCCATCTATCCACCTCCATCTATTCCTCCATACCCATCTCTGCCCATCCCTTTAACCCATCCATCTCGTCCCGTCCATCCACCTCCATCTATTCCACCAACCCCATCTCTGCCCATCCCTTTAACCCATCCATCTCATCCCGTCCATCCACCTCCATACCCATCTCTGCCATCCTACCCATCTCTTCCACCCATCCATCCATCCACCCCAACTATTCCACCAACCCCATCTCTACCATCTCTTTCACCCATCCATCTCGTCCCGTCCATCCATCCACCTCCACCTATTCCTTCAACCCCTTCTCTACCATCCTACCCATCCCTTTCACCCATCCATCTCGTCTCGTCCATCCATCCCCCTCTATCTATTCCGCCCAATCCATCTCTTCATCCTTGTACCCTCTCCTCCACCAATCATCAAACTCTCAACTGCACCAATAAGTGCGTCTCTTCCTTCAAAGACAAAACACAGTATCTACAATTGTCCAGCCATTAACCCCATGCTTCAAACAATTCCACACAGCATTCAACATCCAGACTGTCTGTGTACCTTGCGCCATTGGTTCGCCTTCTTGCTTGATCCTACGATTTGCTTTCAGCTTTGTCCGTAACCCTTCTTTTACTGTTGCGTTTCCTCGTTCACTCACACCTGAAAAACAACAGTATTGCAACCTAAACATAAATATTTCGTAAAGATGACAGCATAAATTTCTTTAGAAGATGTGAGGTGAGGTGAGGTGAGGTGAGGTGAGGTGAGGTGAGGTGAAATTGGGTTTAACGTCGCGTCCAAGATTATTGCACTCATATAGCACTTCCATGCACGTGTGTGTGTGGCTGCTTGTACTAGTGCTGACTGATGCCGATTTATAGTGCTATCCCACTGAGATACCATGCCTCAGTTTAACATGAATACCCCACTCAGACACAGTATACTGACTCTGATCCAACCAGTCCTTCTTTTAGCTCTTTAATGCTGAACACCAGACAGGGTAACAACAAGTACCATCTCTAAATGTCTTCTAGTATGACGCGGACCAGGATCGAACCCCAGACCTTCCGCTCTCTGAGCGGAAACTCTACCACTTTAGAAGATTGAAGGAAGGTTGTGGTCCATTGTGACCTTACGCAAAAATGATCAAAGATTGCTTTTATCATGTGCTTTTCCAAAAATAATTCACATTTTGCACAAAACAATGGTTAATATAATGCAGGGTGTTTTAGTCAGTGACTTACCTGAACTGGTCCAATTCTGAATAAAGTTTGCTGCTTTACGCTTCCTCTTTTCCTCAATTCTATCTGGGTCTGAAATATTTCAATGTTGATATTAACAATCACAAAATAATGGGTTTTTCAGATTAAAAAGGATGTTTTATTGGTCTGTTTTCAGTCGTACAAATGGGTATCATATCACAGGGAAGACATATTTATTATTACTTTATTAGAACAACAACTGTAGACAAGCGAAAAGTACTAGCAGAATACAAACTAGCAGTCTACCGCGAAAGCCTTTCTCGAGCCGCGCTGAGAGATTTGTGACACGTCATAGGGAGGTGCGTGCGCAACCGGTCGGAAACAAGTTTAATGTTAACATTCCAGCTTCTGGCTTCCTTTTAAACGTGCGACTAGACGTGAGGGTATGAGAGATACCCATTTGTACGACTGAAAACAGACTAAAACATAATTTTTCAGTTTGAATCAAATTGATATCTTGGCTACAAATGACTGCTTACCATGCTTATGTAAATAATTTCCTTAAGTAATGATGCTTAGTTTCAAACAAGGGATGTCAATCACAAACATGAAAAATGAAACTAACCAGGATCCTCCGGCATGTAAGTAAACGGAATAGATTCCGAGGTCTCGTTGTCGGACGGTCGTCGCAGCTGAAGCTGGACCTCGACAGGCTGCTGTATGTACGCCTCCTTGTAAGCTGGGGTCTTGAACACAATGGCAAACTGAAACAGACAAGGGAAACATAAATAGCGACCTCTTACAGTGAGACACCCCCACAGTGCCCCTCCCTGTGAACACCTGTCTGTGAACATCCCCACAGTGGCCCTCCCCATGTACACCTGTCTGTGAACATCCCCACAGTGGCCCTCCCCATGTACACCTGTCTGTGAACATCCCCACAGTGGCCCTCCCCATGTACACCTGTCTGTGAACACCCCCACAGTGGCCCTCCCCGTGAACATCTGTCTGTGAACATCCCCAGTGCCCCTCCCCCTGAACACCTGTCTGTGAACACCCCCCAGTGGCCCTCCCCGTGTACCCTTGTCTGTGAACACCCCTTGTGCCCCTCCCCCTGAACACCTGCCTGTGAACACCCCTACAGTGGCCCTCCCCCTGAACACCTGCCTGTGAACATCCCCAGTGCCCCTCCCCCTGAACACCTGTCTGTGAACACCCCCCAGTGGCCCTCCCCGTGTACCCTTGTCTGTGAACACCCCTTGTGCCCCTCCCCCTGAACACCTGCCTGTGAACACCCCTACAGTGGCCCTCCCCCTGAACACCTGCCTGTGAACACCCCTACAGTGGCCCTCCCCATGTAAACCTGTCTGTGAACATCCCCTGTGCCCCTCCCCCTGAACACCTGTTTGTGAACACCCCCACCGTGCCCCTACCTGTGTACACCTGTCTGTGAACACCCCCACAGTGCCCCTCCCCCTGAACACCTGTCTGTGAACACCCCCCAGTGCCCCTACCCACGTACACCTGTCTGTGAACACCCCCACAGTGCCCCTCCCCCTGAACACTGTCTGTGAACACCCCCCAGTGGCCTACTACATGTCCACCTGTCTGTGAACACCCCCACAGTGCCCCTCCCCCTGAACACCTGTCTGTGAACACCCCCACAGTGCCCCACTACATGTCCACCTGTCTGTGAACACCCCCAGTGCCCCTCCCCCTGAACACCTGTCTTTGAACACCCCCACAGTGCCCCACCCCCTGAACACCTGTCTGTGAACAACCCCCAGTGCCCCACTACATGTCCACCTGTCTGTGAACACCCCCAGTGCCCCTCCCCCTGAACACCTGTCTGTGAACAACCCCCAGTGCCCCACTACATGTCCACCTGTCTGTGAACACCCCCAGTGCCCCTCCCCCTGAACACCCCCCAGTGCCCCTCCCCATGTACACCTGTCTGTGAACACCCCCCAGTGCCCCTCCCCATGTACACCTGTCTGTGAACCCCCAGTGCCCCACTACATGTCCACCTGTCTGTGAACACCCCCAGTGCCCCTCCCCCTGAACACCTGTCTGTGAACACCCCCCAGTGCCCCTCCCCATGTACACCTGTCTGTGAACACCCCCCAGTGCCCCTCCCCATGTACACCTGTCTGTGAACAGACACCCTCCAAGTACACCTACCTGTCTATGCACGTCCCCCTGGCCAAAATCACCATAGTCCTCCCACATACAACCAGCAGCTGTGTCTTTAAAGAATCGGATTTGGATATCATCTGAAACCAACACAGACATTGTTATACACACTGCAACATTACATTATTCCTGGAAATATGAAACTCACTGTCTCGGTTAATGAGCATCAACCACATAATCAAAACACACTTGAAAAATCATTTGACATGTACAGATATACTTTGTCGCATATCTTTGACAATTATTACCTTTGTTAACTTTTTCACACAGGAGAAAGATTTCGTCTCCACCTTTTGCCTTGCCTGAACTGCGATCGACACGGCATATTGTCAGCTCATTGACAGATTCTTTGGAAAAAAAGAAATATATTATACATAGGTATCCTTTTTTTTATTTTCTCATTATGTCAAGCAAGTAAATGAGTATGGTTTTACGCCGCTTTTAGCAATATTCCAGCAATATCGCGACACAGGACACCAGAAATGGTCTTTACACATTGAACCAATGAGGGGAATTGAACCTGGGTCTTTAGCATGGTGAGCGAACGCTTTAGCCACAAGGTTACCCCACTGCCCCCAAAATGCAAAGTAGGTGGGAACTTTAGAAAATAAAAAGTAAAGTGGGGGCAGGAGTTTTTAAGATAAAGTTTCAACAGGTTTTAGTTATAGTACTGTAATGACAGCGACAGTGAAAGAGTGGGATTTTAACATTTTACTTATTCCTGGTGGGCAGAATATTCTAGCGGATTTGTGAACCAAGTTTTTAAAAAAAGGTTTCTACTATTTTCGGCATTACAGAATAAATAGAAAAAATCATTACAGATCAATTTCCAGATATGTGATATTTTTTATTGCTTTGACACTGTCTCTTACAGGCCTGTCCCAAATATCTTGAACAATAATGTGTTTGCAAAGGCTCCATTCCTCCTCAGCAAAAAGTGAGTGAGTTGAGACAGGTTTGAACAGTATTTCAGTTATATCACAGCACGTCAGCTTAAATGGAGAGGAAAACGCCAAGTTATGATAGTCCTAGACGTTTACCACTTCAGTGAAATCCAACAGCATGGGTGTGGCGCTGACAAACCTAGAAACAATCAGGGTGAATCTGGGAATTGAACCCACGATCATAGGTTCCTGGCACGTCTAAGGGATGCAACTCAATTCAAACTTGCCATTTTCCCAAGCGTACTTCCCCCTGCTTAAGGTTTCAGAGACTCTGTCCAGGCATTCCTTATGCAGATGATGTTACTCTAAATGTTCCTTCTCGTAGCATCTGTAGCTATTGTGTACTTACTTTTATCATGGATGGCTTGTGACACTACCGGGGGGACAACTCTTGTGATTTTTCCACTGGCATCAGGAAGGAACACTTGGAAACACAGACGGACCACGTTCAGATCAATCTGACCTATGCCGTGATTGAAACCAGCTGAAATACAACATGACATCAATGAGAATTCAGTCAGAACACCTTTCCCAAACTGGCATAGACGTTTAAAACAATTTCTGCAAGTCTTGAAGTGAGACTTTGTTTCATTAAATACTGTACATGGTACAGTTACCATGGTAACTATGAAATAAATAACAAAGGGGAGTTGTTTATCATACAATAAAACATTGCAAGGAGAATAAAGCACAAAGGGGTCAGCTCCTAGTGGCTTATTCTCAATGCAGTGTCTTATTGTCAACAACAACCACAAGTCTTTTATTTCTTATCTGAGGTATCAATATTAAATACAGCCTCTTTGCCTGTAAAAATAGTTACCCTTATTTAAATTATGATAACTCCCTGAATACAATCCGTAAAAGGCGACTATGCTTGTCGTAAGAGGCAACTAACGGGATCGGGTGGTCAGGCTCGCTGACTTGGTTGATGCATGTCATCGTATGCCAGCTGCGTTGATCGATACTCATGTCAATCACTGGATTGTATGGCCCAGACTCGATTATTTACAGACTGCTGTTATATATCTGGAATATTGCTGAGTGTGGCATTAAACAACAAACCAACCAACCATCTCAGCAATGTCGGACAAGGAGGGAATGAATGGGTGAGGGGTGTGTGTGTAGGTATTGCTGACTTTTCTCACAAACATCAAAACAATTGACAGCCATAATCCGTACTTTTCTCCCATTATAGATTGCCATATCTTGCCAAATTTTGACTGCGATTGTTCCCCTCAGCTAACATCTAAGGGGAACAACTCACTACAATCTAGTGTCACCCAATTTATGATGTCATCAAGCATCACAGTATCTTCGAATCTCCAGAAATGATGTCATGTAAAATCAATTTTTATCATGAAACAGTTAGATTTACTCACTCTGAAAAGGGTCTACATTAATTTCTTTCCTCAGCTTTAAACTGTTTTCCACATCCTTCTTCTTGGCACACTGAATACCCAGATGTGGAAATCTGGAAATCAACATCAATTGAATACAATGCAGGGATACAGATAAGCTGCGTATTTGCATAAAATACCCCTCAAAACTATTCAAAACCCAATTACTTTTAATTAACTTGCATACAGAAAAGCATGCATTAAATGAAAAACTCAATTGTTTGAAAACAGCACGCATAAATACCCAATGAAGCTTTTTCAGCATGTGTACAACGGAGCTAATTTCCAAAATACAATTACAAGCTAATTTACTTTCCGAGTCAAGCCTATATTTAGAACCGTTATATACATCTAAAACATTATTTCATTTTTTTTTAAATCTCAAAATGCTTACTCATTTTGGGAAAAACCCAACAGAGTGATGAATAGATGAGTGAAAAAATATTGGTTACCCAATGAAAAATGTTATAACCCAATTAAAATAGAAACCTTCGAGTAAAAACTCAATTGCTCAAAAAGTTATCTGGAGCTCTGACAATGTATCAAAATAAAATAACTACCATAACACTGGTTCTGGTGGGTGCAAACAGACCTTCCTCTGGCCCAAATTACTACTACCAATATATATGTTTGTAACCTTCTTCAAGTTCATTATTCAACTTACGTTATCGTATCCGTGTCCTTGACCTTTACTGTACACACGCCTTTCTTACAATCTTTCCCCACAAGTGAATGTGGGTGTGGCTTACACAGGGGGGCAGCATCTCTGGTTACGCAGGAGACGACTACAATAGCAGGGCCCTTATAATTACGTATCTGAAATCAAAGTATAACAAACATATCAACTCTTTTGAAAATGTTGACAACCAACAAGGTGACAAGAAAAAATGCTTGCATTTGACTTCTGCCAAACAAAGATCTGAAGATTCTTTCCACACTCCTGCCTTAAGCATGCTGCAATACAATTTCTAAGCTTTTGTTCATTGTTTTTTGTTTAATGTGATACTCAGCAACATTCCAGCTCATAGGCCTGAAAATAATCCTGTCTGGACCATACAGTCCACAGACTGACATTGAGCAATGGTCCACACTGTTGAGGTTAGGTTAAATGGGGTTAACGTCACGTCGAAGATTATTGCACTTATATAGTGACGTGCATGCATGTGTGTATGGCTGCTTGTACTCGTCCGGACTGATGCCTATTTATAGTGCTAGCCTACTGAGATACCATGCCGCAGTTAAACATGATTACCCCACTTAGACACAGTATACTGACTCCGAGCCGACCAGTCCTTGTTTTGGCCCCTTAATGCCGAGGGCCAGACAGGGTAACAACAAGTACCATCTTTTAACTTCTTTTGGTATAACGAGGACGGGAATCGAACCCCGGACCTTCCGCTCTCCGGACGGACGTCTGCCACTAGACCACGGAGGCGGTCTCCACACTGTTGAGGCAGGATGACCGAAGACACACACGATCCATTAAGTCTCCTCACAGGACAAGCATAGGTTGCTGGGGTCCTATTGTCGCCTCACAGGACAAGTATAGGTTGCTGGGGTCCTATTGTCGCCCAGAATCCACACACGAGCTGACTAATGATAAACTGTTCAAAGTAGCACTAAACCTTACTCACTCACTCACTCGAAACAGGTGCTCACCTTAATAGTAGGGAAAGTCTTTCTCTCGGCTGTACTGTGTTCCCCGGGTATGCTGCCAGCAGATCTTCCCTCACACTCGTACCGGAACCGTAGTCCGCGAAACTGGGGTTGTTCGGTTATCTCCATATATGGCTGGTTGCTCTGGCGAGCAGGTGCTTGTGGAGGTGCTGGTTCTGTGGTCAGAGCAGCACTGGAGAACATTGGCGACTGCACCTGACGAAGCATGCCCCCCTGCATTCCGGTCTGGACTTGTGAGGGTCCCTGACCTGGAATAGTAGCAAGGATTTATTGCAATGGTTTACTTGCACCAGTGACATAAGTCCACATACATTAATGGTGATGTCAGATTGATTGCAACAAAAACAACAGTACACAGAGTACATGGACTATTCATGATTAAAGGACAATGTTTTTGCTCTAACCATGATAACCACTATAGCATGTAAACGTCACTAACCGTGCCAACAGCTCAGCTGTTCTCCAATATGTCAGCTCTGGTGTATTCACGATATCATATATACTTACATATACTCACTAAAAACAGTTCTTGTGTATCTATGATATCATATATACTTACATATAAACACTAACAACAGTTATGGCACATCAATGATATCGTATATACTTACATATACTCACTAAAAACAGTTCTGGCGCATCAATGACATCATATATACTTACATTTACTCACTAACAACAGCTATGAGTTCAACATCTTAACTACGGTTTGTTTGGGAAGCTGTAACGCATGAATTGTTCTTTTCATGTACTTTGAAATGTCAAAGAAGGGCGAATGTCTTTCACTTTCAGCCTTAAAGTATTCAAATATTTTAACAACGAAACCTTTCGCATCAGCGGAAAGATGCTTGTGGTGAGACATCATGAAATCTAAAGCTAACACCGTATTTGTGCGTGTGTGATTCCCGTGCAACCTTTCGAGTTGAGTTGATTGGTTCAACTGTGTCATATGGGCCTGTGATGCAGGGGTAGCATTATGCAGATGGCTGTTACAATGAATGCTCGTTCCACCCTTGATGAACAGGTCTGGTTGTTGATGAAATATAGTGATAGCTAAATAGACAGATTTTTTATTCATGCACCGATTGTCTTTAAATGTAATATCCAGTTATGTATGACTGTTTCATAATCTCATACCAACTTTGACTGGAGTAGGTCCAATAGTTTTTCAGATATTGTAGTAAACGTCGGTACCTTAAATTAACTTCCAGACTATACTTTGAGAACACAGTTGATGCACTAGTATGACAAATAGACTACTATAGAACACAAACCGGGCTAACCATTCATTTCTTGTGTGGCCTGGACTGGTTGTTCTTCAGGCATTCCAAAGTTGGCTTGAATATATTTCTCAAGCTCACCACTTGGGAGCTGAGCAACAGACAGGTCATCAAGGTTGAAATCTGAAGTAAAACACAGTCAAATGACAGCTCTCTCAAGACAGTACTAGGTTTCTGAACATTGGGCTAATTACTACACTAAGCTATGTCATCATTTGTTGTCTTGTTTGCTGATCTCTGTGTATATGTACATGATGAAATCATAAGTCAATAACAAGGCCCACCAACTTGACAGTGTCAACAATTTCCTTTTTAAACCTGTAAATCAACAAAAACATCTAATTCATGCTTCTGTGTCCAATTATGTTTGTTGTAAATTGTTGATGTTTTGTAACGATAATGATATCATAATCATTCTGTACCTTTGAAAAGGAAAAGATAAAGTAAGCTCCTGGAGCTTTTTTCCAATACTACTGACTGTCAATGAAATGTTTGACTTAGAAAAAAACACTTAATGAGGTACTAGCATCTAAAACTGTGCATTGAAAATAAAGAAACTGAAACCCACAAGTCAATCTCGTCCTTAATGTCATGATGTCCAATTAGTTATTTTTAGTATTATGCGTTCTTGAATGACTAGGCAGTCATGTCATGCCAGGTGAAATAGGGTACATGTATAACGACTCATTCAAGATTATTGCACTTATACAGCAAAGTACATGCGAGAGTGAGTGTGGTTGCTCGTACTTGTCTGGCCTTATGTCTGTTTTATAGTGCAAGCCCACTGAGACACTGGGCCATAGTTTAACTCAGACACAGTATCACACTCAGACATGAATTGACCAGTCCTCTTTTTATCCCCTTAATGCCAAATGACAGGCAACAACAAATACCATCTTTTAACATATTTTGGTATGACACAGACCGGGGATCCTGTCACGACCTTACTCTCATCAGGCTGATGCTCTGTCTATACAATAAACCACGGAGACAATCAACTAAGTATTCAAAATGTCCATCCCTAGGCTGCCTAGCTAACACTACCTCAATGGGCAATATATTGACCATTATATAATGATGATACAATTAACACACTAGTAATTTATTTATTCGGTTAACAATTTTTAATCAGTTTACCTACTTAGAAACATCGTGAACATATTTAAAAAAGCATAATCATAATATATCCAAACACTCAGGCCTTGTTTATAAATAGAGACAGTGTATAAGTAAAAACCTATGGTGTATTTCCATATCCACATGATCGATATCTGCACAAGCTTTTACCTTGGGCAGGGAAGATACCATGCACATTCTGAAACCTGGTGTACCAACAGTTACGACTTGAGAGATCGTATTATTCGGGTTGCAGTCACTGTCAACTTCAGTCTTTGGCTATTTCCATTACAAATTGTCTATCTGGTTGTATGAGCTTGTCGTTGAAGCTGAATATACGATATTTTCGTATACCTTGATCATAATCAGTTATTCAATTAAAATGGAGTTTATCATCAAGAAAGTCTCATCTAAACGTCTTCCGTACTGCAATATGCATCTTATAGTAACCGCTGAGGTCAATCACAGCGTACCCTTGTTTTGCACCGCTACCTAGTACTTGACCATGCAGGCGTTTTCTCTGTTATGTGCTGTCAACAAATATGGCGTCCTGCTCAAGCGGTTGACGGAAATCGAGTTTATTGCAGGGTTAATCGCACACTGCACGCCTTATGGTTTGCTAAATATCCCAGTTGGGTGTTGTTGGAGACATACATTTGTACCTACCTGAGCTAAGAGTCGTCATTGTTGACAAGTTATTGGTGAACCACTAGTCGTGGTTTACTCGTACCCTAAATATGTGCACAACCTTCCTGATTTTCCCAGAAGTAGTCATATACTATAAATAGATTTCGGGGAATTACCAAGCAGATTTTCCATTTTGATTGGTTGATATCACATCCCAGCGTGCATTGCAGCTTATCTAAAATATCGCCTGGGTTTATGAATCGGAAATTCTCACCCAGTGCCATACCAAATGTCCCTTTTACTCAAACTATGACACATTTGAAAGTTTTGTCATTTATTTTTAGCAAAAGTATCAGACACGATTATTGATACAATATAGGAATTCGGAGAGCTCAAAATAGCATACAGGCAAATTAGAACAAACTCGATCGACGAAAATATCAAATATTGGTAAATATTGTTATGAAATAATTATTCGTTTGTTTACATGTATCTGTATTATCGAGTCCTACCTAAGTTTGGTTCCGTGACTGTCTTTCGTAAATGTTATCCTACATTGCACATAAGAACAATTAACTGATTAAGTTTCGCACAAAATAAGTAAAATATATTTAGTTTCATTTAAAGCTTCAGTTATCATTCTGATATAAATAGCAATTGCGTTAATATATAGCTGCATGCGTAGCGAAATGCAGGTGCTGCAATTGTTGGGTCCCTTTAGCATATGGGCACGACATATTTTGGCGTGGGTATTTCAGAACTGAAAATTAACATTTTGACGCCGTTTCCGTAATAGCCCTTCTACACAACAAATATGTTGAGATCATCCCCCTCTGTTTTAGATATCATGTCCCGTATCATTCCGACGGAGACACTAATATCTGCACATGGGTCGAGGCATGGTATGGAAAAACGAGGGTCATAATATTTTTATCACGTAATACCAACTTAACCGAACTGTCATAAAAATATTGCCATATGGACTTGAGATCAAGATAACCAAACGCTATATCAAGTATAGACCAGAGCATCATACATAGACAATACGCTATATAAAGTATAGACCAGATAATCATACATAGACAATACGCTATATATGATATAGACCCTCAATATTACATACATAGACGATACGCTATATAAAATATAGACCCTCAATATTACATACATAGACAATACGCTATACTATATAAAATATAGACCCTCAATATCACATAGACAATACGCTATATAAAGTATAGACCCTCAATATCACATGCATAGACAATACGCTATATAAAATATAGACCCAGAGTATTACATTCAAAGGCAAAATACAAGACTTTTCAGGAGGATCCCAGCAAACAATTCTACGTTGTGACAACGTTGTGACAACGTTGACTTTTCGTTGCTACAACGTTGTGATGTTACGTTGTCACAACGTAATTCTGTAGACTCCCAGATTGGTTGCTACAACGTTGTGCGTAAACCAAAATACAACCAAATCAAGACGTTGTCACAACGTCCATTTTTTACGTTGCTACAACGTTTAACCAAAACGTCGCGACAACGTATATAATACCTGTTTTTATGAGAAACACAATATTGACCGAGGACGTAATATTGACCCTCAATATTACATGCATAGACAATACGCTATATACAGTAAAGACCTGCTATATCATTTGTTTCGTTTGTTGTTTAACGCCGCACTCAGCAATATTCCAGCCATATGACGGCGGTCTGTAAATAATCGAGTCTGGACCAGACAACCCAGTGATTGAAATCATGAGCATCGATCCACGCATTTGGAATATGATGACATGCATCAACCAAGTCAGCGAGCCTGACCACCCGATCCCGTTAGTCGCCTCTAACGACAAGCACAGTCGCCTTTTACGCCAAGCATGGGTTGCTGAAGACTTATTCTAACCCGAATCTTCACTGGTCACTGCTATATCTGTACATAGGCAATACAAAATATCAAGTCTACGCCAACAGAAGTATAACTGTTTAAGGCGACCTGTAAATAATGGGACCAGACAACTAACGTGTATTGTAAGAAAATTTGTTGCAGTAAATCAAAAAGAAAACTATTTTTTATTATCCATTTATTTAAGAAGTGAACATTTAGAAAAAAAAGTTCATAAAACAACGTAGATGATTACAAAATAGGAAGAATCTTACCTCTCGGCAGGTGATTGCAGTATGTGATCTGGTTTCTGTTGTGTGCAGAGTAGATAGCTCAGTCGACTCTGGTTGATCGATTAAGACATTAGTAAGGAGAGTAGAAGATATGTCCACGCACGCACACTGACAATAACAACACGGAAGTGCATTTCAACAAAATCGTATTTCATGGTGAACACGTGTACCGTTACTTGTACGGAAAAAACTATTACACTGACTGGTGATGTCCAATGAATGAGTTTATATATATAGTTTTTATATTTGCCGTATTTTTGAGAGTTCGAAATTCATGTTGTTTGTTTGTTGTTTAACGTCGCACTCAGCAATATTCTAGCTATATGATGGAGGTATGTAAATAATCGAGTATGGACCAGACAATCCAGTGATTGACAGCATGAACATCGATCCACGCATTTTGGATACGATGACTTGCATCAACCAAGTCAGCGAACCTGACAACCCGATCCCGTTAGTCGACAAGCATAGTCGTTTTTTCACGGTAAGCATGGGTTGGTGAAGACCTATTCTGACGCGGATCTTCACGGGTCGAAATACATGCGAGTGAGTTTAGTTGAACCAACATAAAACAATATTTCAGTTATATCCGAGGAAAGCCCCAGTCTTATAGACGTTAACCAGTTTGGTGGAAGCCACGAGCACGGGGACGGTGACAACACAAGAAATATAACCAGGGCGAATCTGGGATTCGAACCCGCGATCATAGGTTGCTGACACGCCATTTTAGACAACTTGGCTCACTGATTCCCGAAATTAGTAAAACAGCATCGACAAAAACTAAATGCAAACCAGCCTACTTTAAAATGGAGAGAATATTGTTGTCATCTTTCGGTAAAAAGGTATTTTCATACAAAACATTACAATATTGTTAAGAGTTTCACTACTAACGCAATCACAATGTGGGTAATTATATATATGTGTAAGGTAATGCTGCATAGAGGTGTATTCATATTGTTATGTTCTGTTTTATATCATTAATAAGAGTCATGCAAGTGTGTCATCAGTCTTTCCAAATTACAAATCTCTCAAAAGTTTGATAACTGGTTAAGCGATTTCAGGGGGACAGAACCAAAACATTGGTTTCCGGTCAGTATTCGTCCGAGGACTACGGGTTAGTTATATAGAATAATAATTTTGGTGTAAATTTTAGTTGGCCGGGCATGAGAAAAAGCATAAACTTTAAAAACGACTTTTTAATTCCATATATATGCTCCAACAACGCATCATTGCACCAGAATAATAATTTTGGTGTATATTTTAGTTGGCCGGGCACGAGAAACAGAGAAAACCAATGAAAACGACTTTCTAATTTTATATGTTCCAACAATGCATCATTGCAAGCAGCAGTTACCACAAGAGGTTGTGGTCGAGCTTAACGGGCGTGTCTCATGAGAAAATACAACTTTGCAGAATTTGATAGATCGTAACATCGTTAATGCATTATTGTGTTCAAAACATCGAAAGCACACGTTCTCGGCAAATCAAACCTATTCTTCACCCTTTTTAACCCTTAGATATTCTCCTATCCACAAGCAAACAATGACCGTTTGTACACTGTACTTTCCTTCGTATGACTTGCTACATTACCGTGTTATGTTACACTGCATATACATTGCTGAGTGTTGTATGGTACCTGGGCTGACCGCAGCCATACAAATGGTCTCACCCCATTTGTCAGACACCTTAAAATCACAAATCCAACGATTGAGTTCTCCCACCATGCAGTGCTTCTTACCCACGTGGTAACATCAGTCCCGATACTCCATTTGTCAGACACCTCATGAGAATATAATACTCACAATAAAGAAATGAAAATACTTTCATTGTATTATGTAGGCTTTACTTCAACAAGCTGTAATGTATTACTGCATCAAGGTTTGTTTGTTTGTTTGTTTGTTTGTTTAACGCCGCAATCCTCAATATTCCAGCTATGTGGCGGTGGTCTGTAAATAATCGAGTCTGGATCAGACAATCCAGTGATTGATATCACGGGCAACGATTAAATTAAATTTAGGAACTGAAATTGTGATGAATGCATGTGTCAATATTGCCACTTTTGTTAGACCCACCGAATCTTGTAGAGGTGATGTTGAACGTGTATTGGGGCGTACCTCTCTGCGATCTAACAAAGTCAACTTTCTGCAACCTGCCACAAAAATGACATTGTTGCAAGATGTTTTTCATTAAAAACAATTCAGCCTCATAGTTTTAAATTAAAAAAAATATCTGGTTTGTAGCTGCAGCTGAAAAAAATCTGAACTTGATCGAAATCCGAGAGCCCTCCCCCGAATGGTCAATGGTCGGTGTCTCATACCTATCACCTCCAGGCCTAGTCGGCCATACTAATTAATAATTAAGCAACGCCTCCTCTTTAAACTTACTTACTTACTTTGGAGATTTAACGTGCGCTTTCCGACTGATGCGTATTTCGCACACGGTCCTCTTTAAAGCTTTTAGATTCGTTTTATGCATACTTTTATTTAAGTGCAACTGCGCTAAGTTTACGCACTGTTTTCTCGGCCAACGTATTGTACATCATACATGTTGATGAAAGTAAATCCTATTGCTACTCTTCATGACACTTGCACTGTAATCATGGTAATATGAGACACTCCAGTCAATCGGCAACTGGTTCAGGGGCTGGTAATTTATTATAGGGGTAGTCAGGGTGCACCCCCCCCCCCCCCCCCAATTTTATGACAGTAATTTTCATTCCCACCCCTAAATACATGTAAAATGTATTGTTTTATTTTGATAACTGATAATTGATAACAAGTTATATTCAATAATGTCCAACACCCCAACCCACCCCACCCCTCCACACCTACACACACACACACACACACACACACACACACACACACACACACACACACACACACACATTATTATTATTATTATTATTATCCGAAATAAATACATTTTGTTTTGTCACTGAAATACTTCCCCCTACCAACCTGCCTATTGAAGTAAACATATTGTCTACACATTTGGCTATTGCTAAAGCTGCGAGTCAGGAAACAAAAGCATGACCTACGCCGGTACTGTATACGCTCATGGTCCACTAAACAACTGCTGAAAAATGTTGTGTGAAAATACAGCCTTCAAAGAAACTTCACTGAATTTCACTTCCTGTTTAAATGACGTCATGTCGTCACTGTGACATCACGAACAATTGAAAACGTCGTATGAAATTGTTATTATAAAACAGCATTATGACGTCATATCGGTTCAACTGACCAATCAGATTTCAGATTCGCTTAAAACACACATCGAAGGTTTTTACATGTGGTCTTATGAAAAACTTTGTATCATTTTCTAAATATTTTAAAATTGAGAATATTAGTTAATTATACAATAAACAGTATATTAGCTTTTTATACAATAAACTACCTCTTATTCGAACTTACGGTCAATCTACCCCCTCAAGAATTGAGAAAATCCGTTCGGTTCCCATTTTTCTATGTTTTCATACCTTTGCTATCTAGTCACGTGTAGGTATCAACGCGATTCTCGCTCCGTTGCAGTCATATTCATTACGCTTTATCTTAAATTAATGGTTACATTTCCCCCCGATTCTGGTGTTTAAAACTATAAAAATCCCTTGGGGATTCTGGTGCAGAATAATAGTCCAAACGGCATTCACTAACTCACATGGAGTAATTAACACACCCTACCGAAGATGGACAAAACTGTATAATTTAAATATTCATTTTACCAAATTTATCTTAAATGGTTATATTTTAGTATATTTTATCGACATCAACATTTGACATTAGAAGGTTGTAATTACAGGATCGTGATAGCGACAACAAACATTTTATAATAAAATATATAGTTATTGAGAAATTGCATGAATAATGAAAATAATATGTATTATCTATCTGGTTCTTTATTTGGTTATTGTGATGTCTCTCAGGTAAATAGTATTGAAAGAGTTACTTACGTCAGTTCAAGGCGACGATAGTAATTCAAAGCTGTCGCTCTCAGTTCGTCCCGCTTGATAGTTCGACTTTTCATACACATGAGCATGCGCAGACGATGCGTGGGCCAAAGTGGAAAACCCCAGCCAATAGACTCGATGCCCAGTTGGTCAAGAAACTGAAACTTGGAGTTCCATGATCACTTTTAGAATAACGCGTGATCAATAAGAATATATTATCCGTTAGTAATAAACCGGGTATGAAATGTAAATAATAACATAGAACTGAACATGTACAATCACAACGTGAATGCCTATATAGTTCGAATATAGACCACGCGCACATTGATCTAGTGTTTATATCTACCTATCATATATCGTGTCTATCGCTCGGAAACACAAATTACATATCAAGTGCATAAATTATGATTATCCAAGGAACCAAACTCAAGCAGCATTTGAAAGCATAAGTATTAAATTAAACTATTACCAAGGCCGTAGTTAACTTAGGGGTCCGGATAAGCGGGGTTCCATTGATTCCTGATGACTCTCGATCATATCCAACAACAGTGTTTACTGTCAACAATAACAATACGAATATTCAATGTAATATCAGAACAAATCGTACTTACTGTGAATATATGCGAAAATAAAATAAAAATGAAAAAAATGTCCCCTTTTGACAATGATGAATATTTTGTAGTTTTAAATAGCTATAAGTCAATCTTTGATATTTTTTTTTAAATTTCAAGTTTACACGATATACAGCTTTCAATTGGACAAGAGATCGGTCACCTGAACGCGAAAGTGACGTTCATAAGTGTATAAACGACACAATTTGACGTTCATACGTGCTCTTGAAATGACGTAAACACTAAAGGACTACTTCCACATTCCTGGGGAAACCCCGCATCGGAATTCCCTAGCACGAATACGTGGAAGTTAGTGAGTGAGTGAGTGGGAGGATGGATCGATTGGTGAGTAAATGTTAAATATTAAATCACATCGGCAGTATTTCGGCCACATCGTGACTATAGCACCAGTTACACACCAACAATATATGAAACGTTGTCGACGATTGACAGTACAATGACCAGATTATCACAGTTTTATTCACGAGGGACAGGTAATCCGTGCGCCGATAAGGTTATTTTATTATTAAACCCCACAGAGAAACTTTAAT